TCTCGCTGAAATAAGACGGGACATCCCTGAAAGAGACAGTGTCTGGATGGCAGCATATGTTGCTCCAAAACCTGGATGGACCTTTCATCATTCATGGAGCCTTCACAGGTGTGACATTACCCATGATGCACCTCCATCCATTACAGACAGGAAGTTACCCATGATGCACCTCCATCCATCACAGAGAGGAAGTTACCCATGATGCACCTCCATCCATCACAGACAGGAAGTTACCCATGATGCACCTCCATCCATCACAGACAGGAAGTTTCCCATGATGCAATCTGGAAATCCATCGGTAAAAAAAAAAAAAATAAAATAAATAAATAAATAAAATCCTTTTTTTTTTCTTCCATTACCTCTGGAGGCACAGCCCGTAGTTTTTCAACTAACGGAAGTGCAGGGGCCTCGGCGATCGCTCACGCTCTTCACTTCCGGCGGTGCCCCCAGGGAATCGCCTTGTTGTTTACAAATACTTAGGGCAGAAAACCGGCAGAGTTTAGCTATATATCATATTTTCCACGTCACTATATCACTGTGTAGACTAATCTGATGTTTGTTAAGTTTATAAACACAATGACTGAACAAACGTTACTATTTCCATGTGCACGTTTTGTAATTAATAACAATAATAACATCGTAGATTAGCTGGGCTAACCGTTAGCTGTTAACGTTAGCCGTTAGCAGTGTCTGTAATAACCATAGACTGTATAAAAATAAGGTATTAACTCAATAAACGGTCCATGAATAAAATATTTTTTCAAGCGGATATCTTAGTTACAACATGATTGAGCTAGCAAAGCAGTTTTGTGTTGCTATGTGTGGTATTTATTCAGTTATGGGAAATCACGATGTCTAGAAAGCATCAGTGGCTGCAGCTGACAGGGACAGTTAGCAAAGCTAACATCAGGACGTCATCTGTTAAAAGCCTCCCGGTGTCGGATACGACATGAAACTACTCCAGTTAGCTCAGTCATGTTGTAACTCAGACATCTGCTGGAAAAAAAAAATTTTTTTCAAGTTGACGAAATGGCGTTTTGGGTGGAGCGATCGCTATGGACGCGGAGCTTGCTGTTTCTGTAGGTACACATTTTGATGCACATAAGTTGATGGTGGGGAAGCTGAAGTCAAACTTACACGGACAGTTAGATCCATATCAGTTTGCCTATAGATACAACCGTGGCACTGATAACGCAATTCTTACTATAACACACTCAATTTTGCAACATCTTGAAAATCCCAAGGCCTATGCCAGATTACTGTTTGTTGACTTCAGATCCGCCTTTAACACAGTGCAGCCACACATCCTTCTTAGTAAACTTCAACAGATGTCTGTTAACCCTTATATCATCAGATGGTATCACTCTTTTTTAACCAATAGGACCCAACAGGTCAGAGTGAACCAGACAACATCCCAGTCAAAAACAATTAATACAGGAGTTCCTCAAGGGTGTGTGAGTTCTCCCCCTTTATTTACGGTATACACAAATGACTGTATCAGCAGTCACCCTAGTGTTTCTTTCATTAAATTTTCAGATGACACTGCCATCCTGTGTATACTGGATACAGAAATAAACACCTCTGTGTACAAGCAGGAGGTAAACAACTTTGTACAGTGGTGTGAGGACCACCACCTCACTATTAACACAAAGAAAACAGAAGAAATAGTCTTTGACCCTGGTCATGTGGGGGACCATACTCCATTACTCATTCATAATGTCAATATTGCTCAGGTTGATTCATACAAATATTTGGGTGTGAATATTGACAGCAGTTTGTCCTGGAATGTCCATGTGAACAGTGTGTGTACTAGGATCCAGAAGCAACTTCACTTTCTACGTAGACTTAGGGTGTTTGGTGTCCAACAGAAGGTGATGTTGCTTTTCTATCGTGCTGTGATTGAGAGTATATTTCGCTATGCAATTTCTGTTTAGTTTGGAAATTTAACTGTGAAATTAAAGTCCCAAATCAACAGACTAGCTCTCAGTGCACTGAAAGTGATGGGGGTGAGGGAGCACCCCACAATCCAAGCAGTATTTGAAGACACTGTACTCAGACAAGCCAGGAAAATAATTGAGGACCCCTCTCATGTGTTAAATTCAGAATACGAACTGTTACCCTCTGGCAGAAGAACTGTTACCCTCTGACAGACGTTACTGAATCCCAGTAAAAAATAAAAAAAGGTTTTTGAATAGGTATAAATTTTCATTCATTCCACTATCCATTACCCTGTTGAACACAGGCCGGTAATTATGTATGTATGTATGTATGTATGTATGTATGCACTTAGGTATGCACTTTATGATTGTATGTCTGTACGGAGTATGTGGGTATGGACTTTAGGTATGCACTTTACGACCGCACTGTATGTCTTTATGTCTGCACTGTTAGCGCTTGTGTTTCTTGTTTATGTTATGTGTTATGTCCTAGGTAGCAGCCTGTGCATGTCCAACACAAATTTCCTTCGGGACTAAATAAATGAATCTTGAATCTCTTGAATCTTGAATTTCCTGGGGACACCTGCACGTCTCGGCCACGCCCCCTCCATTGTGATTGGCTAAAGCACAGCATCGTTCAAACTCAAAGCCCCCCCAGTCGTCTTTCACACAGGGCTGCCGACAGATTCTACAATGTAAATTGCAGAATCTGTCTTGAGAGATTACCCATGATGCAACTCTATCCATCACAGACTGGAAGTTACCCATGATGCACCTCCATCCATCACAGACTGGAAGTTACCCATGATGCACCTCCATCCATCACAGCTGATGGGCCCAGAGAAGTGGGCGGAGCTGTTTCTGGACGTTGTTGATATGTGGTCGAGTCTGAACTGTGATTTTTAGATGCAGAGATGAACTGTGTGTGTGTGTGTGTGTGTGTGTGTGTGTAACAGGTGTTTCTCAGTCTGTTGTTGCTCCTGTCACAACCTTATTAGAACAATTAATTTTTTCAGTTATAAAGTTTAAATATCTCTGTTCAGCTCTGTTTTTATCCTCCGATCCAGGATCAGTTTGCTCTAATAAAACTTCTTCTGCTGACTGAAGGGCAGACGGGTCATCAGCTGACTCCTCTGAGGTCAACCTGCAGGTCAGAGGTCAACACACAGACGCGTGTGTGTGTGTGTGTGTGTGTGTGTGTGTGCATATATAAGGAGGACTGATGGAGGCGACGTTCCTCATTGTGTCCTGATCTCCAAACAGGAAGCTGATCTTTAATCTTTTCTTCATGGAGCCACAGAGGTGAGAAAACACTTATTTATTGATGATTGATTATTGATAATGATGTTTGTGTGTTGGTTGTTTAACCACATTTAATCATTAAATCTTGTTTCCCTTCAAGTTTTTTTTATAAATTATATTATTAATATTATGATGACAGTAGACCTGATGACTCACAACTCTGCTGTGTGACATCACACTGTGTTAACATGTCACTGCTTCATCATGACATCATGTATGTCAGTGTTCATACAGACGACAGTATCATGTGTTAAAGATATGACTCTGGTGTCGCCTGTTAAGGTCACATTTCATTTTTTAATCAGTTGTATGAACCTTTAATTATTAACTAACCCCTTCTGTGTGTGTGTGTGTGTGTGTGTGTGTGTGTGTGTGTATTTTGTGCTGCTGTAACAGTTAAACTTCCATCTGAGGATCAATAAAAGGATCAATAACTCAAACTTAGAAATTATTGTTCATGAGAAATTGAATTGGAGAGAACAAACTGACTGGGTCACCAGAAAAATAAATAAATCTATTGGTATAATAAGGCACGTTAGTCATCTGGTTACAACAGGCTGTCTCCTTACTCTCTATAACAGTTTAATTTATCCCTATCTTTCATATTGTAATATAGTTTGGGCGAATACTTTTCCTACTACTCTCCACAAAATTTTGGTTCTCCAGAAACATTTTGTTAGGATTGCAACTCGATCACAGCCTCACATCTCATCTGCTCCTCTATTTCAGAAACTCCAGATTCTTACTATTTATGATATTAATATTTTTCAAATATGTGTTTTTGTTTATAAAATTCAGTTAAGGGAAGGGAATATTCCTGAGCAGTTTAAGATTTACTTTAATTCAAATTCACAGATTCACTCTGACTCAACCCGCCACTCCTCAGATCTTCATCCTCCTAAATTTCTCACTCGTAGAGGTCAATTTTCAATAAGGTTTAGGGGCACTAAATTATGGAATGTTTTTTTCCACCTGGTAAAAAAATCTTCCTCTTTAAAATGTTACAAAAGATGTTTAAAAGATCATTTAACTGCTGTATTGTAACTATTTTCCCTAATGTATTATTGTTCATGTATCTGGTTCTTATTTTACTTTATTTATTTCATTATTTATTTGTTTGTTTTTGTGTCACTCACATGTACCATTATTGTTTGCTCATGAGTCCACTCAAAACACACACATCACACATTCACGTTCATATGTATTTATTTTGATTTTTATTATTTTTATGACTATATATATTTTGTATATTTAGTTTGCCATCATCATTTTTTGTATGTTAATTTCGTGCTCTACATAACATTGTGAAATTTTAAAACTTAGGTGGAGGCTTCAAATAAGCCTACTGGGTTTTTCGTCTCTTCCTGCACCATGTACTATTTATCTGTTATTCTTGTGTATTTTTAAACTGTGCAAAATAAACTAAACTAAACTAAAGTAAACTTCATCATTATCAATGGAAACATTTTTTTTAATCTCTGAATAATTTTTTTGTTCAACCTTTAATTCAAGATGATTTTATTCTCTAAATTCAGAAATCAGCCTCAGAATTCATTCTGAATCTGTGATAATCCATAAACTGATCATCTATAACTGATCATCTGTATGATGGTGATGATAACGATGATGGGGTTGAAGATGGTGCAACTGGATGAAGATGAATTCTTTGTGTGTTTGATGTCAGTAGAAATTAATAGATCCTTATTGTTTTTGCTTCTACTGTCAGATCTGAGCTGATCAGCTGTGAGGAAGAGGAGAAGGAGGAGGAAGAGGAGGAGGAGGAGATGATGGTGGTAAGGAAAAGTGTTTTCTATTAAACTGAGAATCAAACTTTAATATTTTTCTTCTTTTTGTTTCCTCTCTTCACATCAGATTTATAGAAACATGGAAAAATTATTAATTAAATATAATTGTTGTTTTTATTATAAACAACATGTTCAACATCTGACTCCTTCAAAGGCTGATCAATCTGATCAATCACATCAACGAGCTGCTGTTTAGTTTTTATTTTAAATGATTAATATGAGTGCTGTCTGACCTCTGACCTCTGGATAATAAAATGACATCAGCAGCAGTTTAACGATTGGCTCCAGTCCACCTGTCGCTGTCATGGTAACCAACAGTCTGTCTGTCTGTTTGTGTCTCTGAGGAAGTTTTCATGTCTTTTCTTCCTTCAGGGTCAACGTCTTATTTAATGCTCTGAGGGATGGAGGAAACAGACAGGATAAATATAATAAATATAATAAAGAACAAACTGAATATAACAAATATAAAACAAGTATAATAAACTGAATAAATAAAATAACTGTGAGTGAGATTAAAGTGTTTCTACAGTGAAGTGTGTGTGTGTGTGTGTGTGTGTGTGTCTGAGGACAAACTGTCCACACATATTTTACTAAAACAGTTTTCAGTCTGTTAATTTGATTCAAAACGAGACCACATGACCCCCTGCTGACCTCTGACCCCGCCCCCTTTTGGAAGTGATTGGCCAATAAAATGACACCAGAGAAGGTCATGGTCAACTCACACTCACACACAGACACAGACACAGACACAGACACACACACACACACACACACACACACACACACACACACTCAGCTGTAAACTGAGGCTGCTGCCAATAAAGTTTTATAAGACAGAGGTCAGAGGTCACCTCTGTTTCTGGAGTCAGTTTCCTGTTTCACACTTTAAATAAAGTTTTATGATTCAAAGTCACAGAATAAAGACGTCTCTGTGTGTCCTCAGCAGGTGAACGACGGAGGCTACGAGTCGTCCGTCTCTCAGGAGAAGCAGGACTCGGATCGTCCAATCAGACTCAAGGTCAGAGCAGAACTGTCATCTCATTGGCTGATAGTTGATGAACAACAGGAAACAGGAAACCAGCTGCTGCTGAACTGGTTCATCTGATTCTGATGATCAATAATAATCAATACTGTGGTGATCAGTGAGTCCAAAGACACTACATTTATCTGAAATATGAAACCAGGGCCAGAACCAGGACCTGAACCAGAATCAGAACCAGGACCAGGACTTGAACCTGGACCATCACAGGAAGTGGTTCAGTCAGAGCTGCAGTAGCACTGTAGTACCAGCAGGGGCAGTGTTCAGCAGTAGTAGTGTGTGCAGTACCTGTGTGTCTCCATGTGACACAGTGTCCGTCTGTTTGTCCCCGTCCAGACGGACCGATCTGGTCGACTCCTCCTGGAGACTCCTGCTGACCTCCAGAACCTCCTGCTGCTGAGGAGGAGCAAGAGGGAGCAGAGAGCTGCTGTGAGAACTCGTCCTGCTGCTGCTGCTCCTCCTGCTGCCGTGGTAACACACACACACACACGCACGCACACACACGCACACCTGTACAGGTGACGACAGACAGCAAAGAAGATGAGCAGTCACAACTTCCTGTTTCCATCCCCGTCTCTGTTTCTTCCTGCTTCATGTTTAACGACTCATTAACTCGTTAACTGGAGACAGGTGAGGAAACAGGAAGTGGAGACATCAGAAGGTGAATGAGTGTGTTGCTCAATGATGTCGTCACTGATAGACTCTGTCGGTGTCTTTCAGCCGTACTATGTGGACGAAGAGGATTTCTTTACGGCCTGTGATCAGAAGCAGCTGCTGGTGATCGACAGGTACCTGTCAACAGGTGGAGACGTCAACGCCTGTGACTCGGTGAGTCATCAACACTCCGCCGCTTCTATTGGCTCTGAAAAATGCAGTTTATTCAAATAAACCCCCGACTTCCTCCTGACAGCTGCTGTTCATGTTCTGTGTGAAAACAACAGTCATGTTCTCAACATGTTCCTCAACATGTTCCTCAGCATCTTCCTCAACATGTTCTCAACATGTTCCTCAACATGTTCCTCAACATGTTCCCCATCATGTTCCTCATCATGTTCCTCAACATGTTCTCAACATGTACCTCAACATGTTCCTCAACATGTTCCCCATCATGTTCCTCAACGTGTTCTCGACATGTTTGTGTTCTCAACATGTTCCTCATCATGTTCCTAATCATGTTCTCATCATGTTTCTGTTTCCTCTGATCACAGTTTGAGCGTACAGGTCTGCACAGAGCGAGTTCCCAGGGTCACACAGAGGTCGTCTCTAAATTGATGGAGGCTGGAGCCAACGTCCACAGCAGAGACAAGGTTCTGTCTTAATCCAGTGTTAGAACATGGTTTAATCCAGTGTTAGAACATGGTTTAATCCACTGTTGGAACATGGTTTAATCCACTGTTGGAACATGGTTTAATCCACTGGTGGAACATGGTTTAATCCACTGTTAGAACATGGTTTAATCCACTGTTAGAACATGGTTTAATCCACTGTTAGAGCATGTTTAATCCACTGTTAGAACATGGTTTAATCCACTGTTGGAACATGTTTAATCCACTGTTAGAACATGGTTTAATCCACTGTTAGAACATGTTTAATCCACTGTTGGAACATGGTTTAATCCACTGGTGGAATATGGTTTAATCCACTGTTAGAGCATGTTTAATCCACTGTTAGAACATGGTTTAATCCAGTATCAATTGTGGTTCTAATGTTCTGTTTCTGTCCAGCTGTGGTCCACCTGTGTCCACTCGGCCTGTCGGGGAGGACATCTGTCTGTCCTCAAACTGCTGCTGAACCATGGAGGAGACTACACTGCAACAGACAGGGTAACACTACACACACACTACAACTACTACACACAGTAACACTCAAACTTTGTTCTACATGAAAACTGAACTTAGTTCTACACAGAACCTGAACTTTGTTCTACACAGAACCTGAACTTAGTTCTACACAGAACCTGAACTTTGTTCTACACAGAACCTGAACTTAGTTCTACACAGAACCTGAACCTTGTAATCTGAACTTTGTTCTACAAGGAACCTGAACTTTGATTGTTTTCGGTGACTACAGACAAACCAGTCGAGTTTCTTTTTTATAGGTGACGTGGAGTTTTTAATATAAACAACCATTCTGATGGGTTGTTATGACATCATCATATTTCACAGTGACATCACTCTCAGCGGTGGTTCCTTATTGGTTGGTCTCAGGTACTGAACGGACTGAAAGGGACTCACAAAGATTTTGTCTGTAAACAAAAAAAAACATGTCCAAACACACGTATGATACAGAGTGTGTTAACATGTGCACGAACCTGTGTGGACACTGAACCAGTGACTGAGGACAAATCTGGAGCAGCAGAGGAACCTGAGCTACAGAACCTGTTGGAACAACACGTCTGACAGAAAGATAAACTGTAATATGATTGTGTGTGTGTGTGTGTGTGTGTGTGTGTGTGTGTCAGCTGGACAGTACTCCTCTTCATGTCTCTGTGAGGACCGGACATAATGACTGTGCTGAACACCTGATTCACTGTGGAGCTGACATCAACAAGCAGGACAGGGTGGGTCCAATAAACACACACACACACACACACACACACACACAGGTCAGAGGTCAGAGGTCGTACTCAGAATCACTCTGAGTGATGAAGTTCTGGTGTTAAAGTTCAGACTGGATCCTGATGCGTCTCAGGATGAGGAACACATGCCTGTGATACGCTGCTGGTTATGGTTGCTTAGCAACCTCAGATACAACCTGTCGCCACACTCTTGAAAGCAGAAAAGTCACAAGAGTAGCACCCAGCACCGACCTCACGTCTTCCAGGCGGTTAAAGACACAGCATGTGTATGGCCTGTAAGATAGATGCTGGGGAGACAAACTGTGAGGAGGAAGAGCACAGAGGAGGGAGGACGGAGGGAGGATGGAGGGAGGGGGAGTTTGCTTTTTCATCAGAGGAGGAATGGCTGAAAGACAAAGAGGAAGGAGAAACATTGTCCAAACACTGGATGATACAGAGTTCGTGAGACAGACGGAGCAGAGAGAAAGTTTATGGTCGATTAGAGATACACACACACGTGTCCCTCCTGACACACTATGACGTGTCCTCAGAGCAGCAGAGACGACTTCAGTCTGTCTCCTCCTCCCATCAGCTCACTATCACTCTTATACTGTGATACACTTCATGTCCACCAGGTGTCCTCACCTGATGGACTCAGTAGATGTGGAGACAGTGACACCCGGTGGTCATCTGTCAAACTGCACTCAGCTCTGATTTCACTCTGAAGATTCAAGACAGGGAGCAGCTGTTTGACCTTACACTGAGCTCCATCAATCATTTAATAAACTGTATCAGGACACTCATATACCTGGTGATGGTGATGATGATGATAATGATGATGGTGAGGATGGTGACAGTGATTATAATGTGATGGTGATGATGATGATGACGGTGATGATGATGAAAGTGATGATGATGATGATGGTGATGTCATGTTTCAGGAGGGAGACACTCCTCTTCATGATGCCGTTCGACTCAACAGATCTAAGACCGTCCAGCTGTTGTTACTACAAGGAGCCGACACACACATCACCAACCAGGTAACCCTGACATCTGATCCCTGACCTCCGGGGCCTCGGGGCCCACAGTGTGTCTGCAGCAGTGAGTCACAGTGTGAACAGACATGATGAAGGTCTGACAGTCTGTATGAACACTGAGTCTGACGCTGCAGTTCTGCACACGCTCAGACCGTCACAATAACTCATGTCTCTGACTCTCTGTCTCTGTCAGGATGGACGCTGTCCTCTGGACGATGTGTTGGAGTGGCAAAGTGAGACAAAAACTCTCCTTATCCAGCCCAACGACAGGAAGTGATGTCACTGATCGTGTTACAGATCCACCAATAACGATTCAACACTTTGAGGCTTCTGATTTTTCATCAGTGAAGTAAACAAAGTTTGTTTTTGTTTACGTCTTCAAGAAAAATCCCAGAGACACAAACGTCTCAGCAGCTTTTTTTAATTTCAGCATTTAAATTAAACCTTTATTTACTCACTCTGTTTCATTGATTGATTGATTGATTGATTGATTGATTGACTGACTGACTGACTGACTGATGAAGTCTCAGTGTGACCACCAGGTGGCAGTAATAATAAATCATAAACAGGAACCAGGACCTGTTGTTAAAGATGAAAACATTTAGTTTTTATTTTTTGAAACAAGAATAAAATGTTTGTGTCATCTATACAAAGACAACACTACTTCCTGTTTACCTCTGGCTGTAGTACGGCAGCCTCTGAGGGACAAATCTGTCCATCGGCAGTCCAGGAGGTGGAGACAACGAGACAGACGGCAGGTGGAGACAGTCAGACAGACAGACAGACAGAGTTGGTGATTCTACAGACTGGTATTATTTTCAGGAGAACCTGGAGAACATTCTGTGCTTTCAACATGTAGATTTTGTTTTAAAACAGTCTGTAACATCAGGAGGGTTTATCCTCTGGAGAACATTACTGGTGATTGCTTACTGTTGTGACCTCTCCCTCTGTAAACAAACAAACAATATCAGAAAAACAACAATAATAACATTTTGTTTATTTAAAGTTTCTTACAGAACATTTTCTATTTTTCACAGTTTAAATCAGAACTCAGGAACATCAGAGTCCAGTTTACAGCCTGAGACACGTTCTACTGCTCAGGTACACACAGTCACACACACAGGGTCACACAGTGTTCTGACAGATTTACATTTCACTGGTTCTGAGCGTCTACGGGAGGAAGCTGTCCTGTGATTGGTGCTCCTGTTCAGACGTCTGTGAGCGTCAGGCAGACCACTTTGACCAGTCTGACCAGTCCCCCCTGATGGTGCTGACGACAAACAATCATGAATAACTGACGTGTGTTATTATTGACAGTTAAAACATCATGTCATCAGTCCACTAAACATCAGCTGCTGTACTGCAGTAAAATCTGATGGTGATCTACCTGCTGATGGTGTTCTACCTGCTGGTGGTGATCTACCTGCTGATGGTGTTCTACCTGCTGGTGGTGATCTACCTGCTGATGGTGTTCTACCTGCTGGTGGTGATCTACCTGCTGGTGGTGTTCTACCTGCTGGTGGTGATCTACCTGCTGGTGGTGATCGACCTGCTGATGATCGACCTGCTGATGGTGTTCTACCTGTTGATGTGATCTACCTGCTGGTGGTGTTCTACCTGCTGGTGGTGTTCTATCTGCTGATGTGATCTACCTGCTGATGGTGTTCTACCTGCTGGTGGTGTTCTACCTGCTGATGTGATCTACCTGCTGATGGTGTTCTACCTGCTGGTGGTGTTCTACCTGCTGATGTGATCTACCTGCTGATGGTGTTCTACCTGCTGATGTGATCTACCTGCTGATGGTGTTCTACCTGCTGATGGTGATCTACCTGCTGATGGTGTTCTACCTGCTGATGATGATCTACCTGCTGATGGTGATCTACCTGCTGATGGTGTTTCACCTGCTGGTGGTGTTCTACCTGCTGATGGTGATCTACCTGCTGGTGCTGTGTGGTGGGGGAGTGTGTAGTACTCACTGTGTGCGGTCTGGATGTGTTTGCGGTCAGCAGGTCAGAGATCAGCTGGGTGAAGTGAAGAACCTCCGGCCCGGTTCTGTTCGACCCCTGAAGACAAACACAGAACAGAATCAGAGGAACAGGAGGTGGAGAAGGACGCTGAAGGGCGGAGCTGGTCTGATGAGGTCTTACGTGTTGGTCAGAGCGTTCCCCAGGTTCCTCATCCGACCTCTCACAGATCCTCTGCTCTGAGTTTTATAGTAACTGCTCAACTCCGGAGACGTCAGAGGTTTAAACAGCCGACCTGGAAAATACATTAAACACAGCAACACAGGGACATTAAAACTACTCGTCCACTGGAGGGACAATGGACATCATTTAGAAACAGAACCCACCGTGTCCATTGTCCTGGGTGGAGGTCACAGTGGTGGAGGACAAAGTCTGATGTGTCTGCACGGTGAGGACACGTCTCCAGTAAGATTCAGGGAGGGACAACATGCTGCAAACAACCTGAGACAAGAGGGACGGACTTAGAGAACCACTGAGGGTAAAGACGGACCTGATCGCTCCTTGTAAACACTGATCAGGGTTTAAGTCCTCTTGGTTGTCTAAGAAACGTGAGCTGTTGCTTCAGCTGAAACACGCTGTCCAAACATTCTTAATATTTATCTGACATTAAAAAAAAAACCTCACAATGATAAAACCCAGTTATTGTAAGATCTATGTTCTCTGAATGAGACCTTTAGAACCAGACGAACCTTTGGCTGAGTGTTGGTGTCGCTCATGATGGTCGTTGGAGTCGGCTCAGACATCCCATGTCCCACGATGGTCGGTCCGAACACCCTGGCCAGATTGTTCTGGTCCATCTGACACTGAGGACTCCTCATCACCCTGAAGAACCGAAGAATAGAGAGAACGGGTACAGTCTGGATCAAACTAACTTCCTGTCATGATGTGTGTGACACACTATCAGAACATAAAATAACCCCTGTAACATAATATTCTTCAACAGATCAATGGGTTATTAAATCTACTGGTCCTGTGTCTTGGTAGATCTGAGACTGAATTAAGGAACCTGAACTCAGTGAACAAAAGGTGACTCAAATCAGAGAGAACTGACCAGATTGCCTTTATCACTGACTTTTTACACTTCGGAAAGAGTGTTCAGATCTGTGTCTGCAGGTTCCCTTCTTATTCTGACAGTACCTGCTAACCTGTTCCTGTTCTTCAAGGTAAGGAACCCAAACAAACAGATCAAAAAGAACATATTCAATAAAACATTCTTATAACGATGATGTCAGCGTTAAAACTTCTGAGTTTCTGACTGAAGAACATGCTGACAGTTCTCTGCACATTGGTGTTCTTTCACATGAACAAAGATTTCATGGATCAACATAAAACACAGCTCCTGTTTTTGTTTGGTTCCATCCAAGAACAACAGAGAACAGCTGAAGGTTCTTACTTGTGTAAGTGAAGCATGAGGAAAGCCAGAGTGTCTCTGTTGGTCTTTGGAAGTTCTGCTATCGCCTGAAACATGATGGCAGTTCTGTTGTCTTCATCGGCCAACTCTAGAACATAGAACCACACAGGGGACATTATATTATATTATCACATACATGCTCTACCTACACAGACTTGCTCTACCTACACAGACGTATTCTACCTACACAGACGTGTTCTAAATACACAGACGTGTTCTAACTTCACAGACGTGTTCTACCTACACAGACGTGTTCTAACTACACAGACTTGCTCTACCTACACAGACGTGTTCTAACTACACAGACGTGTTCTAACTACACAGACGTGTTCTAACTTCACAGACGTGTTCTACCTACACAGACGTGTTCTAACTACACAGATGTGTTCTAACCACACAGACGTATTCTACCTACACAGACATGTTCTAAATACACAGACGTGTTCTAACTTCACAGACGTGGTCTAACTACACAGGCGTGTCCTAACTACACAGGCATGTTCTCTATTCCAGTTAAAATCCTAAAAGTGGATGCTGATTGGTTGAGATGTAACATGAGTTCACTGTGTGCTGATTGGTTGAGAGCATGCTGATTGGCTGATAGTAAACATGGTCTAACTCTGTGAGTAGCCTCGGTCTCTGTACCTGAGGCCTCCATGAAGGTTCTGTGCAGTCTGAAGGTGACCAGAGGTTCTTTCAGTCTCCTCAGGAAGTCTTTGAGGAGACCGCACAGAACATGGACATCATAGACCTTACTGAGCATGAGTGGAGTCTTCCCCTGGATGAATCTATCTCTGAGCTCCTTCACCAGACGTTCTCCTCCAGGTACTCTGTAAAGTCCTCTCTGCAGACAGCAGAGACGTTCCTCGTGAACCAGATGGAACAACACAGGTTAGCTCACAGCCTTAAAGAACGTGAGGATGATCTCACCTCCTCCAGCCCTCTCCTCTCAATCTCAGCCACACACTCCACCATCAGTTTGGGAATTCTGGGATGGGTCAGCGGGGCAAAACTCTCCAACGAGTTCTGAGGAGAACAAAGGTCGTATGAAGTTAATCAATCAATCAATTTTATTTATAAAGCCCAATATCACAAATCACAATTTGCCTCACAGGGCTTTACAGCATACGACATCCCTCTGTCCTTATGACCCTCGCAGCGGATAAGGAAAAACTCCCCAAAAAAACCCCTTTAACGGGGAAAAAAAACGGTAGAAACACACTCAGTGACCTGCTGTGGTTCTGTGAACCTGCTCCTCTTGTCGTTTGGCAAGTGAGGCTGAGGGAGCGAGGTGGAGAATGAGGCGAAGGGAGCGAGGTGGAGGAGTGAGGCGAAGGGAGCGAGGTGGACAGTGAGGCGGAGGGAGTGAGTGAGGCTGAGGGAGCGAGGTGAAGTGAGGCAGAGGGATGTCGAGGAGTGAGATGGAGGGAGTGAGATGGAGGAGTGAGGAGGAGTGATGTGGAAGAGTGAGGCAGAGGGAGCGAGGTGGAGGAGGGAGGCATAGGGAGCAAGGTGGAGGAGTGAGGCAGAGGGAGCGAGGTGGAGGGGTGAGGTGAAGGGAGTGAGGGGCACTACCCTTTAACGGGGGAAAAAAAGAGAATGAAATAAACTGATGTATGGGAAACACTGTTACTGTAGGAGGTGTGTGCATGTGCCCGTGGTCGTCTGGTGGGAGGGGCTTTGCTGCAGGTTTTTTTTTTTTTTTTTTTAAGCTTTAGCGTTAAAAATCTCGGAGGTACCTGCTGAGCTGAACTTCCTGTCGTGGCTGTGGCTGAGCAGCTGTCACTGAGTTTCTGTTTGCACTCTGGATGAGCGACTGCACGGCAGTTCCTGCACTTCACCGCCATCTTCCCAAAACGGATCCTCTTACCGCACGGCGAGCACGTCTCTGGCCGGATCACCTGGAGGGAGGCAGATGTAAATGATACTGAAGTCTGACCTGATCCTAATCTGAGTCTGACCACCTGTAATCTCCGTCCGTTACATCATCACACATGATTAACATTATTCCTCAGATCAGTGCGCCTCTATACAGATTTACATTTATCTGACAGATACCAGCAGGTACGTGATGTTCTGACCGACCTTCACTCACATCAGTATTTCTGACTCACACAAACACTGAAGGATCAGTCGTCAACATTTGACAGTTACAAATCAGACTCTACAGGTTAACTGCTGTTTGTCTTTTATAAACTCTCCTAAACACTTGCTCTGTGTGTGTTCATACAGTTTTAGACAGGAAGACATGTTTCAGGGTTTTCTCAGTGGTGCAGGTGTACGACGCTCTGAAGGCGGTGCTCTCCTCCATCTTTGCTTCAGTCTCAGGCTCCATCATCGTCTCATCAGAGGGGAACCACACGGACGTTTGGTCTGAGGAACACAGGGTTTAATTCTTAGTTCAGACATACAACCATTATTTTTAGAAAAACAGACTTCAGCTCAGAGTTCAGTGACTTGCAGCTGGATTAGAGTCGGGTCTTGTTGGTCCGGTGTACGACTTTAAACCAGTTTAATTTTATGTTAATAAAACAGTGTCTGTTTACTCTGAAAGCTCAGCAGTGGATGAAGAACAGCTGATTCATGAAGACAAAATGAAATACTCCAAGCAGCTGCAGTATATAAACACTAGAGGGCGCCACAGGTGACAAACACAGGACCTACTCCAGGCGAGCTAAAGAAACAAAGAGCGACCTGCTGTCGGATCATCTGGAGCGCATGAATAAAAACAGATCGACTTCTAATCAAACAAAATCCACATGGAGAGACACAAGGCAGCGTGACGGGTGGAGAAAATAAAGAGTTGGTGCATCCAGTGTCAGTGTCTGTTGACGAGACAGTAAAATGTCAGTGGCGCCGGATGTAAACGACGAACTGTAATCTTAAAATCCTGCTTTGTAGCACAGGCCTAAGGTGGACCATCAGCGGAAACTTTATTTAAACTGCGTGGTTTTCAGCATCTGATGCTAACAGTCAGAGTCCTGTCAATGTGATGGACCGAACCACTGAGCCCTGATCAACAGTTTGAGACTCACCTCCTCCGACTGACTCCTGGGGGAGGGGCTGGACCGGCTGCTCAGGGGTCTGGATCTGAGCTCCGGTCTCAGGAGTCATCACAGACGCCTTCACAATCGCCTCCACCTCCTGAGTCACACACAAACTCAACGTTAGGCTCCGTCATGTTTTTAACAGGAGAAACTTCTGTCAGTCTGAGCGTCTTTGTTGCGACAACGTGAACCTGGAGGTTTAAGAAGGTGCAGACCAGGACTGCATCTAACGGTTATTTTCATTTATGACTCATGTGCAAATTATTCTTATTCAACATTTCGTGAACAGTCGTACAAACACACAGTCAGAACATGTCCGACATGTCGTGTGTGATTGATCAGATCAAAGTGAAGCTTCAGTTTTTCCTGCACTGAGCTGCAGTTTGATTTTAGTTACAGGTCTCAGGGCCTCTTCCACCACAGCTTTTCTATCCAGCAGCTCTGCAGACACGTTCCCACTTCTCCCTCGCCTCCCAGCGGCGGCGCCAACAGCCGGTCCCATCGATGAGCGCTGCAGAGAACCATCAGAACGTCAGAACAAAAGACAAACACACTGAGGAACATGTGAAGGTGGAAGTGTCACAGTTACCCTCCGCTCTCTGGCTCGAGACCTCAGAGGTTTGATCACGCTCGTGTCCAGGTCCTACAACACAATGAAACGTTTTACATCATCATGTTTCCTGAACCAACAGGAAACACTGACGCACCGTCTGTCTTCTGTTCAGGATATCTAATCTGAATATCTCTGAATCAGCTGGTTGTTAAGAAGACGGTGTTTAAACCATACATCCTCCTGTGTTCAGATTAAAGTTCGTACCACGTCATCGTCTGTCCGATCGTAGCTGATGTCAGAGTGCGACAGGAAAGATGACTCGTCGATCACACACAACCTGAAGGAGTCAGACAGAAAGATTTCATCACCATCAGAGATCTAACGACAGGTTTACTCTTTTTATTATTATGTGATGTCACTGCTGCGGAGAACCAACCAATGGTCTTTTACTGACGTCTGAACTCATCAGACCACTTTGTCAGCTCAGGCCCAGAGAAGTGGGCGGAGCATGATAGAGTCTGAACTGTCATTGGTAGATGCAGTGGTGTGTTTATTGACAGTGGTTTTCCAAAGTGTTCCTGGGCCCATGTAGTAATAACCTTTAAACAGTCATGTTGGTTTGTAATGCAGTGACGTCTGAGGGGTCAAACTGTGACCTTTGATTAAACCCTGTAGTAAAGGACAAACTGTGACCTTTGATGTAACCCTATAGTACAGAACAAACTGTGACCTTAACTACAAGGTCAAATCAAAGGTCAAACTGTGACCTTTGATTTAACCCTACAGTAAAGGTCAAACTGTGACCTTTGATTTGACCCTCCAGTAAAGGACAAGCTGCGACCGTTACTACAAGGTCAAATATAAGGTCAAACTGTGACCTTTGATTTAACCCTGTAGTAAAGGACAAACTGTGACCTTGGATTTGACACTGTAGTAAAGGACAAACTGTGACCTTTGATTTGACACTGTAGTAAAGGGCAAACTGTGACCTTTAATTTAACTTTGTGGTAAAGGACAAGCTGTGACCTTGGGTTTGACCCTGAAGTACAGTTAACCGTACGATGTCTTACCGTTTGCTGCTCTTGTGCAGAGTCATGTTTGTTCCTTTCTGTTCAAACGTCGCTAACAGAGACTTTTGCTCGTTGTTCAGACAGGCGCTGGATTTACTGTCGTGGACTAGGATGTCACACATGAGCTGCATCTGCCTCTGCTGCCAATCAGAGACACAGAGAACAGTGAAACAGTGCTGACAGCGCCCCTATATAAACCCACTTCAGGCCCCTGTGGACTGCGGGAATCGTAGGTTTGGAGCCCTCAGCCCTCCCAGACCAACGTGCCCATAAAGTCTGTGAGTCTGTCAGTGTGGTGACGTCTGGACATTTGGACTCAGCCTTCCTGTGTTCGCGTGCAGAGACTCACCAGGTACTGATAGTCGCCTTCAACCTTGTAGCGTTTCTTCATCTCCACGTCCAGCTGGTTTCGAGCGTGTTTCAGTTTGACCTCCAGAGCAGCTTTGGCCACGTCAGACTTCACCAGCAGCTCTTTGTATTTCTTCAGCTCCAGCTCGGCGTGCAGCCAGCGCTTCCTGACCGTCTCAAAGTTCTTCAGCACGTCAACGATCTCTGGAGGGACAGACGGACACATCATCATCATCATATGCTCAGACTGAGACAGTGCAGGAGGTTTGTGATCAGGAGACATGAGACAGGGTGAAGTCCACTCATCGTTTCATCACTTCCTGTCTGTGTCTCTGCCAGTGCTCTTCCAACAAACAGGGACAAATAAAACAGACAAAGGAGGACACATCGGAGACTCCTCTGATTATCACAGGAGCATAAAAACGTCTCAAACCTCCTCCACCCGTACGAACGTCATAATGATGTCACAGCGACTGAGGTACAAACTGTCCCTGGATCAGATCGGTCGTCTCACCTCGCTCTGTGCTCACAGTGTTCTCCTCCATGGTGATCCTCTGGAGACAAAGAGCCAGCAGCTCCTCCGCGATCAGCCGAGACTCCCCCATCACTCTCCTCCTCCTACTCCTCCTCCTACTCCTCACTCTGCAACATTAAAGGAACAGTCCGTCTTCATTGCAACTACCTGACTCTTAGGGCGTGTTTATACAGTTCCGTATATTTCTTAAAACAGGTATTTATCTTTGCGTTAGCACCTATCATGTACACACTCTCAACGAAAACAGAGATTTTCAAAAAGCGGCTTCCAAAGTGAAAGTTTTAAAAATATCCGTTTCTATGGAGACGTGTAAACAGGATAGACAAAGATTTTGGAAAACGATGATGTTGCAACCCAGTTCGTGCATGCCCATTAGGCGCCCGGGAACCACGACAACAATGGCAGATATATGCCAGGTTGTTTACGTTTTGTTAGCACTTTTGGGACTACTTACGAGCTTACAAATGAACTTAGCACTGCTGCATCAACATCACCGCTACATCGGCGCACAAAGACGTCTGCTGTGCCCAATATTAGTAAGTGTATAACAGCTAACTATGCTGCATAAGGTTAAAATGTTTATCATTGTTTTTATCACTAGCGCCAAGAGGAAAACAAATCACTGTGCATGCGCAGAACGTTCTTCTATGGTGTTTGACATATGGCGTATCACCACCTACTGGCCTGGCTAATTCCAGCAAAAAGCTGCCATTTTTGCGTTTTCATGTAAATAGGGATATCGTTTTCACAACTGATCGTGTAAACCCGGAATTATTTTTATACGGGATAAATAAAAAATCTGTTTTTATTTGTATCAGTATCCATGTAAACAGGGCCTTATTTTGGCAGTCTGTCTGGTAGTGGACAACGAGGACAATGTGGACAACCTTCACTGAGGACCGTCACTGTTTCTAACGAACATTAATCAGATGACATTTTTCACTCCTGAAGTTTAAACTTTTTAAAACTGAAGAACAAACTGAGTTTAAGACTCTTCAGCGGCGTCTGATCTTTAACGGTAAAGTTCAAACATCTGACTCGACTTCTCATTGTTCCAAACAGATGACATCACATCCCCTCAGCCCCGCCTTCTCTCCTCTGACTTCCTGTTTAGTTTAGAACTTCCTGTGTCTGTAAAGTCTGATTTAAAGACGCTGCATAAATAAGGTTATTATTATCATCATCATCATCATCATCATCATCATTATTATCTGCTGAGTTCAGATATTAATCTGATGTCTCTATAGAACAATAACTGTGAGAAGAGAACCAGCTCTGTGTTTGACTCATTTCAGGTTTCAGCATAAAATCAAACTTTCACACTTAAAGAACATCTGAGCAGACATCTTCATCATCATCATCATCATCAGTATCATCAGCATCTTTTTTGTTGGTGTTGTTTATCAGTGTTTCTGCAGAATGAAACATGAGCATATGAAGTCAGAGGAAAATCAAACTGAAAACTGTTCCGTTTCTTACAGCGCGCGCACTTTTGTTCACAGAGTCTGTGCATGTGCACATCACAGTTCAGCACACTCTGAACACACTCACATCGACGCACGTGCGGGTCTCGGATCGTGCTGCGGGATTTAAAACGTGTTTCTGTGACCGATCTGCACCGGAAATACTGGTGAAGCAGCAGCGGTCTGCAGCCTGAACACAGCTGAGAGGATCAGTGACAGGATGACTGGGTGAATGAGTGAATGAAGAAGTGACTGTGTGAAGGGCTGAACTCACCTCCGGCTGCAGCTCTGACTCTCCTCTCATCAGATGCTTCAGTCATTTGTCCTGTGCACCTGTGACCACGTGACCTCACCTGCTCCGCCTATTGGTCGTGATGTCATCAGTGCAGCTGCGTCATCACGTGCTTTTATACAAACAAATAAATAAAAGAATATAAACTTTTTTTTTCATTAAATGGATCCTGAGTTCTGTTTGATTCATCACATTATTTTCATGTTTATATTCAAGTGTTTCAAACTTCCATGATGAGGTCATAAAATAAAGTGAATTAGGGAAATAGAGTGAAAATTGCAAAAACAATTTTGACGTCCTGTCAGATTTTTGATCTTATGATCATTATGAACATTTAGTGTTTGCCACAGAGTTATAATGTGTTGGGTTACCGCTGTTCAGCTGCTGTTTGATGCAGCGCTGAAGGACCGCCTCTGTGAGAGGCAGGTAACATCTGACACAGAGCCGTTAATCTGCCGGTAAAACGTCTTGACTCTGTCGTTAATAACTGTTGGGTAACGTTAGCCGCGTGATGCTAACAGTTAGCTCTGACACTGTGAGACACTCAGAGGTCTGATGATGAGCAGAGAATCATAACGCTGCACGCAGCTCCACGATGACATCAGGTCTGACCTGTGTTACATCACATTTGCAGTAAAGCTACAGTGATTGGTCAAAGTTGCAGCTCGCACAGAATTCACCGAGATTGGCTGAGTTTGTTTTAACTGTTGTCATCATGACATCACAACGTCCTGGAGGGCGTGTCATCCTGAGTGTTCCTGTAGCGCCACCATGAGGTCGGGTCAGCAGCTGGTTTTTACTGAAATGTGTCACCAAGTGTTGGACTGTGATGAAACATCGGTCATGTTCTCCTGAGGATGAACCGTCAGAACCGTTGTTTAATTGTGCTTTAAATATTATTTGTGCTGTCTGTGATTCCACAAGATCTTTAAAATTTAAGAGTTTTGACTGTGAGAATAATGAGTTTCTATGATGCCTATATCCTGCCCCATGACTGATCCGTCGTTTCTTTTGCAAAATAAGTAATGGATGAATTGTGTTTATTTAGCTGTTGACCCAAACCTCTGATAGATTATGGATTAATTTAATTTAATTTAAATGTAATTTAATTTAATTTAATTTAATTTAATCTTAGTCTTCTTATTTTATTTTATTTATTTTATTTTATCTTGTTTTTTATTTTTTTGTAGGAAGTTTCTCCCCCTCAGATCAGCATCAGTCAGTCATCCTGACACTGAACATGTAGAGCATTTAGACCAACACTCTACATCTGTATCCACATGTATTATCAACAAACCATTAGTTTTTCATCTGCTGCTAAAGTGTCACTTCTTCATTACTTTAATGGTCCATGAATCTTTTCCTGTGGGTTGGTTACTCAGCACCAACTCTTTAGGAACGTAAAAACCAGCACTCAGCACATTTATGACAGCGCTGCTCTCATCAGGAGTCACCTGTGGATGTGTGTTTCACTGATGCTTCAATGTGCTGGAACTAAAATGTGTTTTCTATCTCAGTGACACATTTTACCTCTGAGAAAACTGTGTTAGAGCCTGTTTTATGAAGGAAAACCACCGGGGGAAGGAGCTTAAAGCATTTCTTATTGCATGTTTTAAAGATATCTCAATTTAAAGGTGAAGAAATGTACTTAAGAATTAATTTCGTGCAGCTGTTCACACACTTGATTTAAGCTGATTTATATTTTCCCATCTGCTTTTAGACAGAAGTATTTAGGACATTTTTCTTAACCAGCTTTCGTTTAATTAAACATGTCTGTCTTGTCAAGATCATTATGAAGGTGGTGTTTGAACCTGTGCTCCTCTGGCTGATGGAGCTGCTCGCATAGGCAAACAGCCTAAAGAGATGAGGTCAGTCTCACAAACCCTAAATTATATTTTCCCAAAAATACACAGAAGAATAAGTCACTTTTCCTCTGAATGATCTTTACATAAATCAGTCAGTTTATTTGTATAGCACCTCTCATGCAGGTTAATGCAGAGTGCTTTATAGATACTGACAAGCTGTTATACACCGAGACAAATGCAAACAGCAACACAGTTTGCTGTTAAACTAATATTTATATCTAATATTTAAGCTTATTAAACCCGGGAAGTTGTGATTTTTTTGGTCTTGGTTGGTTGGAAAGAAAAGATTTGGTGAAAGAATAAAATCCAGAAACATGTAGCAGCATCTAAAGGCTGATGAACTGTAGATCAGTGATGGAAAGTTAGTCTTCAAGGTATTTTACTTCAGTTATCCGACTGAATGCTGCTTCATATTTTTACTCCACAACATTTATATCTTACATAAATGTTATTTGCAGTAGGTTTAACAGATTTAATTACTTTTAATACAATAAGTTTATGAAATTATATTTATTGTTATACATTAAAGCAGGCAACCCAACAGTGTATAAAGTGGTTAAAATTACCTTCACTTTTAATCAGTTATGACATTAAAAAAGTAGTAGTGAGAGAGCAACAATATCATTTAATATTATAATAAACACTTCTGTGCAAAAGTAACAATTTGAATTCTGGACTTTGACTTGTAATGCAGTGTTTGATGGTATGATAGCATTTCTGCTTCTACTCAGGTAAAGGATGTGAGTACTTTTTCCATCACTGACATCTAATTTTGGTGCTGCAGTAGTCATTTCTAATATTATATGGTGTGACATTGTCATTTTCATTTACCTAATCTTCATGATTTCTGGTATTGTTTAGTATGAAGTTCATTCAGTTTCAGGTTCAGTTCAGTTTATTTAAGATGGGACAGTGAAAATTAATAAATACACATGGTATAAATATGCCAGAATTAGCCAAGAGGCTATTTTTCATGTGTAGTCATTTGACCAAGATGTCACACAAGACTACCTAACATACAACAAAGCACTAAATAAAATACAATAAAATAAAATGAAATGAAATGAAATGAAATTAAATTAAAAAAACAAGGCATACAGTTTGAAAGACTTCTTTCAACACATCAACAAGAAAATATACATTTGTATATTTAAGTAGCTAATTTGGGAGGTGAAAATAAAAAAAAAAAAAATCCTAAAAAAAATAATTCTTTATCACACCAATAATGCAATCAAAATTTACAATATCCATTAAACCAGACTGTTGGAGAAGCTGTGGCGAAAAGAATGCAAATCACTCACATGTCTTCTTATTCTGCCCAATACTAAAAACGTTCTGGCAATTAATTATGATTTCAATCATGAAAACATTCCAAATTCAACAGACATTTGAATCAAAGAGTATTATTTTAGGTATATCACCACCTGAACTCACATCAGAAATAGACAGATACTTATATAGGATACTTAGAATTGCAACTATGAAGCAGATAACAAGGAACTGGTTAAAATCCACCGCGCCTTCACTTAACAGCTGGAAGATAAATGTAGACAACATCTCAGAAACGGAAAGGATAACTTATAGAATCAGGAATCAAGAACTGGAATATTTTAAGCGATGGAATAAATGGTTTTAAGTATAATGACTACAACTGATTCAAAGACAAAGACTCACCCTCAAATAATGATACTGCATGGTGCATTACCATGCATCATGCAATATCATTATTTTCACTCACACACAAAAATATATATATAAATATTGTAAGAATGCTGTAAATAGCAAAATCATGTAAGTAAATGTAAAACTATGTAAACTTTGGCACTCTGACAATAAAGCATAAAAAAAAATAAAAAATAAAATAAAATTGAATTAAATTAAATTAAATAAAAAAAACCAAGGCATACAGTTTGAAAGACTTCTTTCAACACATCAACAAGAAAATATACATTTGTATATTTAAGTAGCTAATTTAGGAGGTGAAAAACAAGAAAACATCACTTGGTAAAGTAAAATATCCACATATTTGAGTTTAGGATGGAAAATATCTTCCAAAGTTAGACAAAAAAGCCAAGTCCCTACATTACCTCATGTCTCTGTTGCTGTTGTTTTGAAATAAACTGGAATTTTTGTATATTTTCCTTTGAAAATATATATTTTACTTGTTCCATTTATTTTCCCAAGTCTCTTGATTCTTTTATAAAGTGATGTATTTTGTTGTTACTGTTGTAGTTCCCACACTGACCTGCAGTACCCGCCAAGACACCAGGGGGCGATATAACAGTAAGTGTTGACGTCACCGACGCGGAAGTACTGTACTTCCTGGCAATCAAAATGGAAACAGTTGTACTAAAGTAGCTTCAGATATCGCATTAACTTTCCTATGTTTACGGAATATTACACATTAACATCTTTTTTTAAGTCAACTGTAGTAGCGGACAGCTACTTTAAAGGCTGATGTTGTCGAAGAAGTTCGCATTTTGGGGAGAATTGTGAACTAAAGTGAGAAAAACAAGGAATATCATCGCAGCTAACGTTAGCTTAGTCCCAACCTAAGCTAGCTGTGGACTTTAAATAGTTTTACCCGACATATTTCTGCGGTAAACACAGTCGTTGCTCGGATTCTTCATTTAAAGTTTGGAGCCACATCAGCGGGATGCATCGGAGAGGAGTTGGTGCGGGAGCTATCGCTAAGAAGAAGCTCGCAGAGGTGCAGTTACAGTTCATGAATATTTCTGTGTTTTTACATTAACTCATTTATTTAGGAAAACTCTTCAGTGTCTCACCTGTGTTCTTTTTGTTCTGTTCAGGCCAAATATAAGGAGAGAGGAACTGTTCTTGCAGAAGACCAGATTGTACAAGTGAGTTCTTGCTTCTTGTTTTTTTTAGATATATAAGCATTGAAAACTTTTATACATGCAACATTTTTTTTTATTAATTTATTTTTTATTTAAAATTAATAACTAGTAATTTTAGTTGCTTAATAAACTTATTAATTTCAAATAAAAAATGTTTTTGTCTGTTTATATTAACAAAATAATAATTAATGCCTGTATGATGAATGTCATATTCATAACTAACAAACAAATAATTCTTAGACAGTCAATAAAAATATTTTTAACACAGTCTCCTCCTCTCATTACAAATGTACATTTGCCATGTATTTATTCTGTATCCCGATTTTTGTCTGTTGATATTCTCCTGCTTTGCATTTCCTCAAGTGTCTCTGTTTTCCTCCAGATGTCGAAGCAGCTGGAAACCTTCAAGTCCAACCTGGAGGAGTTTGCCAGCAAGCATAAACAAGAAATCAGGAAGAACTCACAGTTCAGGGTTCAGTTTCAGGAGATGTGTGCCACCATTGGAGTCGACCCACTTGCCTGTGAGAAACAGTTGGAATATAATTTGTAAAAATATAAAAGAGTGTTTGTGTTAAAGATGAAAATAACTTCTCATATCTTCAACAGCTGGTAAAGGTTTCTGGTCTGAGATGCTCGGCGTAGGTGACTTCTACTATGAGCTCGGCGTACAGATTATTGAAGTGTGTCTGGCCCTGAAACACAGAAATGGAGGTTTGTAATTTCTCTGGAAATCGTTGTGATTGACTGGTGACAAAGAGGTGACAAAAATGTCTGCAATCAGAGGAACTGAGCATGACAATACAGTAATTAACAATTAATCGAGTCATTGATACCTGCACGATTCATAATGTCTCTGGCTTTTAAATGTTGACATGTGTTCTTTATTTCAGGGCTCATTACTTTGGATGAACTCCATCAGAGAGTACTGAAGGGAAGAGGTAAATACGCACAGGATGTGAGCCAGTAAGTGTCACTACTCTAATATTTCATGTGTCAGAGAAAATCATGTTTATATAATTTATATGTCGGTCTTAAGCTGTGTGATGTATTAAAATTGTAAAATATGTGCTTCACAGAGATGACTTGATGAGAGCGATAAAGAAACTGAAGGTGATGGGGAACGGCTTTGGGATGATTCCTGTTGGTGGTTCTTACTTGGTGCAGTCGGTCCCAGCAGAGCTCAACATGGACCACACTGTAGTTCTGCAGCTGGCCGAGGTAAGACGCAGCTTTTGGGTTGATTTTTTTTTTCATTTTCATTTATTTATTCCTTTTGACCCCTCCCCGGGGTATAAGGGGCAGACAAAAAAAAAATAACATTAACAAATCAGGACAGGCGGCAGCCAATGCACAACAAAATAAATAAAACAGAATTTGTGTACATACATACAAGTCAAAGCAAATCAAGAGAAACTATTCAAGATTTTCTTTAAAAGTTTCAACAAATTTGACAAGACCTTTACTTTTCGAGATGACATTAACTTTTGAAACTTATAAATATTTGGATTTGCTCTATAGAACTGTCCGACCAACTCTCTTCTCTCTTTATCAAAAAAAGAACACACAAGTACATAATGATATTCGTCTCCTCGATTGCCAGTCAAACAAAGAGTACATTTCCGGGGGACATTTTCACGATCATACCTGCGCTCAGAGATAGGTAACTTATGATTTCCACACCGAAACTTAGACAAACAAACTCTTTCGGCAGGTCTTAACATAATCAGATAAGGTTCAAAAGTGAAATCAGTTTTAAACAATTTATAACTATCACATAAAGGGTTACTTTGTAATTTCTCATGCCATCTCTGTAGTTCCATATCAGATAATCTACGTTCAATCATTAATTTTAAATATTTAGGGTTCATCCGTCCAGCGTCATGCCATAAGTACGATAAACCACAATCATCAAAAATATTTTTAACTTTGGAAATCCATTGATGATTGATGATTGATGATTATAGTGAGCGCCACAGCAACATAATTTCAGATAAGCTTAGCTTTGAGTATGAATTTGCCACTCAGGTTTATTAATCCTGTTGTTTTATCTCTGACATTTTCAGGACTCTGTGGTCTTCATTAGTAGAAAGACCTTTTCAGGCATGCACTTTGAAATGTAAAATTGCAAACACATTTACACAATGGTCTCATGTTCGAGTCCCCGAGTCATATTTTGGTCATTAACATTAAAGCTACAGCTGCAGAAGATGAAATAAAGAGAGAAATATTAAATATGCAACCTCAAAGAGCACTGAAATAACTTCCATCCCTTATGCTTAAGGGAAAAAAAGGTAGAAAAAGTTAGATTTTCCCTTCATGTTGTGATGAATAAGAGTTTGCTATGCAGCTTCTGTTACTGTTTGGAAACGCGCTTGCTAATGAAAGTAAAAGCCAAAGCCAGTCACTCTTCTTTGCAGTTTCACCTTGCCATGTGTGTTTTTTTTTAGTGCTGTGTCTCTTGGATGTTGGCTGCTAATGGTCTGATACCTGGTCGCTACTATTTTATAAAGCTCCAACCTCACCTGAGCGCTGTGGGGTGTACACAGAAAATGAGAGGAAAATAAAGAATCCAGGCAGAGGGCAGAGTCTGTGCAGAAAAATGCACAGCCACACACTGAGAGTGGGTCATAAGTGATGATTGAGAGAGATTACATAGTATACCTTTAAGAATAAGTTACTGGCAGAAAAAGAAATTCAACTGCATAACAAGTCCTCAACTCTACCACTTGATGTCGCTGTGTTCCAGCTTACTGCTTAATGTAGTGTCATCATGATGAGAAACAGAGGAGACGACTTCTTCTCTCTCACCATCAGGTGCCAAATATTGTGGGCTCTGCAGCTCTGTCCGTAATGTTCCTGTCATGTTTGAATAAAACAATCACAGAGGCATAGCCATTATTTTACCAGAGATCTAGACAGATATTTTTACACATTTTCCCTCTGAAAAGGGCTTTTTATTCCAAATAGAGAGAACACGGCCGTTTGGTGCAGAGTCATATCTGTTTCTTTGTCCATTTGTAGAAAAAGGGGTTCGTCACAGTGAGTGAGATCAAGGACAGTCTGAAATGGGAGAAGGAACGGGCCTGTCACGTCCTGGTGAGTGTACTCAGCTTGTTTCAGGTCACTCATGCTGCTACTTGTGCTCTAGAGCAGGATATCTGCAGGTCTAGAACACTATAAAAAACAACCCTGTATTCAGTGTTTAAAAGTCTTTGATTCTATTAACATAGCCTTAAATATTTTCTCTTGCCCGCAGTGGTTGGTTATAAAATGTTTTGTGTGACTGTGGGCTGTTGGGAGACATCACACTGTTACGCCCCACACCTTTAAAACACTTGGGATTTATTACAAATAAAACAAGCAAGCAAGACAACAAAAATGCCACGCTGACAGGCAGCAGGACCAGCAGTCCCCACACTAGAGGCCTCTCTCCTCTGCTGCTGCACAGGAGCCCTTAACCACCTCCTCTATGCCAGGTGCAATGCGTCTTGTTAACTGATGCAGAACACCTGGCAGATCTATACGGGAGGGAAAGAGGACAGCAGCAGAGAACATAAATATATATATATATTCCCCTAAATTCTACACACTGGACCTTTAAATAGGTTTTCAAAACTCTAACTCTGCAGAAACACTGTTGACCTCCACTCTCCATATTCCCAGGATCACCTGCTGAAAGAAGGCTTGGCCTGGTTGGACTCTCAGGCAGCCGGAGAAGCTCAGTACTGGCTGCCCGCTCTTTTCTCTGAGCTCACCTCCCGTGACGTCACACCAGAGGAGGCCAATCAGATGACGCCTTAGGACCACCAGCTGGCGACAGCATTAGAGACATGTTGGTAAACAAAATGTGCCAAAAGGTGGGGAGGCTCATGTGACGGAGTTGGCGGGGGTGAACTCGCTCTGAGATCACTTTCTGGACACGTGGAGGGGAAAACTTTCCTCAGCTACTTTCATGCAACGACTGCACACACACTATGAGACACTACGCTGTGTATGAACCTGAGTGTGGCGTTGCTGGTGTCACGGTTTATGGGCGGTTTATGGTTAAATGTACAGAAGAACTGTTAAAATTTTGATGCATAAAGAATAACTTCTAAAGACATCAGCTGCGTTCGGATTTATTTTTATTATATCAGCAGGATCATTTAAATGCACTTACATTTAATCATTTGATTACATCATGTACATAGATTCACTTCTCACCTTGCTCATCCACATATCAACACTTCACTCCTTCATACACATTTTAAAGCAGCAGGAATCAGCAGTTACATAAGCACTTAAATAGGATGATCTGGTTATATTAGATCACAATAATTGCAGAATACAGAATTGTGGTTAATATATTACGTTTTAAATGTGACATGCCACTTATTCTAAATTCTAACTTCATCTATTTAAATAAGCATTTAATGCTTTGAGCATGTTTTAGCCTTTTTACTACACGTCATATATTCCTCACTGCTGTTTATGTTCCAAAGCATACCATATGGTTTTTAATTTAGTGCAATATGAAAGTCAGCTGTCAGAAATTTGAGGCCCGTTTAATGTAGCTAACATCACAAGTTATCTTATAAAAGTAATGAACTACAGTAGTAACTGAAATGTGTCCATTACACTGACAAACCACAGAGATGACACTGAAAACTGATGTCAAATGTCTGGTCGAATTCATGATCTTGTTCATGTTTTCTTTGGTCGAATAGTTCCTGACTTAAACTGGAAATTTGTCATCTTTATGCCAAACAAAGGGAGGAATATTTCCTGATATCAGACACAATTGTCAACTCGTTACACTCGGCCACATTAACAGATTTCCGTGGGGGAGGGGGATTCGATTTTCCCCAAGCACTTGCTACAGACTCAATATTGAGAAGATGGATTTACAACAGCTTTGATAGCAGTGTCTGTTTTATCTATGGCACTTGGTATTGTTGTAATTACTCTTCTGGCTATGGCACAACACTTGACAACATCTTTACTATGGCATTTAGTCCCACCCATGGCACAGATTGGCTAATTGTTAGTCCCCTTATGGCACTCATTGGTTGCTTTTTATTTCAAGTGGAAACTGCCTGTTTCGTGTCACGATGCTGGGCAAATGTGTCCACACCTATGCACTCCGGTGTACACCTGCAGCGCGCCAAGCAGGGAAAGTATGCACATCATTTGGCAGTTACGGTAGGCGGCAGAAATGCCACTTTCGCCGCTAAATTTCAGCAGCAAGAGCGGTGTTTTAAAGTCACCACGACCACGTGGCCCATACAAATACAAACAAGTCAAAGAAGACTGATAAGACAGAGAGCTGATGATGTCACTCAGGCTTGCATAAAGTCATATTGTGAACACTACCGTCCATGAAGGCACTTGTTTTCTAACCGTGGCTTTTGCCGCCGAAGTTGTTTGGTTTGTCAGCTAACATTTGCTAGTAGCTGCTGCTGGCTGACAGATTACACTCGATTTAAACAGCTCTTTCAGCCCTCACCGTTATGTGCTAAGCAGTGCACTGTCAATTCTGTGGACTGGGCAGATTCAAAGGTCTGGACTTGGGCCATTCAGGAGCAAAAGTCCTTTAAATCACTCACGCTTGCCCAATTTGTGAGTTTAATGGCCAGTTTAAGACTATTTTATCGAGGCAAAATATGTGTTTAGACAACATTCAACATTTGAAAATAAAGGTGACGTAATAGAGATATTATATCAGCACAAGTATCAGAATATTTCAAACGATACCCCCTTCACTTGTGTGGCAGTCCACTGCAGAGCTTCAAAACCCTCTCCACTTTTAAATGCATCACTGTGTGATGATAATCTGACCAAAAATAAATGAGGACACAATGTTCACTGTGGTGGATTACATAGTGAAACCCAGGCAGATTTGATGTCGCTGCCATCAAGCAGCAAACGTCCGTTAGCGCGCTCACAAATTTTAATCTTTTAATTGAATCATTGGCTATGCTACACGCACAGACTTTTGACTTCCAGGTGGAGACTGTTTTGTGCAGGAGTTGTGGTGATTTAGGGAGGAAGTTGAGGTCAATAAAATCTCTGATACACACAGACACTGAGGGAAGCACAACCAGCAACATCTGTGCGCGTTGTGGACTGTTGCCAATGATATTTATTATTAGTAAAACAAAAATTGTGGACGCCAGATCTGTGAATTCAACGGCCAACTTCAACATTTTAGAACTTTGGCTTCATTTGTCAAATTAAAACACAGGTTTTGTGTCTCGATACAGAAACTCTAAAAGTGTCAAAACATTTCAAATGATGCCCAAATGTTGTGCGGTAATTTACTTCTAAGTGCATTAATGTGCAAATTAGATGACATTTGACATAAAAAAATAGAACATGATGTTCTCTGAGATGGATTATATTACTAAGGCAGTTTCTATGTCTCTGCCAGCTGATTCTTTCAGCATGATGGACACTAACGACTTGGAAAAAAGCCCAAAAACTTGAGTATGCTTTGAAAACCGATCAACAATGATATAAAGTCTATGTAATTTGCCTTTAAGGTGTGCAAAAATATTGGCATGGTCCTTTTACACGACCACCCAACATTGTAAGACATGGTTTCTGCAGGTGTATGACTCAAGCGTGCCGTTCTCACAGCTCGTGCCCGTAGACGTGATCCTCAAACACAGACTGCTCCATGTTGTCGCAGATCATGGTGCAGAAGGGACACACTCGGTGACTCTGCTCATGCTGCTCCAGTTCGTGTCGGGTTATGCAGGGGAAGCTCTCCTGGCAGTGACGGCACACCAGAGCCTGCCGGGGTACAGAAATAGAGATCAGAAGGGGTAACAGAATAGGGAGCGGATTATGTTTTAAGTCCTCCTTCGAAAATAAACAGTAAACAACTGAGTCACGCCCGGATATCCAGAGTGAGGGGAGGGAGGTTTTGGAGTTGAGAGTTGCCTGAGTCCAGCTTCTTTAATCTGAATTAGTTTGTTTCAATACTAGGTTGTGTTAAATTGATTGTTAACTAGCTGGCTCTGCTACAAGTTTCCATTTCCTACTGTTTTTTGTTTTTTACAATTTGTTGTTAGTGTCAGAGAAACATGTAAAGTGCTTCTTAGCAAACACTGAGTGGAAATATTAGAAGGAAAATATAAGAGCGTGCGCAGCTACAGCTCACTGACATATTTGGATAGCAGTCATAGGAGTGATAAGTCTCACCTCTTCCTCTTGGTCTGGAGCTCTCCCTGCAACGAAAGGGAAATCAGTTAACACCACATTTATTAAAACAATTACTGTTACTGCAACTTTTTGTTTGGGGGAATAATTTGTTCATGTGCACGTGTTAAGGAGAAGTGGGTGATTATGGATGCAATCCTCCATCATGATATCAGGGTTTCTACAGATATAACCAAGACTTTTTAAGACCTTTTTAAAGCCACCTCATATGAAATTTCTTTGGTCTGTCCAATGATTGTAAATACTCATTTTCACGGTAATGTGACCGAAAATATTTAAGACCCATCAAATCTGAATTTAAGACATTTGTAGACTTTTTAGGGATCTGTAGACAAGCTGGATGTACATGAATTTGTATCACCATGTTTTTTTTAAATTACTTTTATTGCACATATGTAAGACAGCATGAAATACAGATAATGGAAAAATGAGAGATGTGTCAGGAGAGGTCAAGAAGCCACAAGCTTGTGTGATACATCTCCCTTAGGCTTAAGGAGAAAAACAATATCAAAAAAGGAAAAAACAAACAAATTGAAGCAAACAGAATAAGCAGAAAAACAAACCAATCGGGAGAAATATTCAATAAAAACAAAGAAATACATATAGGGCTGCAACTAACGATTATTTTCATTGTCGACTAATCTGTCGATTATTTCTTTGATTAGTAGTCAAATGTTTAAAAACATCGGTCTCTCTCCTAAACCCCAAAATGATGTCATCTAATGTCTTGTTTCGTTCTCACGCCAAAGGGTTTTAGTTCACCGTCATGGGAGAGTGTGTAAAGCTGCCAATATTAGAACGTAAGAAGCTGCAATAAGAGTATTTTGGGGTACTTTTATAGTACTGTCCTATGAAAAATGACCGATTAGTCGACTACTAAAATAGTCACCGATTATTTTAATCAATTAGTCATCGATTAGTCGACTAATCATTGCAGCCCTAAATACATGACAAACAACAGAGAAAAGAAGACGACAAAAGATAGACAGACAGAAGAAAAGATCTGTCTTTAAGGTATCAGCAGAAATAACCCAGTACCAAGTAGTATTGATCATTTTTGTACCCAGATCCCAACCCAGTCCGGTGGCATTTTACACAACTGAATTCTTTCATTCAGGTGATGGGTATCGAATAAGGAACTCTATTGGTGTTGGTATCACTTTAAGGTTAATGGAATTTGTACTGTTTTCGTCATTTTTTTAAACAACACCCTGCCTTAATTGTGATACAGTAAATTTTCTAGAAAATCAATTGGGAAAAAGTGAATGGATAAAAAGCGTTACTTATGTCTTTTTTAAAGTAAATCCAACAAATTAAATACCTGAAAAGTTGAGTTACTTCATCACGTTAGTCGTGTAAGTTCACAAAGCAGCCCTGCTCACTGAGTTGGGTCTAACTCACCCAGAGATGTTAAAGCTGCTTCTGTATAGAGAGTGTGGCAAAATCTTTGGCAGTAAAAACAGTATAGACAGTATATATCGTCATATCACCTAAGATTCATGTCAAGTAACCAGAACAAAGTTCCTGGAAAAGACGTGTTTCCATCACCATTTTACATTCCTTAAAGCTCTACAATGGAAAATCCATTCACTTCCATTGAACACAAGTGGCGGCAGAAGTCTCTGATATCTGCAAACCTCAGGTAAGAAAATATCTACACCACCTGGGGTAAGTGGGAAAATGTTGTACCCTTTGTCCCTTTTATAGTCCCTTTTAAGAAAAACACACTGATTTTTATCTTTTATCGTGTTTTCCTGTTATAAAAACAGCAAGAAAGTGACTTCAGTTACTCACCTATGTTCTCATACAGGTCCCCAGACTGCTCAGGTGTCTCCTGCTGCTGCCACTCATGGGTGGTTGATGTGGTGGTAGCTAGTGAGGTGGTCTCAGGCTGCATGTGTGGTGTGTCGGCCGGGGGAGCTGCTTGCAATTCGGCACAAATTCTGCGCAGCCCCTCGATATCACTCATGAGATTCTGACAAGATAAATACAGTTTAATGACCAATGTGACCCTTTGAGTTGATCTGTGTGCTGAGTGAAGACGACGTTTATGTGAAGGTACCTGGTTTTCTCTGGCGAGCTCGTCTTTCTCCTTTGTCAACAGCAGCATCATGTGTTCCTTCTCCTCCATGAGGCCGTCTTTATCTGCGATGACTTCATGTGCCTCTCTGAGCTGCAGCTGAAAAATAAAGAAGGGAAAAAGCCATAGTTTTTAAAATGTGGGAGAAAAAACATCCTAACTGCACATCTTTTCTTAACTTTCAGAGAAAAGAAAAATACGGTCTTCCAGCTACAGAAGCTGTTCCTAAACTCATGGCTTTGTCCCATCTCATCTCAGAAATCATCCCTGTGTCTTTGATAGGAGTTGCCATAAGAACGGCTCGCACTTGTCACTGACTTGCTGTCATGGACAAAAAACTTCAGGTGTTCAATTTTATTTTACTGTTGGAGGAGAGGAAACCCCATCTTTTTGGGAAGTTTGCTTCTCAATTATTCTAGTAATAAATTATTAATTCTAATCAGTTAATTAATTTGAATTATTTATTATAATTCAAAGTGTCATTATACGGTTTGAGAAGCCTTTCAAGCTTTATACTCCAGTGTTCATATTGTTCCTCATCTTCACTGTCACTGCGACACATGGACACATTTTTGGCAGTTATTTTGAATTTAGATTAGGTACTATGCCAGTGATACTAAACTTACAGCCTGTGGGCCAAATCTGGCCCCCGAGCCATTTTCTAATTCCATCTATCCATTTTCAACCACTTATCCGAGGCCGGGTCGCGGGACCAGCAGGCTGAGCAAAGTACTCCAGACGTCCCTCTCCCCAGCAACGCTTTCCAGCTCCTCCTGGGGGATCTCGAGGCGTTCCCAGGCCAGACAAGATATATAATCCTTCCAGCGTGTTCTGGGTCTGCCCGGGGCCTCCTCCCTGCTGGACGTCCCTGGAACACCTCTAACAGGAGGCGCCCAGGAGGATCCTGATCAGATGTTGAACCACCTCAACTGGCGCCTTCGACGCGAACGAGCAGCAGCTCTACTCTGAGCTCCCTCTGGATGTCAGAGCTCCTCTCTAAGGCTAAGTCCAGACACCCTACAGAGGAAACTCATTTTGGCTGCTTGTATCCTTGATCTCACTCTTTTGGTCACTACCCAGAGCTCATGACCATAGGTGAGGGTTGGGACGTACATGGACCAGTAAATGAAAAGCTTCGCCTTCTGGCTCAGCTCCCTCTTCACCAGGACATCCCAGGGCAGCTCCCGCAGCACTGCTTATTCATCTCATGCTCCAGTATACCCTCACTCGTGAATAAGACCCCGAGACATTTTTCATTATGAATAAGAAAAGACCTCAAGTACCTCGGGGTCTTTTCTTATTCATAATGAAAATAAATTGAATAACACTGGAAATTTTCTGTACTTTAAATGTAAATATGGCACCAGAGTGTGTTAAAAAGCATCAAATTAGAGCTTGTTGATCAAACAAGTGCCAAGGGAGGATCCCCCACATCCCAAAATGCAGCCCAGGCTAAGCCCCAAATGTCCTCAAATCCTAGAATCGCCTCTGCACATACCTGACCTGTGCCTGGCCTCCTGCCATTTTGCAAAAGTTGGCCCCCAGGCAAAGCAAGTTGAGTATCCCTGGTCTAGGCAATCCTGACTTAGGAGTCATAACTTGTGAAATCCCTAAGTTAGGATGGTTATGTATTAGAAACATTCCTGTCCTAGGATAAAAAATGGTTATTTCCTAATTGCAGTGAAGAAACATGTTTCTGTAATACCAACAAAAATACGAAACCATTATTCTATGGAGCTGGCTTTGTGCACGACGTTTAGACGACCTCCCTCAGAGTCTCAGAGAAGCAACATATTTAAAAAACATCTTAAAACCCATTTATTGTCTTTGACTGTCTCTTTATCTTTGTTATTTTGTCTGATTGGTTTACATTTTGTTGTCTTTCTTACATTCTTTCACTTCCTCCTTTTGGCCTTCTTGTAACTTCTCTGTTGTAAATTACTACATAAAGTTTGCTTGGGTGTGCACAGGGCGTTGTCATGTTGGAACAGGAAGGGGCCTTTCCACAAGCTGTTGGAATCACACTATTATCTGAAAAACAGCACCTTTGAGTTTACCTCTCGTTTGCCACTTCTTCGTTCTGCCTGCTCCAACGATGAGACCACTCTCTCCAGCTGGTCTCTGACTTGCTGCAGGTCTCTGTCCAGATATTCAGCTTGTCTCTTGGCGTTTTTGGTCTCCTCCCTCTCAGCCGCCAGCTTTGCCTGAGCGTCCTGTAGCTGGCTGACGAGAGTCTGACACCGCGCCTGAGGAGGACATGAAGCATTTAACATAAAGGAAAAGTCACGTCAGTATTGTTTCTATTTAAAAAATTTAAGCCTTTTTTTCTTTTACCCTCAGGTCATCATCTGGACAGTTCTGCACCGCCTCCTGCTGCGACAGCCTCCTACATAACTCCTGGTTCTCTCTCTTCATGTCCTCCATGTTGTGTGTGAGGCTTTGCAGCTTTTGCAGCTCTGCAGAGAGCCTCTCCTTCTCTTTCTCACTTGTCTGAAGGTCCACCTGCCAAAGGTAAAGCACACATTTGAGTACAGGAACAAAGTTTTGATCATCTTCACCTGACCTTTTCTTATATTGATCATGTCAGTGCAGCAGTCATGGTGTTTATAATGACATGCATTTCATTCCTGAGCCGATTTAACTTGTGATGTCAGTCTGATTGACTGGCAGGGTAGTTAGAAGTTATGGTCTGTGCTGTTACCTTTACTATCCCTCCTTAATCGAAAACGCTGTTAACATACTGTAGTTTTCTACTAACAGATATTGAGTGTGTATCAAAGCCTGTTATATTTTCTTCCCTCTGTGCCATAGAGCTCCACTGTCATCCAAAAACTATTAACTAGAATTTCCGTCTCACAGTTGAACACCTCTGCGAACCAGTCGAGTCGCACTTATGATTTACATCCATGTCTGTGAAAACATGGATGCGTCACACATATCTTCCACCCGGCAACACAGAAGATCTATATAATCAGCTCAGTATCAAGATGGACACCAAAGATTAATGTCACTGATTCAGTACCTGACTGAAAAGTGTTTTTGCACGTTCTGATGTCACAGTGAAGTTGACATTTGACCATTTGGTTGCAAAATGCCATCACTTCATTATTATATCCTGTTAGGCATTTGTGTGAAATTTTGTCATAATTAGTTTATGAATCCTTAAAGCTATAGTGCGTAAGTTCTGTCGCCTCCCAGCGGATAATGCGTTATTACAACTAATAAGCCGGCGGCACTTCCGTGTACACAGAGTAACACTTGCCTTTGTGGTAGGATCCACTTCTGAACCGTGTCTCGGCTGCTTCTCCGCCATGTTGCTTTCTCTTTCTACCTGTGCTCTACCTCTTGCTATGACACTCTCCGCTCTTCCTCCCCCTCCCTTCTTGTTGTGAGGAAGCATTTCCTGTGTGCCAGCGCAGGAATGTCGCCGGTCGACACGCATACTAAAAATGATATATATTGAAAAATCCCGCGAGATGTTAGAGGAGCCGATTGATTTAATCAGCATTGTGTCATCTCCTCTAGTAGTGGCTTGGGTGAAACGGACATTTACTGACCTGTACAAGTTACGCACTATAGCTTTAAGCTATGGCCAAAAACATGTTTTGTAAGGTCACAGTTACCTTTCCGTTCGACCACCAAATTCTCAACAGTTCATAGCTGAGTCCAAGTGGACATTTGTGCCAATTTGAAGACATTCCCTCAGGGCGTTTTTGAGTTATCGCGTTCATGAGAAAGAGATGGACAACCCCAAAGCATAATGCCTCCAGCCATGACGGATGCTGGCACGCAGGCATAAAAACACACCAATGAGTCACTCTGGTGCACAGGATGTCATGTTCCTTCATTATCAAGAACACACACACACACACTGTAGTTTATTTTGACTCAGTCCCACACACACCATCCTGCTGCCACAGGTACTCACTAGAGCACCAAATGTGGACAACAGGGTGCATTGTGAATCACACACTTTTTACTGTTAGTCTTAGTAGGTACTTTAAAAGTACGTACTGTTGCATGCAGTATGCACACAATCAGGATATACTGCTTCTTCATAACACTACTCCCTGAACTTTGACCCTCTTGTTCATACAACCTGAGATCAACCTGGAGAGCTCTGCTGTTATTACTTGGCGTTGTATGTAGTTCAACTTTTAAGTTATAGCTGCATACATTGCAGATTCTGACATATTACATTTATGATAGTGGAATTTCTCTGTCATTGTTATTTTCATAGTTATGTCATGTTGTCGTACCCCTACTATTACTATTCAGCCGATCATCGGTCACTTGAACGTGCCGTAATCCTTCATTACAGCTTCTAAGAGCTGTCAGTTACCTGTCAAAATGTCATCTGTTTGCAGCTCAGTCAGTGTGATGTGTCTTCCTCTGCGCAGAGGATTGTGGGTCAGACTAGCCAGAAACTAATGCTGGCTTACATACTGTGAAATCGGACCAGATGTAGTTGAACATCCTGGTATTTTTGCCATATTGCATTTGACACACTAAATCTTTTTCTGGTGTACTAAATAGAATGTTAGTGTGGGTATTGGGACGCACAGATAGTCCCCAATAAATGCACCATTTCCTCCTTTTTCATCAACATCTGACTAAAACTACAGCGCCCAACTGTTTCAGGAAATTGATGAGACTTTGAAAAAATTAAACTACATTTATTTGTCTTCAGTAGGAACCAATGGGCTCGGGGCTAAGTGTTAAAGACAGTGTATGGAAGTCAGAAGGTCTTAAAAGACAGGTTAATATTGTTGAGGTCTGTTAACAGAAATAAAAATATAGAATTCAGCAGCTTTATGCTTTAACGTGTTGCACTACAAAGTAGATTTACCTGAAGGAGCTGGATGCTGTCGTTCATGTTGAGCAGTTCTCTCTGTTTTTCTCTGAGTTTGGAATTTAGTCTAAAAAACACACAAAAAACAGCCATTAGTTGCCAGAGACAATTGCGTACCAAGTTCAACTTAAACGTGCAGATTTGACTCACGTGACGATCTCCACACACTGAGAGTCAACCCTCCCCTTCAGCTCCTCACGCTCCTCTTTGAGCAGGTTGATCTTCATCACAGCTCGGTCGTATTTCTCCTGAGCTTGTTTCTAAAAAAAAATTAAACAATAAGTAGATAATACAAGATTTTGTCTGAGCCTTGAACAGTTAAAGAGAAAACATTATCTCACTTCATTTTGCTTTGATTCTCCGTCTACACTCAAGCTTTGACTCCGTTGTTTCTGCTCATGTTGCTGTAAATCCATCTGCTTTGTCTTTTGGATCAACATCTCCGTCTGGTAGGAACATCAAAGTGAGATTTGGCACATATGCGGTAATACGGAGTTTAGATTTCACACTTGAACTGCAAACAAACCTTCAAGTTGTCAGATTCTTTCTGCTGCTGCTGTAAAGTGCTTTTCAAGTCTTCATTTTGTTCCTTGATTTGATCCATTTCTTTGGACAGCTGACTCATTTCTTTCTCCTTCTGTTCAATCTGCCCCTGTGGAAATAAATCAAACTGTGTCAAACATCAAAGTTCAATGTCTGTTTAACTATTTCTTTCTGTTGTGCAATGAGCAAATGTGTTCATCTGCTCTCAACAAACCTTCAAGCTTGCAGCCTCTTGCTGTTTTTCCTGTAGATCGGTTTTTAGGGTTTCATTTTCCTCTCTTATCTGATCCAGGTCTTTCTGCAGCTCAGCTCTCTCACGTACGCTCTGTTCGACCTGCTCCTGGGTTCACAAAAACACATTAAATCAATATAAAGCCTTATTTACTTTCACCCTCGGACTGTTTCACTACATATAAACACTTTATCTTTTCACAGAGCTTCACAATCAATCAGTAACTGTGAGTTTAAAAATACGAGTTTATTATCAAATATTTCCACAGTCATTTATTGTCTGATTGTTTACACGGTGCTATCGCCCTGTTGAGCAGTTAGAGATACAGTCGCTGGCTTTAGCTTCACATCTGTCCTTTGCATTTAATACCTGTGTTGTAATAACGAGGAGTTCATCATCCGGGCTGCTCTCGATGCTTTGCTCCACCGGGCTCTTGAAACAGAAAGGAGTGCTGGCTCCCCGCACCTGACCAGTACTGTCAACATAGCAGAACTGGTAGAACTCGATCTCATCCTTGGGCAGGTAGTACTCTGATGGGACAGGAACAATTAAATTATTCTACCACAGGCCTCACTGTTGATTAAACTGTCAATAAATCAGTTTTTTAGTGTGTAATATGTCAGAGAATGGTGAAAAGGGCCCATTACAATATCTAAAAAACCCATGTTGTGTCTTAAAATGGTCACACATTCAGGTGTGCACACATCTTACAATCAGAAATCTTATCTTAAGATACATTCTGTTGGCTTAACTTGTCCTTTCCGGTGCAGCTGCCTTTCTTAAGCATCTAATTAGGATGTAACTGCATAGAAAAAATGTTTTTCCTTTTTTTAAACCTTTTTGGGGAGATAATTTCACATTTTATCATCTCACATACATTTTTATGTTTTAAATATGAAAGATAACAAAGTTTAATTCTGATAAATATAAAATAATTTCAAAGGACTGATTACCAGATACGACACATTGACATCACACATCAACACGCGTGTATCAATACCTCTCTCCCTATTGACCCTTACCCACTATCTTGCCCTACATTTTCAATCATTTCAAATAAAATACAATTTTAAAAAAGAATAGAAAAAATAGTACTAAAAAAATCACAAAAATAAATAATACATTTAAAAAATAGAGAAAATGTTCTCTTATTATTTGTTAGATTTTTTAAATATTTTACATATATTTTTTTTAATTCATGTGCATAAATAAATTTTGACTTTTCAAAGCAGTGAAATCAGTCAACCATGATAGTAAGAGTATAAAAAAAATGCACTAATTAAGAGAATAATTTTGATGTAAAAAGTATGAGAATTAAAACATTACAAACTGGCATATAATTGTAGTGTTTATTCTCTGGCTGGCAGTGTGTTTTCATTCTGCTTAGAATTTCTTATCATCATTATTATTATATCATCTATCTGTTTTTTATTTTTTGTTGTCGTCTTTTTCTTTTTTTTCCTGTCCAGTATTTTTATGTCAGTGTTTGTGTGATCTTAGTGTTAAAAGTTCAGAAATTAAATCTATTAAAAAAACATTTGAGTTCCAGCTCTAAACATCTGTTTTCCTGTGAAAATAAATACTGGTCTCTCTTTGAAAAACCCAGACTATTGTTTAAAACACGATGCTCTGTTCTGAAAGTATTTCCAGAATCCTCAAAGACTCCTTTAATAATCTAAATGATATAATGTCCCCTGCATGATGACATTTTTGACCAGTTTCTCAAGTTATGACTCTATTTCCAATCTAAGCAGCTGGAAATAACATATCTCCTTTCTAGTTTTGTGACACAAGAATAATATGAGGACTTTATTCTGTATGAAAATGTAAAAAAATCGAAAGTAGCATCAATATAGAAAAATATAACTGATAATAAAGCTTTTAAATATTGCAAGGAGATATCATTTGTGTTAGCTGCAACCTAAGAAATAATATAAAAATCTCTGTCATTGTGCAGCAGACAAAATACTTTATCCAGATGTTTACAGGAGTCTTTGTGGAATCTATAAATATCATTAGAGCAGCAAATGTCATTAAATGATCTTCAGTGTGAGGCCAGGACAGTCCTGGGGCTTCCAAGATAAATGTTAAGGGTCACAAGATAAGCAAAAATAGATTTCTGTTACACAACATTGTGTTTTCTGGCTCTCCAGTAATATTTGCTTTTATCACGTGAGACATTGAATACCTTCAGCTCTTTGGGGCCTGAAATGAAACTATCTCTGAAGGAAAATGAACAGTTCAGGTCCACACTGGGGCTAAAACCTGTCATGACACGTCACGAGTAGACATCACTTTATTATAGGGGGTCACAAGCCAAAAAGATCAGGGACCATTTATCTAAAAGTCACTAAAATTGCCAGATCACCTCGACAAAATCTGAATCTGAGGATTTGACCACAGCTGATATGATGTCAACAACACTGAGCCAGAGGATCAGGCGTACAGTATGCCACAGCAGCTCATAAAAACAGATTTAACAGCTTGCGTCAATAATTATGCTCAAACTGTTTACACACTACACACTCTGAGTGTTCAGAAAGGTGACAGGAAGTGTACACTGCAGACATGACCAAGCATTTGCACTCTGCGGTAAGAGTGAAACTATTTCTCACCCTTAAAAACAGCTTGCCTCGTCGCTGACTCCTGCCCTACCACATCCAGACACGGCTCCACCCACACAAAGGTATGATAATCCTTTGTTGTGCTCCACCCGACCTGTATAAGAAAAGTCAGACAAAACTCAGATGCAGTGGCACCACGTAGACAGTAGTGGAACAAGTAGTCAGATCCAGTAAATGTTGCTTAAGTAAAAGTATTATCAGCAGACTTTACCTTAAGTTTAAAGAATACAAGTGTTTGTTGTGCAGTAAAATGTTCCTGTGAGTGTTTTAGTATTATATAAGATGTTTTTGGATTATTATTCCTGCTGCATTCATGTGTACGTTGCCTTTTACTGCTGTTAATGTTAAAGGTTGTGCTAATTTTAACTTATTATTATATGATAGGGTAGTTTAATCTACAGCAATGCATATGAGATCATCACGTACTTGTGGTGTGGCTGCCCTGTGAGAACCATGTATCTCTAAAAAGTTTCATGGTGTCACAAAAACAGCTGTTTTCAGCTTTGTGACGATGCATGTTCCAGCTGACCCAAGAGGGTTTTTGAGGAGTTTATTTCGCTTAAGAAGACGGAGAATTTTCTTAACACATACAGAAACACTTCATCATTCAGTTAATTTTAATTTATATATATATTTTAATCCAGATAGCCTGTGTTGTGCGTATTTTTAATGGTATTTTTTGTCATATTTTTGTTGTTTCTTTATTATATCCTATATCTATGTGTCTTGATTTTTGCCAGACTTACTTTTAATCAAATTTTCTTGGCAATAAATCAAATTCTGATAATCACAAACATTCAAAATCAGTACATCTGGAGATATGTGGTGGAGGAGAGGTATAGACACAACTAAAGCTGCGAGACAAATGCAGCTGAGTAGAAGTATGAAATTGCATAAAACAGAAATACTCACATTAAGAACCTCCAATTTGCACTTAAGGACAGTACTTGAGGAAATCCTGCTTAGGCCCATTCAGCACATCATAAAGACATAAAAGCAGATATTGTTTCCTCACCTTAAAGATGCCCACCCAGTCCCTGGGGTTTGGCTGGAAAGCAGTATTGAGGGTGTAGCTGCAGGTGACGGGGGTCGAAGGCGGGTATGTCTGAGGGGTGTCCGTGAACACCACCTGGGAGAAGATCCGCGCTGTGGGGTCATCTGCCTCTGCCATGCTGAACTACAGCCAGTACACATATAAAGAGCGATGATGAAACACAGCAGGAGCCTGACTGATGACAGCAGGTGTCGTGACAGAAAGAAGCTCCGGTGTTTTTAACAGAGTTCCGTTTTCCTGTTGTTGTTTTGACGTCGTTAGAAATTTACTTTCAGTTGTCATCAACTCGATTACGCAGTCATATTTAACTCCAAAACACTGTGCCCATCGTTAAAAACATTACACTTTATGTTGAAACGACCGCCTTCTCTCTCCGGACGCCATTTAACGTTAATCTAAACTTTTAAAGGGCAGTTAGCGTTCATGTTAGCTTAATTAAAACGTTGAAATAAAGAAAGCGAAAGTAATGAGTCACAAAGACCGCACCCGAACGGTTATATAATGTTTACTTTAACACACACAACTGTTTTTACTCCAACAAGTCTCAGCAAACTCACATTTTTGATGAAATATTGACATAAATACATAAAACTTACATGTTAGCTGTCACTTGTCACACTCCGTCAACTACCAACATCCAGCGCGAGCGTCGCTTGTCTTCTCTGATGCATTCAGGTGCTCCTCGGATATTTGTACCACGTGCTCAACACGTCCGGCACGAAGAGAAAACACTTTTCAGGCGAAGATCCAAACTGATGTTGTTTGATTTACTGAGGGGAATCACAACATTTCATTAAAGCAATTTAATCTTTTATGAACAAAATTATTCCTGCTTATATTCTGTGTTGCCTATACTTTTGCACCATATTGATATTTTATAGGCTATTTCCTGCTTTGTGGCTGCACAATTTCTCAACTCTTATACTTAGATAACAATCACCACATTGTTTACAACATATAACCTGTTTAGAAGTTCGTTAGAAAAACATACAACACAAACAAGATACAATACAGACATTAAAATAAAAGTGCCTCATTGTATTAAGAAAATATGCAAAGAAACGACACTAAACTAAACTAAACAATTACTTTTAAGTGGACTCCGGGAAACATGGACACTCATTAGAATAATTATTCAAAGAAAAAACGAATTCAACAATAAAATAGCACAAATAGGGTATTAATCACAGCTAGATTCATGTGCGCTCAAATCATACTCTTTGCTCGTGTTTCCAATTGCCAGGGAAGGCATCTTTAGTTGCGCCCTTTGCAGTTGCATTATGGGAAATGTAGGCCAGTTTAAACAGCTCATTCTTTCCTCTCTTCTGCGGTGTGAGATAAAACACAAGAGGGAGCCAAACTCTTTTACGTCATGGAACCGACCCTGTTCATTAAACCTGTTTTGTAACACTGAATGTGTGTTAAAATACAACCTGTGATTGTATTAGCCTACATTAGGCCTACTATAGAAACGTTGGGTAGATATTGGTGGTGTTATGCTGGTTGTATTTTTGCCTTTTTAGTTGTCATTTATAAGCGAACAAAACATGTCTGGGTGCATGACAGGCTCCTAACATCCAACATGGGAGCTGTGTGATATGTTATGACTGAGATTTTAGCACTAATATCTGGAAACGCACAGACTATAAGATAATAATAATTAAATACTAACAAACATCTAACCTAATGAGGCTGTCCTCTCTTTTTCTTTATATCATTATTATAACACTGTTGACGAAGGCAACAAAAATTAGAATTATAAAATTACATCCACTGAAGTGCAACTGGAACTGACCTCTGTAATGTTAGATATTTTAATTAATTTAATTTCAATTTAATTATTTTTAATTAATTAATTAAATTTTTTAAATAAAAAATATTGCTGCAAATTGACATTAAAATTAAGAAATACAAACTACTTATTACTACTAGAATAAGAGGTGTTAGAAATGACAAATTACAACGTTTTAATTTGGTTTTTGCAATATATTTGTCATATAAGTGCGCATGTTTTATCCCAAAGACAATGACTTATTTTGTAAGCTGGACTAGCATTGTTGTCTCCCAACAACAATGAGGATTGCTGGTTCCCTCTAACAGTGCTACTCAAATATGTATTTTTTAAAAAAGAAAAGAAAAATAAGCTCATCCACGTAAAAACAAAAAAATAGGTTCTCAACAGAAAATAGTAGCCTAAAAGCTAAAATAAGGGATAAAATAAAACATAAATAAGATATAAGATAGAATCAGAATTAAAATCACAATTAATGTATAAAGTATGTGTACACATATAAGCCTATGTGGGCTTTTCTTGGATTGCTCTTAAGTAGGCTAAATAAAAATAACAGATGGACAACAATGCTGGACAAATAAATATTGTGTAAGTATGTGGGGAAAGGAGTTTATATTGATATTATATGTTAATGTGTAAAACGCAACAATGACCAACGTTAAATATGAAGTAGAAAAAAAAGTCAATATATAAGTCAAGTGTTATGTAATTTATAAAAAAGAAAATGAAAAAAGCTCATACACAGGAATAAACAGATTTATATTATGCAATCAAATTACAAATATTATTTAATATGTACATTTTTTCAGGGCATAAATGATCAGAACTTTTATTTCAGATAAACATTTCCTAAATGTGTATAACATTTATGCGCTTTTTAACAGAATACATTATCTCTGCTGCAAGGTGCACCTGTGGATCATCTCGGAGATGCATCTTTTCTCATCGGTGAGCCAACAACCAATCAGAGACGAGACCTCTCACACCCCGTTGCTTGTGATTGGCTGATGGCTGAAAGGGGCCGTTCCATCTGAACAGGCAGGGCGCGCGTGTGCCTCGAGTTCATTCATGTTTACATTTGTAGGTTACGTCTCCTCCGTGCCTCGAGCCAAGAACACAACAACACCACTCGACAACAACAACAACGACGACAGAACACAACGCTGCTCGGTTGTTGGGACTCACCGGAACAAGAGGACACACTTTTCTCTAACGGTAAAGTCACGCTAATGACGTGTTTAGTCGTTTGAAAGTTAATTTTTGAAGTCTGTCGCTAGCCGGTAGTTAGCATGACATCGCTCCGGGAGAAGTCAGCATTACGTTGCCATGGCAACAGCACGGCACCTATAGTTAGCGTATGGCTAGCTATACGTTAGCTGCGGGGTTTAGCTTGGGTTTGTGTGAAGATACTGACAAACTGAAGCGTTAAACAGCGTCTTTTATTATTAATAAGTGTCCGTTGATGAGTGAAAATAAATTTCAGACATGTTTTACGTTTTAATTCTGCTCCTGAATGTTTTAAACGTGAAAGTCTTTAAGCTAAAGTGCTGTTTTTTATAATTACCAGACACTTTGAGATGTTTTAAAGTCCTATTAAGGAGCTGTGGTGGAAGGAGTATTCAAGAGCCTGTACTCAAGTAAAAGTACCAATACCAAAATGTAAAATACTCAGTTAAACTCAGTTAAAGGCTCTGCCTTTAAAAACGCTACTTACTCAAGTTAAAGTACAGCAATGTTATCAGCTTATTCTACTTTAAGTATTAAAAGTTCCCACAAGGCAGATCCAGCCCTGTGAGATTTAGTCTATATTATTATGTGATATTATCATATTACTGGATTATTAACACTGGTACATTAATACATTTTTATAGTTTATCAAGGTGTAGCTTTTTTTTTTATAAATTGATGGGTTATAAAATAATCTGAAAAGCTACTAGTAACTTTAGCTGCCAAATAAGTAAAAGTAGAAGTATAAAATGGCATGAAATAGAAATACCCAAGTTAATTTTGAGGTACTTCTTCTTAAGTTTAGTTCTTGAGTGAATGTACTTACTTTCCACCACTACTTCTGAGTAACCTTAGTTTAATTTTCTTTGATAAATCAATGTGCTGTGGAGCAAATGTGCATTTTTACTGTTATGTGAGTAGTAAATACATCTGACTGACCTGATGAAGAGTTTGAGCTGTGCAGTATTACCACTGCATGTGACTTTATCATCCTGTATGATAACTGTTATTAAAAAAAACTGGATAACAGCTGTGGAAATACTGTAAATGTGACTCTATCTGAACACAAAGATATGGTGACACATTGTGATAGCTGTAATAGCAGAAACATGGAGGCCAGAGGTGTCTAGATTACTGTCTGTGGTGCCATTGTCAAAGCGTCTAAGGGGTCACAGATTTCAGTGCTACACCTGTGACATTAACCAGCTGCGGAAACTGTACTGCCACAGATCTAAATTGTTATATATTCTAATTGTTTTATGATAAAGCTAATGTTATCTGGTTCACCCACTGCGACTATATTGAAATCAGTTTATATCAGTTAGATTCATTTTAGTTTTCTCCATGGTACATTTCATTCAGAGGGCGCTCCTTTTAAAAATGATGAAGATATCATAATTTTATTTTAGTTTGGCTGTGAGCCATTGGGCTCATACTGTATGGCCAACTGTGAGTGCCATTTGTAGCTACACATTATCCTCACCTACTTACTCATCAAAAGCTCACCTTTCATGAAGTCATTGTGTTTATCATTCTGATTTCTTGGCAAGACTTTAGGTACAATCTGTACCCGATCATGTTGCCTAATTAATGTTATTGATGTGGCCTGAGCTGGTTTGAGCATGTTTGATACCAGTTGCACAACAAATTAGAAAATGGTGCACAAAACTTAATGATCTTAATGATTAATGATCTTGTAGAGCAGGATTTAAAAAACTAATCAGTTTGCATATTCAATTCACAAAGCTGTATTTCTTTACACGCAAAACTAAATTACAAAAATTGGTTGTTTGTCACTGCCTTTTAACAACACACCTCGGACCTTCTATTTCTATGCGTGAGAGAAAAGAGTGCACAAACTTCTCCTACCTGCATTTAATATGTCTATAAAAACACACCAGTGTCACATTAAATGATAATTGCCCTGCTCTGTAATTGTATGAGAGCTCATGTTGCCCATCTCTCTGTCTCTCTCACACGCACACACACACACTTTAAATACCTGCAAGTACACACACAGTCAGGACTTGTCAATTTAATCAGTGCTGGAGGCTTAGCAGATGAGAAAGACTAACTTAATCAAGAAATAGTTTCAGCACATGACTGTAGCCACGCCATGATTTTGTCATTTTGTGTTCTTCCACTTCCTTATCATCCGGTCTTGTTTTATCTGACTGATACCTAGTCGGCTGTGATGACAATCGGGAAACACAAGCTACAGCGTCCTGTTTGTCTACTTTCTATTCTTCATTGACCAACGTTTCCCCTTCTGCATGCTCTCCATTTTTAATGTCTTCAATCGAAGGCTAAGCTTCAAGTGGAGGTTCTCTGTTTCAACTTGGCCAACAAGATGGATGTCCAGCCTGTTCACTTACACCACACACCACCACGCCACTTTTCAGCACAGATTTAAATTTAACAACTCCGGGCGTTGAAAAACACATCTCCTATTTCAGTGAACAAATATCAGGGATTATCCCTCTCCTCTTGCTCCCTGCTGAGAGCTCCTGCTCATTTTCTCTCCATCATGTCGGGAGGGATCAGGTGTTTGTCCCCACAGTTTCTAATTGGTCACCAGATCCACCGCTGGACCCGTTGCTTGAGTGTGTAAGACAATCTGAACCGAGCCATCCTTGTGATGATATGAATCTACTCTGTTTTCTTTCAAAGAATCCAGAGGTAGACGAGGTGGAGATGCGGCTCACTGGTTTGTCTGCTGAGGAGTGTGACAGCGTCTTGAAGGGCTCTTGAAACAAAGCTTTGTGCATCAAGGACGTGTGGAGGTGGCCATACGGGGGGGCAGCATCTTCCAACACCTTTGTCCTCACAGATGTAGGCGTAACACTGCAGGTGAGTAAGAGACATTTCTCAGATGAAGACAGTGACAGCAAATAATGTTACGCAGTTGCCAATTTATAAAGGACAGATGAAATGTTGCTTCTGTTTTCTCATGTTCACTCCATTTATATAAATGAGGGCAGACTGAATATTAGATTATATTCAACAGCATCACAAGCTACAGCAGACAGATGACCACAAAGTTGATCCAACACTTTTTTCAATATATATATTTAACCTTTATGAAGAGAGGATTTGTTTTACAGAGTTGTTGGATTTGAGTGCATCAGTTTTAGCTTAAGGTGTGTCTGTTAAACTGGCAACTGAGTGTGTTACATCATTGAAACCAGAGTGACTGCAACTAGTGCAGAAAGACTTGGCTGAATAATCAATTCGTTAATCAACAGAAAATCAGCTTACAGTGATTTTAATAATTTAAAAACTCAATAAAAATTAGAGAGCATTTGTGCACTGTTTCTTCTCAAATATGCGAAGCTTTGCTGCTTTTCTATTCATATTGTCACAGACAAAACACCTTTGGGTTTTTTGGACTGTTGTCAGACTAAATTGGGAGTTTTAAAACAAGACGTTGGGCTTCGGTAACAATTTTGTAGTTAGTTGCAGCATTCATTGTGAGTGTTTAAATGTGAAGGAGAGTGTTCTGTGCTAATTTGCAATTCTAAGTAGACAGTGACAATCTACATAGCAACAAGAGCTAGATGTTTAAATTGCAGGCGTACTCCCTCTAAACAAACGACCTGGATTGGTGTGTTTTGCTGCAGTCTGTTAGTTTTGATAGGAAGGTAGACAATAGTAAGTGCCAGTGTGGCGTGCCAAGGTGTTGCCTGAATATTGAATGATCTGTAGTTATTGGTTGAGGACAAATATTACAAAGTTGTTGTCATGTACCTGTTGTTGTTGCATACTGGGGGAGAGCCTTGGAGAAATCCTTTGCGGGGTTGTAACTGTATCCGGGCTGAGGTCAGCGGGGCGTCTCGGCCCAGTGTAAAGCTCACAGTTCAGGGCCAGGATTATCCAAATCATTGGATCAGAATACTGTTACCTAGCACCATAACCTCCCACAGTGTACCTGGGATGTCCCTCCTTACTGCCAACCCCCCCTCAGCATTCTGTCAGGATCATTACCAGGAATCAACTTGACCTCACCTTCAACCCTACAAGACACCAGATAGGAGGCAGAGGAGAACAGCTGAGACGCTGCCGTGACGATTGCTGGCCACTGTGCTCGGGTCAGAGTGCAGACGGATAGAACAGAAGAAGAACACAGAAGTGGAACCAGAGATGGTTCAGAAAGGAGTAAACTTACTTTAGTTTATTCCTGTAAACTTTAAATGTTAGCCATGCTGGAGGCAGCTCTCTACGGAAGGAAGTGACGATCAATTGGTCCATCGCTTTGGTCTGGACTGAAACATCTCAGCAACAGGATGGATTGTCATGAATTGCTTTTACAGACATTTATGGATGCCAGAGGATGAATCCCCATGATTTTAATGATCCTTTCAAGCTTTTAAAAAACAGGATGGATTACCATGAAAGTTGGTACAAACGTGCCCTTTCCCCTCAGCATGAATTGTGGTGAAGCTTAAACTTTTCCTCTAACGCCGTCTTCAGGGTCAAAATTTCACTCTATCCAAACCCCAGCTTCCCATCAGCCTCAGCTATGTTTTGCGTTAAGTGCTAATTAGCATTAATTAGCATGCTAACATGGTACACTAAGATGGTGAACATACATTTTGAGCATGTTAGCATGCTGACCTGGTCATTTAGCTCAAGTGCAGTCTCACAAGAGCATGGCTGCAGACTCTTAAACGTGTACTAGGCAGGAATTGTCAGCTACTGTTTGTAAACAGTATCACCAGCAAAAGTGAAAGCCACTTTATAATATTGGCATCTTTCAGCGCTGTGTCTTCGATTTTTGTAGCTTCCTCTTGGATGCCTGCTGCTTACGATCTGGCACCTGGTCGCTATAAAACTTTTTAAAGTCCTGACATCACCTGTGCACTGCCCACACACAGCAAATGAAGAAGAAAATAAGAGCATACAGGTAGAAGGCAAAGTCTCTGCAAATAAATACAACACCACACTTCTAGTGGGTCCTAAATGATTACTTTAGTTTGAGTCTTTACATTGTTTATAGGAAGAGTTAACTTCTCTAGCAGTTAGTATACAAATAATTTACATACTTTACCCTGCTAACAGGAAATGACACAGTATGTGACTACTGGAATGACACGAATAGAAAGGAAACTGTCTTTGTTTAACATTGGTTACTTATTTTTATTTAACAAGATCTCTCTGGAGCTGTTTCAACACCATCCACAATTTATTTAAAATTCTTTCCAGCTGTGAACACCTGCTCCATTTCATTTGAGTATTGCATTGTGGGAGAATACCGCACAACAACATGAATGTGCACCTCACTCATGATAGAAGGAACGTGGCAGTCTCTTTAGTGTCATTGCATTTTCAAAAAGCTTTTACTGTAGACAGTAAACAGTGTCAGAAAAAGGGAAACAATTTGGGATGTTGCATGAGTCGTGTTAAAAGTGATACTAGGTTATGAAACACCAAAGACACATGTTGTACTGATTAGTGGTGACCAAAAAGGTGACCATGAGAACCTTCCTACTGTGAAATTGTGGCTGGACAGAGTTCAACAGAGTTAAATGACAAATGGGTAAAGTGGACGCTTGTAAGACTCATCACAGGGACATAAAAACCTGAAGACTCACATATTTTAAGTCATATCAGTATATTGTTGACCTCACTTGCTCTACTTTTTGGTGTTCCAGATAGTGAAATTTAAGTTGTGGTTGAAGTCCTCCTCGTTATTGTCGCCCTATTGCTCACTATTGTATTCGTCCTGCCACAATAACTCTTGAATGCCAGCGTCTGACAATGTGCCGACAGCCAGAGCACTCACCTGATGAGAGAAATGGAAACGGAAACATGAGTCCGTGCGCTCACTCACAGCATGTACTTTGTTCTGTTTGATTGAATTTCATTGTGAAGCTGCACAGCACATCCCATTATAAACATACCATGTCAATGAGTGTCAAAAATAGAAGAGGGCTAATTTGTGTGTGCGTGTGTGTAGACAGTCACAAGCTTTTTTGTATTTGCTCACAGTCAGATGAACTCATTTGTTATTGTTTGTGCTCACCCCAGGATGGGTCTACCTGTGGACAGCCCAGACAAAAATGAAGATGCACATAAATCTGAGCAGCAGGGAGAAGGAGAGGGCGGCGAAAGCCAAACTGAAGCCTGCACCAGCACCCCGCCGCCCATCAACAACAAGAAGAAGAGGAAAGGCAAAAAGAGGTACTTTACTGCTGGATCTCCTCCATTTGTACTTCCACAGTTATGTCCCATCGCAGGTACATTACCTCTGAGCGCCCTGACAGTTATGATTTTGCAACTTGTCCTGGAGGCTCTTAACTTTTTGTGTTCTCGTTTGTCCTCATCATTTGGGGAAAGGAATCTGAGTGTAATGAGGCATTTGTAGGACCTTGCAGCAAAGCAGATGTCTGTCCCTCTGTCTGTCTCTCTTCTCTTCCAGATGACTGTGGATCAACCTCACCAACTGCAAATATGAAAGTGGTACGTTTGGGCCAAAGATGTCTAAATCACAACTATATATCCACATTACGCCACACCATCACAGCTGTTCATGTTTCACAAACACTGAAGTTGTGTAGCGTGAATTCCTGGAGCGAAACAGAGACTCTGTTGGAAGATGGGAAGCACTAGATATACTACATGGCCAACAGTGAGCCTATTTCATGGTTTGGGGTTGGCTCCCTTGTACAAGTCAAGATAAATTTTAATGCTGCAGCATACAATTGTATTTTTGAACAGTTTGTGAACTTTGCGGACCCTCATTCATTTATTCATTTTCTGTAACCACTTATTCTATTAGGGGTCGCTGGGGGGCTGGAGCCTATCCCAGCTGACACTGGGCGTGAGGCAGGGTTCACCCTGGACAGGTCACCAGACTATCACAGGGCTGACACATAGAGACAGACAACCATTCACACTCACATTCACACCTACGGACAATTTAGAGTCACCAATTAACCTGCATGTCTTTGGACTGTGGGAGGAAGCTGGAGCACCTGGAGGAAACCCACACTGACACAGGGAGAACATGCAAACTCCACACAGAAGGGCTCCCACACCCCAGGGTTTGAACCCTCTTACTGTGAGACGATAATGCTAACCACTCTTTCAGCATGCTGCCGTCGTGTGTGTTGGCCTCTTTCCTGTTTAAACATAACAATGCCCCTGTGTAGGAAGCCAGCTCCATAAAGAATTGGTTTTCCCAGTCTGACCTGCAGGAATTTGACTGGCCTGCCCAGAGCCCTCATCTGGGGCCGTATTCACAAACATTCTAAGAATACTCCCAATTTAGCGTAAAAATTTCTAGGGAGGAGTTTTCTACCTTAGTGACAAGGTGTGGTTGACCCCCTTGCTAGGTGTGACACATTCTTTTAAAAGCTGTGATTAGTTGATTAAAAAAGGGGTTGACACCCAGTGGAAATGAGATGAACTGTGTCACAATACAAGACCGTGAAAGTGGTGTAATTGTTAGTGTGATCACTCTGCTGATGGAAGGCTGAGACAGACCCAAGTCATCACTGCTGCTCTGTTGTGTTTTGCTTAATATCTTAGTGTTGTGAGCACTCTGTGGGGGCTGTGGCTCAGGAGATAAAGCAGGTCGTCTACTAATCGGAAGAATGGCAGTTTGATCCCCAACTTCTCCAGTCCACATGTCAAAGTATCCTTGGGCAAGATACTGAACCCCAAATTGCTCCCAGTGGCTGTTGTGAGTGTGTACAAGCTGGCACCTTAAATGGCAGCCTCGGCCACCAGTGTGTGAATGTGTGTGTGAATGGGTGAATGTGACGTAGTATTAAAGCGCTTTGAGTGGTCGGAAGACTAGAAAAGTGCTAAACAGGTGCAGGTCCATCCATTTACTTTATTTCTGGTGTTGTATTGTTACTGCATCAGGTGGGAGATGTGAGAGCATCACCAATGAAAACGACCACAAACATTATCCCTGCTCGACCTAATCTGGAGCATTTTATTATCTCACTGTCAGTCAGCATTTGGAGAATATTTCTCCTGCCTCTTTGTCTTTCCACCAGTTTCTCCTCTGGTCAAGAAACTCTTAAGCCTCTTTAAAGTCCTCTTCCCTACTCCTAATAGTTTTTCACCTGAGGAGCTCTTTTAAGGGTTGAGACACTTTGTGAATAACTTTTATCTTTACAAGGATCTAGTCTGAACTTTAAGTGGAGAGAAGCTTTGTGGATATGACCCCTGATCACCCAACATCAGTGTTGGACCACACTGATGCTCTTGTGGCTAAATGGGAGCAGACCCCTGCAGCCAGGTTCAATATGGGGTGGACAGACAGCAACCAAAAGAGATGAGGCTTTTAGAGCACCAGATTTATGACACTGAACAATCACATATGGGTGTACTTTTTGGGGTGTCTATATACTTTTGGCCATGGAGTGTATTTTAGATGTGTTCTATCTATTGTTACATAATTTATGGTTATTCCTAAGGAAGTGTAATGCATTCACTAGAGAGAAAAAAATAAAATTAACAAGATTATTATCTCACAATTATGAGAAAAGTTTTCATGGAAAAAATCTGCTCGTTTTTCTGAATTAATGAGATGACAACCTTGTTAATTCAGAAAAATGAGAGCAGAATTTTTTTTCTCAAGTGAATGCATTATGCTTCTGTATAATCTGTGACTCCTAGATCAGTCCTTGCAAAGTTTAACAGACACATGTACGGAAGCATATTACATTCACTTGACAAATAAAGAAACATCTGTTTTACTGAGTAATTTTTTCAGTTTTTTGGAGTAATTTTTTTTTTTATTTTTCTGTTTTTCGTGGAATTTTTTCAGTTTTTTGTGGAATTTTTTTTTCTGTTTTTCGCGGTAATTTTGTTTCTGTTTTTCTGAGTATTTTTTTCTGAGTTAAGAGAGCAATAGGACAACAGACGCTTTCATTCCTTTCTTGAGAGCTCGATACAATGGAAGCAAACATGACCCGCTTGTTTAGTTTAATCCAGTTTTACTTTGTTTTGGATTTGAGACACTGGGAGATACTCTTGTCTTTAAGTCATATAGATGGTGTTTTCATTAGTTTGTTGACTTTACGCGGGCACCGGTCACTTGCAGGTGCCAGGTGGGAGCTTCTTGTGAGATTTTGAAGTATCTGGTCTCCTCGTTCAGGAAAAAAAATTACCACGAAAAACAGAAAAAAATTACCACAAAGAACAGAAAAAAATTACTCAGAAAAACAGAAATATTACACCAAAAAACAGAAAAATAAATGAATTACTCCAAAAAACAGAAAAAATTACTCAGAAAAACAAGGCTTTTTTTATTTGTCAAGTGAATGCAATACGCTTCCATACACATGTACTTCAATAATACACACACAAACAGGGAAAGCACACTTATATTGTTTTTTTTCCCAGTGCGGCGTGCTGCTCGCAGATATGGTCTCAGAGAGGCATTTGAGGGCGACGACTGGACGCTGTTCTGGACCGACTGCTCTGTGTCTTTAGACCGTGTTAAGGACATGAAGCGTTACCAGGTATTCCACTAGATTTACTCACACTAACTCCCACATCACTGCACTCATCACTGAGGACTAATTAAACTGAATTCAATTGTATGAATTAAGCTGAAGATAAATGGGCTGGGAGCAGTCATCCTGCTCTGTCAAATTATAATATCCCAATATGTAATTTAAATTCTTCTGCTTGATATGGCCATGAAATGATGAGAAATACTGATTTCCACAGAGATTATGAGATTGTGTCATTTTCTTATTGCTCATAACAGCTTTTCAGATCAAGCAATTAATTTGTAACCTACTTGTGTAATTTAGAGCAGGAAGTATTCAGCACCAGTTCCTCTCTGAATGAATAAGGTGGATGTTTATTTTGTAATATGTCACTCAGACTGTGTAAATCTTGCACATAAAATACCTCATAAAACCTCTCACATGCCAACTGAACACTTCGGCTGTAAACACAGTTGTGTGTGTGTCTCTTTTGTCTTTGCAGAAAATAAACCATTTCCCAGGGATGAGTGAGATCTGCCGCAAAGACTTGCTGGCAAGAAACATGAACCGTATGTTGAAGCTTTTCCCCAAAGACTACAACATCTTCCCCAGAACGTGGTGCCTTCCTGCAGAGTCAGTTTGCACTGTTCACTGTGATTTTACTCTCATATCTTGTTTCTCTCTGCGTGTCTTAACATACTAACTCCTTATCTGGTTGCACTTTGCAGTTACAGTGACTTCCAAGCTTACACCAGGGCCAAAAAAAGCAAGACGTACATATGTAAGCCAGACACTGGTTGCCAAGGCAAAGGCATTATCATCACCAAGTCAAGTAAAGACATTCAACCTGGAGAACATATGATCTGCCAGGTTTACGTCTCCAAGGTGAGAGTCTGTTCAACAACACATACACACAGAAAGAAACACACACAGATTGATGTTTAAACGTGTTTTGTATTCCCTCCTCAGCCTTTTATAATCGACGGTTACAAGTTTGACTTGAGAATCTACGTGTTGGTGACGTCATGTGACCCATTCAGTATATTCATGTTCAAGGAGGGACTGGCTCGCTTCTGCACCACAAAGTACAGCGAACCAACACACGGCAACATGGTGAGAAATGTTTGAGTCTGGTGATATTCTATACTGACAAATATTGTGTGCTCATCAAAGCCTGATATACAGTATTTTTTCCTCTGTGCTATTGTTGTCTGAAAGCTATTAAAGGGGCAGTTCACCACAAAATCAAAAACCCATATTTTTCCTTTTACCTGCAGTACTATTTATCTATTTGATTATTTATTATATTTTTTTTATTTTCTATTTATCAATCTGTATATTTCTTTCTCGTACGTGGTATCTTTCTCTCATGTCAGGATGATGTGTGCATGCATCTCACCAATTACTCCATCAACAAGAACAGTGAGAACTTTGTCCGTGATGAGGACACAGGCAGCAAACGGTAAACACATAGACAACATGCTTGTTGTGTCATAGCACTAATACTACCTATAATACTGTATATTTATTGCATGTTTGTTGTTTACTGTCTCACAGAAAGCTGTCCACCCTCAACAAGCTCCTGGAGTCCATCAGCTGCAACACAGACAAGATGTGGAATGACATTGAGGACGTCATCATAAAGACTCTGATCTCTGCTCATCCAATCCTCAAGCATAACTACCACACGTGCTTCCCCAACCACACCACAGGCAGCGCCTGCTTCGAGATCCTGGGCTTCGATGTACTGCTGGATCACCGGCTCAGACCCTGGGTGCTGGAGGTGAGAGACCATGACTTCTCTGTTTAATATATCAACCATAAATATGCAGATTAACTGTTGTCATCTTCAGGTTCTCAGAAGTGTCAAATGTCAATCCAATTTTACCCTTTTTGTCCTATAACAAGCTCAGTTACTTCTCCTTGTGTTAACTTGTTTTTTCTCACATGCTTCAATGGTGAACAAGAAATCAAGAAATGGAGAAAATTTGATGCATTCAAGTCATAATGTTCCATGTTTAATAACAGCAAAAGTATATTAAAACATTTACAAACTCGTAAACAACAAATACAGAGTAATCCAAGTCTCATTTACCCAGTCATATGTTCAGGGATTCCCCAAACAGACAGCCCTTTCCGACAGGGAACTGAAACTGAAGTGAGACTTATCTCAGCTCTCCTCAGAGTCAGACTCCATTGACAAAAACAGTAATTTTACATCACTGAACAAGAGAGCTGCTGGGCTACTACTGCTTCCATCAAACTGAAATACTCTTCATGTCTTCAGTGGAGGTAGATGTATTCAAATAACTGAATTACTCAGCTACAAGTAAACATACGTTATGCATTCAAAATTGCAGTATTATCAGCAAAGTGTACTCAGTAAGTATCAGAAGTAAAAGTATATGTCAGAAGTATTCGCTTGATGGCATGGAGCTCATTTTTTGTACAATCTTAACCTGAAAAGTAACTAAATCTGTTAAATAAATGTAGTGGAGTATTTTCTTCCAAATTGTAGTTGAGTAGAGGTTTAAATAGCATAAAATGAAAACACTTATGTAAAGTACAAGTACCTCTAGTTAAGCACAGAACTTAAGAAAATGTCCTTGAGCGGGATTTATACTTTTGTGTCAAATCGAGTCTATGGCGTAGATGACGTGCACCTCCACAGAAATGTCAGTATGTCAATGACAATAAAGCCTCCCCAAGAATACCATTTTAAGTCTTGTGTGTGATGTATCCTGGCTTCATAGGAGTAGAGGAAATCAGGAAATCTCTGTTAGTCGCAGGCTAATTTATACAATGTAAAATGCCATAGGCTTGTGCTAATAACGTTAGCATGTTGAATTTGTGGGGAAATTGTGTCCAGCAAAAACAAGTGTTTTGAGCTGATGCACAAGTATAAATCCACCTTTAGTTACATCCTACCCCTGCATGTCTTGTGCATCATTTTATACACATTTCCCTTAAATTCAGCCATATTTGGTATCTTTAGAAACGTAAGCGTCTCTACTAAAATTTTAAATAAATGTCCGTGGTATTGAACAGAATCTGGCTGCACAGCAGGAGTTTGTAATAAAGTTAAAGGAGTTAAAATGTTACTCAGGAAATCCCTGATCCTGTTAGAAGTTTAAATCGATTAATATATTTGTATTCCAGGTGAATCACTCCCCAAGTTTTACCACCGACTCGCAGCTGGACCGCGAGGTGAAGGACGCGCTGCTGTATGACACTCTGGTTCTCATCAACTTGGGCGCCTGCGACCGCCGCAAGATCACCAAAGAGGAGAGACGCAGGGTGAAGGAGAGGCTGCAGCAGAACAGCACCAGAGAAGCCAGGTACAGTTCTGTCAGATACAGGAACAAGTGTATGACCTTGGGAAAGGAAACACACCATTTGTGTGTCTCCTGCAGACACATGCAGGTGACTGTTACTGTGTGTGTGTGTGTGTGTGTGTGTGTGTGTGTGTGCAGGTCAGAGGAGCTGCGTCAGTGCCAGGCAGCCACAGTGGAGCAGATGGAGAGGTACGAGGCCAAACACCTGGGAGGCTTCAAGAGGATCTACCCCAGAGAGGGAGGGGAGAAATACGACAAGTACTTCAAACACAGCAGCTCGCTCTTTCAGGAGACGGCAGCATCCAAGGCCAGAGAGGAGTGTGCCAGGTACCTTCAGCATGCTTTTAACATGCCCAGCACAGTTCAGTGAAGAGCAGAGGCTGTTAGTGATGCACAGAGATTTCTTTCTGCATGGACTTCATGATGATGTCTATGCAGAAAAAGTAGGACAGTGGAAAGACAAGAAAAAGGAGAGGGAGTTTGGTTCAGTTTGTGCATAAATGCTCAGTGTGTTTTCTCTTTTTCACTAATCGGTACCAATTTTGATAAATTGTTTATCTTCTAAAGGGATAGTTAGATTGTTTTGAAGTGGGGTTTTGAAGTGGGGTCCTGCATTCAAAATCTTACTTAATCAAAATATACTTGAAGTACTCAAAGTAAAAGTACTCATTGTGCAGTATGATCCATTTCTGAATATTATATATTATTGGATTGTAATTTTCGATGCATTAATGTGTTGCAGCTGGTAAAGGTGGGGTTAATTGAATTACTTTATATACCGTTGGGTAGCTTGTGAATTTAGTCCAGGTATCGGTCTCATCTTATCATAACCTATAATAAGACATCATAATTTGCTTGTTGATTATGTTTCATGTCGTTAATCTGAATCTGTAAAGTAATTAGATAAATGTAGCAGTCATGTATTGGAAAATGGAAATACTCAAGTAAAGTACAAGTAACTGAACTGTACTTAAGTACGGTACTTAAGTAAATGTAGCTTACTGAGTTTGTTTCCTCCGCTGAGTTTGAGACATAGATGATGAAGGCTAGTGGAGTCAATTAACAAAATTATGAATGTACTTTGGTGGAGACTTGCTCTTACTTTTGTCATTTTTGAATAAAGATAATTTTTTAGTTTTTGTCAGTAGTCAAGATAACATTCAGGGGCTATATAACTTAAACCAGGCGTGTCCACAGTCTGGCCTGGGGGCCAATCGTGGCCCGCAGACTGATTTTAAATCTCTGATTTTAATCCCTCAAAATATACTTCATGTAGCCCACCACACGATATTCAAGCAAGATTGCTTTGCATTTTCTGTTCACCTTGTGATGGCAGGACTATCATACAGTTTGTAGACATGCACCAAGTAGGAACTCTGCAGGTGGAACCAATGTGTTTTTTTGTTTTTGTTTTTTACTTCTTTTTTTATTTTATTTTGAATATTAAAATTATCCAAACAAGACAAATACCATGAAACTGCACAAAAAAAAAACAAAACCACTCCAAAACAATACAACAATTAAAACGAGAGCATAACAAAACATCACAAACATACGAAACGTAAAGACAAACAAATAAATAGAAAAATCTCATCATTCTTCTAGACTTGGCCTTAATGAATTCCATTTTTTTATCACAATCATTCCTTGTTCCCTGTCTGTTAGCAGTAATATCCTCCAACATAAAATAATGTTTTAAGAGCGCAAGAAAAGTGGGAAGTGTCAGTCTTTCTTTTCCTTTGCTTTCAAAAATAAATCTATTGCCTAACAAAATAACAGTGTTTACAATGCTAGGACATCTATTTCCCAGTTCACCAACTATTATTGAGGGCACATATTTAACATAATTGAGTGCAATGCCAGCTATTTCTTAATGTTTATCCAAAAGATTTACAAAAGCGACAATTTTCATCATCTTCCATATTCCAAATAAAAAGCGTTTTTCTTGTAGGCAATATTTTGTACAAAATTTTCAACTGAAAATATTGTGATTTATTGTCTAGAATAGATTTAAAAGTTAAATTATACACAAGTCCCATGGCAATGAGAACCAATGGGTTTCCATAAACAGGCGGTAAACAAGCAAACGACACAGCAACAGACACTTCCTGTTAGCAGACATGGCCACAGCAAAGCTTAAAGTCGACAGTGAGAAGCGCCACTTTCAGCAGCAGTGGAAAGTTGAATAACTTTTCACTGAAAGACAAAACAGTTTGTCTCATTTGTACGTGATTTTGTTTTGTTTTTTAAATAACCTCTGTAATGCAAGAAGCAGTTGGCCACCAGGTATTTTCACATGGTCATACCTCACATAGCCCACACCCAAAAAAGTTTGGACACCCCTGACTTAAACTATGCAAAGAAAATAAATAAATAAATAAATAAACACTCTACACCAGCACTTTACAAAAGCAAAGCAATATTACTTTACTTTAAATCACCTCTCACTTTGTCCTTGTTGTGCACCAGACTTTGCTCTTTGACCGTTAATAGCCTATCAAACGTCTACCAATGTTTTATGGGGTGGAGGTTATTTATTAGGCTCTATGTGTTTTAATTTCTTCTTACGTGACTGTGATGCTGCGATCGTTGACATGAGCACACTGAGTCAAATTCCTAACAACTAAGTTGCACAGCACTAAAGTACTGAATCTTGAAGAAGAAATAAACATAAATATGCAAATAATGTAAAATAATCATTTTTAAAGAATGAGTAAATAAATAATTAAATACTGTTATTCTTTTGTCATTAATCAGTTCAGTTTTAATAACTGTAATTTTTGGGATTTGCTTCAGGATTGTAGAAGTGAGAAGAACACAAGAGAATTTTTAAAACAATAATTGCAGTAAAGATAGATATGCATTTGATGATTAAAAGGGGTTTAATAGGAGTAAATGTTTATCATTATTGTTATAAAATCCTTTGACTTAATGTCTTAGAAAGATGCTAAAGTTTCTGTGTGTATTTTTATGTTCAGGCAACAACTGCAGGAGCTGCGTCTGAAGCAGGAGCAGAAAGAGAGAGACCTGAAGGGAGGCCGGAGGAGAGACCTGCAGGGGGAGACGGCAGGGGAGAGGGTCAAACCCCGACGAGGACCAGCACAACCCCCCAACTCAAACCCTGACTGTGACCTGCAGCCGGTGAGGCTCCATCATTAAACATGCAGTGTCCACATGAAACCACAAGAGGGAGTCAAACAGCTTCAGTCTTATGACGAATGCTTCATATTCTGGCTGACCCCTTTGAGCAAATGGACTCTTGCCCAATTTAAATTAGCTAGAATAATATTCCTGCAGATAATTCTTATTGGACGTCTCTCATTTCAAATTCAAATATCTTTTATTGTCAAGACGGGAAAAACAAACAGTGTTATCAACGTTATCCAGTGACAGTAATTGCTAATATATTGTAAATGCATACATACACAGTAAGGCAATAAAAACAAATTGAATCAAATGTCTCTCTTTATTTTTCCGCAGCCGTGTCTGTCCAGTGTGTCGGCGGATCCTGTAGCCGCCGAAGTCCGAGTGGAGAAGCAGGAGGAGCAGCCGGAGCAGGAGACAGAGGAGAGGAAGGAAGAGGAGGAGGAGGAGACACACATGGAGGAGCAGGAGCGGGTCAACGCGCTGCTGCAGAGAAAGAAGCTACTGCAGGAGCTAGGAGTGGTGGACAAGATCCACCAGCTGCTGCAGGGCCGAGCAGACGGAGGGGGAGTCCTGCAGGAGGCCAAGGAAGCCTGCACCCAGCAGCAGAGTCATCAGCCTCATCACAGACAACAGCAGGTGAAGGTGAGACCCAGATAATACAGGTACTGTGTTCCCCTTCAGTGTGTCATAAACTGCCAAAATATAAACCCCAATACCTTGGAGAGTTTGTGGAAAATAAGTGCAAGTGTGGTTTCAGTTTTCACTCATTTGTTGTCAGTTAAACGATAATACTTTTGCTTATGTCAGCCTCCAGTCACTGCACCTGTTTTTCTTTAATTTTAGCTGGAGTCTTTGACACAGTTTCCCCAGTGGACGAAGCAGCAGCAGCAGCAGCAGCAGCAATGCACTCAGATGTCACGGCAGGTAGAGACAACACAGGACAACACTGATTTAATTAAAATAATCCAAAAATTCTGAAGCCAAGACATTAGGGATGCAAGATGCCCTGGCCCTTTAAGAAATAATACAAAAATAATTTATTCAGATTTATTTACTTCAAAAATGTCCCAAAGGTGTGAAAAAAAAAAAAACCCAAAAAACATTTTTTCTAACCATTTTGCATTTTCACACTGTAGATATGGCTGCAGCTTATTTGTCAATATACTAAATGTTAAAAATTGTGAAAATAACACCATTTATTTTTTTTCTGAGCCCATGGTTTGCTTTTTTGACCCACCAAAACCTAAAAACATTTCATTTCCTGTCATATAAGACAAAGAAAATGAGCAAAATCTCACATTTGAGGAGCTGAAATCAGAGTATTTGCTTGGAAAATGACCGAAACAATTACTTGATTATCAAACCAGTTGCTGGCTAATTGTCCTTCAGACAACTTATTGATTAATCAACTAATCAGACTTATATTGTTCGAGTTTTGCACAGGATTATGTGAGAGAGAAATTCTTTCAAATAAATATTGTATTAAAAGGCCATGCGATTTTACACAACTGTTGGTTTTAACTAAAAATCAAAAGTATTCAGATGTAAATCCACATTTATAGTTCAGTTTAAATGTTAATCCTAATTTAACAATAAACAGGGGTTTTGCAGACCGGCCCCAGAACTGCTGCAGCACTCACATCATCATATTAAGAATGCAAACTTATTAACAGTTGAGATTTCGGGTCGTTGTTAGCGATTATATAACACTCAGGCTGCTCCTCACATGAGAGGGCCTGGTGGTGAATGTCATTGATAATTTTCAGCACTAATGAAACATCATCAGGAAGTGGGAATAAAATGACATAATAATATCTGCGCTGTATCGCAGCACATCCACTCCCACACGACTCAGCAGCGCCTGCTCAGGCCCACCATGGACCAGAGGAGCCTGAACAAGTCGGAGCCAGTGAGCCACAGCAGAGCAGCAGACATACGCAGGACCATCAGCGCCCAGCGGATACACTGGCCAGGTAAACAACACGTCTCTGCACGACACGACCTCAACACAGCAGCTAAAGGCAGGTATTTCATTTTTTTTTTAATTTCTTGGTTGTTTCTTCTTTTGCAGAGTATTTCAAGCTGCTTTTTTCCTCAGCTGTACATTCAGTATTTATATTTCCCTGTTTGTTGTAGGCTATATTTTGTTTATGTGTTACAAAAAATATATATATTAAATGCTGTGTGATCCACTGTACTCTAAAAATGAATAAACTGGCTTAAGAAAAATATGATTTAATATCACAAAAACTGCCTGATGCAGGTTAGGGCTGCAACTAATGTTTATTTTAATTTTTAATTAATCTGTTGATTATTTTCTCAATTAATCAATAAGTTTTTTGTCTATAAAATGTCAGAAAATGGTAAATAATGAAGTACAGTGTCTGGCTTTGTCCACAACTCAAAGATGTTCAGTTTACTGTAGAGGAGGAGGACAGAAACGTGTGAAAATAAAAAATAATATTCACTTTTAAGAAGCTAAAGTCAGAGATTTAAAAAAAAAAATCTTAGAAAAAATATTCAAATTGATTAATCAATTATCAGATTACTTGACGATTAATTTAATAAGTAAGAAAATAGCCTTTGATACTCTCAATTTGACTTCTTTATTGTGTCCATCATGTGCATTACACAAATATTAATAACATTCAACTTCAATAATTAGTTTTTACTCCTAATTTAAATGTATTTATTATTATTGCACTGCTTTGTCTTGTTTTATGTGAATTTTAAAATCACAAAGGAAGCTTCCACAAAGCCACATTATCAAACACACAATTAAAAGAACTTTTAGGTATGAGTCAACATTAAGATTGTTCATATTGTTGGCAGTGTTTTGTATTTTGGGTATCTGTTTGCACTGTGACTGCTGCACAACAGTTTCCCTCTGAAATAAAGTTTTATCTCATCTTATAAGAACAACAGGAAACAGATTGTTGTCCATTTATTCACAGTTATATTTCAGATGTTGCGTCTCTGTTTCCTCACCAGTCGGAGGCTCTCTGACTCTCAGGCAGGACACCCGGAGCAGCTCCTACACGGACACCCGTCCCCGTCCCAGCATCCCCATCATCCACTACGTCCCAAAAGGGGGCCCGCGCTGCGCCTACGCGTCCCATGACCCCGCAGCCCTGCAGAGCCTGCTCGTCGTCGCCACTTGCCCGCCCCAGGTCAGGAGGCCTGGCTTCTCTCACGTCGTCCGCAACTCCTCCCGCAGAGCCCCCCAGCAGCACGGTAAAGGCCAGTGAGGAGCGGGACCACCACGCAGGATTAAAACCACAGTAGACACACACACGGGACCTGAGGAGACCTGGAGGTAGAGAGGCTTTAAAACTGTGAAAATACAAAAACACACTGTGCCTTCGATGAGCATCTCATGGTTGTACATAGATTTTATATCTGGACTCCTGCAGTTTACTCTGCTTGCCACTATATAACCTCCAGCACTGCAACATTATGGCTTTTTAACTTTTTCTACCCACTGTGTGTGCTCACATATGTGTTACATTCTGCTCTGGGGATGAATCATCTCAAACAAACCTCACCTACAGTGCCAAAATAAAAGCAGACGAGCCTGGTTTAACACCATACAGCATGTGTGATACAGATATAATAATAATAATAATAATAATAATAATAGTCTTTATTGTCCACAAATGTGGGAATTTGCTTTCAGCCTCACAGGTTGGTCCAAACACTTTATAATAAATCACAATACGTGCAATAAAACACACAATATGCACAGTACAGACAGCAGGAAGGGGTAAGGCTCCAGTGTGAACTGTGTTTATGGTGTTGGCAAAGTTTTTGCATTTGGTTTTAAAAATATGAAGTTGATATGAGCTGATATTTGCTCAATGATGCCAAGTGAATATTAGATTAGTATTAATAAGGATTCAAACTTATTTGAAGATAAACTGAGGGATTAAATTAGATTAAGGCCTTCTACTTCTTTTCTGAAGGAAATTTGTGCACTCAAGTATTTTTTGTTTTTACACCAATGGTCAATAAATTATCTCTTTTTTATGTGATTTAGTTTCATCATCTTGAAATTTTTTTCATTAGTTTCCCAAGAAAAATGATTTTAGTCCAATTAGTATTTCTATTTTTTTAATATGTGATTATATTATTGTTTTATGATTACAATTATAAAAAAAATCTTTAATTTTTTTCATTATTTTGTTTTTGCATAGTTCATTTTTGCAGCAAAGTTATTAATTAATTATCGGATATAAGTTCGCAGTTGTTTGTGTAGCTTCTTCTTAAAGCTTTTCACTGAGAGTTTAAAGAGGCCATAAAGTTTTACAGCATCTCAGCATCCGGTTTCTTTGTGTTGGTCGCAGACTAAAGACAGAAAGAGACAAAAAAAGACGGAATTCTCTAAAACAACAGAAGCCGGGTGATTTCAACAGCTCAGAAAATAGTTATGTGCTGCGTTACTGTGCAGAAATATATTATGATTATTACTGGAGTCGTGCAAGAGACCGAGAAGGAGCTGTAAATGTGTAATCAGGCGCCCAAAGCTTATAAAACCTAAATCCGTCGCCTGATTTGAATCGAAGGAGATTTTAATAAATAAATCTTGTGCAGCAAGGCCTCTGCCTGCAGAAGCACCGAAGATTTGTTTTTATTTTTTTTACCTGAAATAATATAAAAACACGGCAGATGAGACAGAAACTCACAGGCCAGCAGAGGAAAATAAATACAGCTTTTAATTATAGGCCTAATTACATTTATGATTATTGAACCACATTTAGATTAAACAGAAGGTAGGCTTTTACTTAACGTGAAAACTTTTCTGAAGTATTTTTTATCCAAATTAAACATTTTAAAGAAAACGAAAGTCACTTTGTGGGAGTTTCCGTCCTAAAACAAATCAAAGCGGAGGATGGATGGTTGCATTTAAAGAATTTATGGTTTTATTGCGTCTATAAATGTCGGAAATCCTCCTTGTTGGTGGAAACAACCAGATGTTTACTGAAAAAAGGAGCGTTTTAAACAAACCAAAACGGAAATAATACATTAGAAATAATTAAAAATAAAGCTAGGAATAAGTTTATTCATAATTAATTTGGCTTTGAACGACTCCAAGACGGGAGTTTAATTTTCTCCTGATCATCTTAATAGAAAAGTTGGCGAAGAATGTGCCGCGTAAAGTTTTTGTGACCTTAAAATCCCCCTCAGGACTGCGAGCACCATTTCCATCTTTGGCCTGTATGGTCAAAGCCAAATTGATCTGCGGTGACTGAAGGGAAGTCCTCCATTTTGAGAGACCCTAATAGTCTTTAGTGCACAAATCTTTTTTTAGCCTGGAACCATTTTATTTAAGCAGCAAAGAGGATCCATCATGCGCGTTGGAGGTGTAAAGATTACGCGATTATTTAGGTGCGTATTGAAGGTGAAATGTAAAGAAATGGATCCCTCAGGGTTTAATATTTAGGTAGACTGGAGCACAAGTCGTCTAATCTTCTCTGATTAAAGCTCTTAAATAACTGGATAACGCTACAGCAGTGATTAGAGAACAATTAGAAGCTGTACAGACCTGTTTAGTTAGAAACCAGCAGCTGGAACAGAACCAAGTGCACATCTCAACCTCACTAAATACTCCCACATTCCCACATCTTTACACTTTTCCCTTTTTGTCCTGCATCAAATTCACACATCTCAGGCCTTGGAGAAAATAAAGATGGCGATGAGAAAGCATGTCTAAAGCACAAAAACGGCTGCTGTTTATGAAAATTTACAACTTTGCCATGGAAGTTTACGACTCGCCGGGCTCCGGGATTGGTCGCTGGCGGTCATGTGGACAGCAGGAATGGGAACTTATTTCCCATGAGGTTATATTGCAGCTGCTGTTTTCCACCGCTCATTCACTTAACACTAGTAACACAACCTTTTTCTTGGCTCTTTGTTTATGCAATACGCGGTGTTGTTGTGAGGCGCCGTGAACGTGCGTCATTTTCACCAAAAAAATGGGCGATGGAGCCTCCGCGCGACGGCGTGCGCCATGTTAATGTGGCTGTACTTGTGTAGCTATATGTTCGTGAAAATGAGGGATCATCACACTCCTGGATGGTGGGATTACTTTCATGAAATCACTTGAGCAAAAGTGGGACATTTTGGGGGAGAAACAGACTTGAGAGGAAGGTGAGAGGAGTCTTCTGCGGAGTGGCACCCACACAGGATATGATGGATTATCAACAAAGGTAAGGGCACCATGTTTCTAATATGCCAGCGATTAACTCCGGCACAAGTGCGCCGCTGCAGCGCTGCTGTGGCTCAACTGTCACTGTAGGCCTGATGTTTATATCTCTGCAAACAGGAAGATCAGTCTCAAAGAAATGGCAATTATCCAAAGCTTCCTCTCCTTGTGTCTTTTCCTTACGCTGTGTGCGATTCACAACCACTTGCTGATCTGTGTGGTTAACCCGTGACATGCTGCAGCCACACGCCGAAATATGTGCGTAAAAATATGTGGAAATAACCCACATGCTCCAAAGTTTGAGGCCTTTTGGAGACTAACGATGTTATATAATGAGGAGAGGTTTCGGCTGGGAGCCAGAGGCTTGACTTTGATGAAGATGATGATGATGATGGTCATACAGGGGCCTATGCTGCGGCTTAGGCGCGCTTTTCCATAAAAATCTGCTAAATCTATCCACCTGTTATTATTATGAGAGGTTTAATTCTGTTATATGATATTTTATATTATTTTATTCTCTTATTTTATTCTGAAAAACGCGTCAGACGTGCGCCAGGTTTGATATTGCGCCGCGCTGTCTCCTCGTCGAGCTGTTTCGCCTCGTTTTTATCCAAATATTTCCTGATTTTTGCCAAAAATTTCCTCTGATTGTTTCCTATTTTTGATTTTGTGGTAAATAATAACCGTTGTAAACATTTTGTTGCATTTCCTGCGCCTCTGCAGCGCTTCCATGCGTCGTGTTTGACACTGCGGTTTTTATAGGAGCTTATATAAGATCATGTGATCTTATGAAAACACGGGATTGTCTCTTTATTTGGTGTCTTTCTGTGTGTACAGTTTAATCTGAGGGTCTGTTTGTGTGCATTTCCCAAATGTCCATCAGCTGTCAGACTGCAGGACTGCGGCCTGGTTGAGAGGGGTTCACTTATAGAAACCAAAGATTAAGGTTTTTTAATTTAAACATTTAAATCTAAATGATTTATAAGCGGATTTTTATCAAAAATAAATAATATGAACATCGGCAGCGCACTGGAGCTTAAATAAAAAGAAATACGAAAAGGGGATTATTCATTTTTATACAAGCGAACATCCTATAGATATTTATTTCCTGCCTATTTCATTCAAAACACTGTTATATATTTGATATTTCACATTATTCCAACAATACACTTCCTTATTTCGTTATTTTTATTCATCCGTTATTCAATCGGGGGAGTTTTTCAAAAGCGAAAACCAATTAAAAAGGTAGAAATTGATTTTATGGAATTAAAAACATTATAAATATATATTCTAACACTTAATGTAACAAATTCGTGTCAGATTTTTGCAAGAAAATGCTGTAAAATCTTAATATAAGCTATAAAAAAGGTTTTAACTGCAGAACCAGACAATAAATTTGAGCGTTGTTAATAAAATTAAGCAAGTTATATTATTTAATTGATACATATTGACTATAATATGAATAATATCTACTACTAGTTATGTTAATTAGCATTATGATAATTAAAATAATAGCTGCACTAATTGTAAAGCTGATTGATCTGCCTGGTTACTTCCACATACAGTTATTGACAGGTGATTGGATCGTGATGCAGACTTATCTCACACCTTCATACTCACACAGTGTAACAGAAAAAAATGAGGAATAAGTTTCCACTTCACGGTGGATGAGGAAGATGATGATGAAGGTGATGATCTGTGTGGAAGCGCGTGTCCTCCCTCGTGCCCTCTGCGCGTCTTCATGGACTTCAGTCACAGTTGGTGTTGAATCAGAAATCAGGACACCTTTTTCAAAGAAGTGAAATATCAGCGTTAGTGACGCGTGTTTTGTCCTGCGTGGATCTGAGTGAATTAATATCATTAGTGGGGTGTGTGGCAGCTGCGTTCACAGTGTGTTTGTGTGTTTATTAGTTATTGGATTATTCAACAAGATTGAAGTAAAGGTTGGAGGAAGAGGAGGGAATAGAAGGAGCCAGTCGTTTGTGCGTAAATGGAAATAATGCGCAAAGTGTTTGGCGTTTCATTGCGATGCTTTTTCTCGTTTTGTGTGTGTGTGTGTGCGCCTGAGAGAGTGGTTGAGTTTGTGCACGCGTGCTTGTTTATAACGGAGAGGAAGAAGTCCATCTGCTTTATTGGACTGTATTTGCATAAAACTGGAAGTTATTACAGAAACAGTTGCTCTATATGTAGTGTGTTTTTAAGGGTAGGCTATATGTATTTCTGTGAGTCGCAGCATCTCTGAGTGTGTGCGTGAGCGTGCGTAAAGACCGACAGGCTCGAGCGCTTCATTTCGATTCACCGGGGACCCCTGCGCGCAACAAGAGCCCCCCATGGGTGCAATAGTGCAAGCACAGACGGCGGTGATTGGCCAGAGGTTGATCAGATGGTACACTTCCCCTCTGTATTCAGTGGCACCTCACAACCCCCCCTTTCAGCAAAAACCAAATCTCGGATAAAGTAATGGCAAAACCACTTGGACTATAAAAGACAACAAATCATATTCCTCCGGAGTATATACACCCCGTTGTCCACCCAATGAGTTCCTATTTTGTTAACTCAACTTTTCCCGTGTCTCTACCGGGAGGACAGGACTCTCTCCTGGGTCAGATACCGTTATATTCCTCGGGATACACCGATCCGTTAAGACACTACTCCAACGCGGCCACATATGGAGCAGCCAACATGCAGGAGAAGGTTTACCCGGCGTCCTATTACCAGCAGACGGGCGCAGCGGCCGCGGCCATCTACGGAAGGGCCGGCGGCGGAGCGCCCTGCGACTACAACCCGGTCGGGACTTTCTACAAGGACGCGGAGGGCTCGTGCGCTTTCTCGAACCGCGACGACCAGCCACTGTTTGTCACTCAGGAGCAGCGCAAAGCGGAGTGCCCGGAGCAGACTGTCAGTATGAGCAGCAGCATCGACGACAAGTCCTCCACTCTGATCTACCCGTGGATGCAGAGGATGAACGCCTGCTCCGCCGGTGAGTACAAACGTTTTAAACTCTGTTGTTGTCACGCAGCCTGGAGGTAAAAAGAGTCTCCGCGTGATGGAGTGAGCATCCCGAGCCCCACAGAGTTACCTGTCAGCTGTAGAGAGCTCCGTGCTCACACTGATATTTAATCGACTTAACGTTTAGAAGCAGAAACATCAAATAATTAGACCATTACGGAGCCGAATTTGAGATGATTGCGCACGGATCTTCATGCGCCTTCGGGGCTTTGGCTGCTACATCATCGTCACATACATACACCACCGCACGCGCACACACGCACGCACACACAGACTTGGCCTACACCACCCAAGCTCCAACTTAAAGCTCTTAGTGTCACATGGCATCTCCGGAATGGGTCTTTTTTCACTTTAAGAGGGACGCTAAATATCGCAGGAACACTTTGAACTGCGATTTAATGTCCAAAACAGAAACACATTTTCATTACAAATATCAAAAACGAGACATTATATAAGCTTTGTGCATCACTGCGCAGTGTGACTCTGACTGTACATCCCTATTGTAATTCTATAGAACAATACAGTGCTGTCATAAGAGAGGAAACACGCCATCAGGGCACTTTTACGCAGCACATTATACGCTACATCCTACTGTAGCCTACATTAATAACATTATTTAGGAGATTTTTTAAAAAAATAAAACACATGTAAAGATCATTATAAACTCACTATGTGGTGTGTCATGTGTATCATAAAGAAATATTATAGAAAAATATAGTGGTATATATTTAAAAAAGGAATTTAAGCTCCTGAGTGACATTTGTGCACCAATAACAAGAGGCTTGTACAGGAATATTATTGGAGAAAATTTTAAAAAATGTATACAATAGAGTACAGTTAATTAATATATCATGATCTCATATTTATACACAACATAATATTATATTTGAATGTTACAAGACTGTGATTTGGAGTTAGAATACACCAAAAATCTGAATTTCCACTTTATTGTATTTTTTCCAGACACACCACTACAGATTTCAAGTGCACTCTCAGGTAGATTTTCTCCTCCTACACTTTCGATGTTAACCTAAAACAAACATTTAATTATTAATTCATGAATTCCTTCATTTATTTTCCCTTTGCTCCAGGTCCTTTTGGCAACAGTGGCCGCAGGGGCCGACAGACCTACACCCGCTACCAGACTCTGGAGCTGGAGAAGGAGTTCCACTTTAACCGCTACCTGACCAGGAGGCGCCGGATAGAGATCTCCCACGCCCTGTGTCTGACGGAGAGACAGATCAAAATCTGGTTTCAGAACCGCAGGATGAAGTGGAAAAAGGAGAACAAACTCCTCAATCCCTCAAAGACACCCGAGGAGGAGGAACAGGCGGAGAAGAAGAGCTAAAAGGACACTGACAGAAAGGCATGTGTGTGTGTGTTTGTGTGCACACTCCCAAAATAATAAAAAAAAAAGGATGTATTATTTCTTTGTAGATAAAGTGCTGCAAATCACATGTTAGAGACGTGTAGAGTGATAGACTTTATTTCAGTATCTGCACGGTGATAATGTCTGCATTAGGTTAAAATCAGGTCCTCCTCTGTTTGTCCTTGTGCTCGTGTGTGTTTTATTTAGGGGACTATGCAAAAATCCGCCAAAATGTAAATAATTTTTAGTGTTTAGTTTCTGACAATGTCGTTACCTCATGATCGTAGGCCTACTGAGTTTTATTTTCTTATTATTTGTGTTATTTTATGACATTAAAAAGAGGCTTTTTGTCCTTCCTACTGTACATCCTGTGGTGTTAGTTGTTCTATGATAGTCTCTAGGCTTGTTGTTTACAGCTGTGCCATCAACACTGACATTTGTACAGATGAGAAATGTTACATGTTATTTATTGTTGTTCACATTGTGTTCAATGCACATCTGGATATTGTGTGCAATATTTTGTTTAGGAAATTGTACATAGAAATAAAGGCTTTTTGATGTATATTGGAAAATCTCGTGGCGTCCTTTGTGCTCAAGGAATAATATTATTATAATAAGCAGCAGTATTGATATTAGTGTTATTATTACAGGGAGCTAAACCGCTTCTAAAGTCACAATAAACCAGTAAAATAAGACGATAAATTCACATAAAAGCTGCGTAAAGATTAAAATAATTTCCAGTTTGACACTCTACACGTTAAGCTGCCAACAGTGTGGCTGATAAGTCTCTGTTATGTGTTACCTGAGCCTTTTGTGGCCTATATTATCAGCGCGTTACATAAATGATGGATGACTCCAGGGCCTGACAGCGCGTCCCGGCGGGGCGCTACCGCCTCTGTCCGGAAGATGGCGCTCTCTGCCTGCGCGGCTCTCGGGGCGCAGCGGGGAGGCACCATTGACTGGAGCCTAACGACCATTATTTCGTCATCATTTGTAACCATGGAGCATGAATTACCTCTTGAAGTCATCAGTGAGGATTTACGACTGGTCAACAAAGGCACGTGATTCCCGAACGCTCTCCCATATTTGGCCGCATACCTGGCAAAGTACAGTAGGGCTTCATTGCTTATAATTCATGATTGCATCCATAAATCGTGCAAGCACACAGGATTATAGCGACAAAGATCTACAAATCGAGGCTTTAAAAATCCAAGCAAATGAGCTCTTACTTTGTAAACTCGTTCTCAGGGCGCTATCCAAATGGCTCCGACTATCAGTTACTAAATTATGGGACTAACGGCGCTGTGAGCGGTTCCTTCAGAGACCCTGGCACCATGCACTCCGGGTCTTTCGGCTACAACTACAATGGCATGGACCTAACCGTGAACCGCACCAACACCGGCAGCCACTTCGGGGCCGTGAGAGAGGATGCCCGGGGATTCGCGCCGGACGCCCGCTACAGACAGACACCCAACTGCTCGCTCTCATCTCCAGATCCGGTGCCGCCGTCGTGCGCCACGGCCAGCCGGGAGCCGCTGGAACTAAAAAGCCCCTCTCCTCCCTCTGACCGGAGCTCGACCTCGAGCGGCAACAATCTCAACAAAAGCAACAACGCTCATTTCACGGAGATAGAGGACGCCACCGTCGCCTCCGAGACCGAGGAGGGCGCGCACAGCAGCGGCGGCTCCAGCACGGCACCACGGGCGCAGCAGCAGCAGCAGCAGCAGCAGCACCAGGACCCCAACGCCACCTCCTCCACTAACACATCAAATGATTGCCAATCGCCACAAATATTCCCCTGGATGCGGAAACTGCACATAAGCCATGGTATATTTACACCTCTAATAATATTTAGTTGTGAAGGATGTCACGCTGATGGTGTGTCATAAATCTGTCAAGTGTTGCATGAGTGAGCAGGTCGGTGTGGATGATTCAGAAAGAGGCAGTATTTGTAAAGTCTTTATGGGGTTGTTTGGGTGCAGGTGAGCTGGAGCCTGAGAGCTTGTGAAATGTGGATTTAAATGTGTGCAGGCTGGCTCGAGATAAGACAGGCAGCTATAGCCGCGTGAGTGTTGTTATGTGTCGTGTTGGTTGCATGCTTCCATCCCTGCATCATTCCATGGTGTGTGACCCTCATGGTGAAGCCAAATTCTCAAAGTCTCGCAGTGCACACCTCGCCTCTCCTCCTGCTCTGCTCTTGTTGTTGTTGTTCAGTGCAGTTGCTAATTTTCTGGATTTTCTGTAAAATTGTAGATATGACTGGACCTGATGGGAAAAGGGCCCGAACCGCGTACACCCGGTACCAGACGCTAGAGCTGGAGAAAGAGTTTCACTTCAATAGGTACCTAACCAGGCGGCGGAGGATAGAGATAGCCCACGCCCTGTGTCTTTCCGAAAGACAGATCAAAATCTGGTTTCAGAACCGCAGGATGAAGTGGAAGAAGGACAATAAACTGAAAAGCATGAGTCTTGTGACAGGAGGCAGCGCCTTCCACAACTGAATAACTTTTGGTTGGAGAGTTAAAAAAAAGAATAAGTAAAAAACAAATAAAAAAAAAAAAGAATCCATGAGTACTGTAAAGCTATTTGAAAGCGCAGCACCTTCCAGCATGCCATTGTGATAGAAAAAGAAGTATTCTGTGGTCTTAAAAATGCCATTTTTAGTTCCCTGTTGTTGTTCTATGATAGCTTAGATGTCCTGTTTGGAGAAAACAAGATGTAAATATTATTGGGGGTATTAACTGTCCATGCTTTTTGCTCTGTCTCTCCCTCTTTCTCTCTCTTGAAGGTGTTTCAACTTGAGCTCTTTATTGTGACTTCTTGACGGTCTAACAGGAGTAAATTCATTGTACAGTTACAAACAAACAAAAAAAAGAAGAAGAAGAAAAGTTTCCAAACCATATGCTGCTCTTCATTGAATGTAATGTATCCCGGGGCCATTCAAAGCGCTTTAGTGTCAATTTTACTGCTATTTTTGATCTTGTGGCCACATCCATAAAGTTTCAAGCCAATGTGTAGCTTTAGGATATTTTGTGCATCTATGATTATTATTATTATTATTGTTTAGGATAATTATGAGCAATGCAAATGTATTCAACCTGTCAATGTGATAAATTTTTAGTGCAAAGGGTTATTCTGTGGATAGGCAGTGATGTAAGCTTTTTTCGCCAATAAGCTTTTTGTATTTGTAAGTGAACTCATAGCGCTTGGAAATAAAAGTTTCTCCCAATTGCTTTGTCTCGACTGTATTGTCATTAAATACAAACACGTCATAGTTAGGTTTGTTTTTTAGAAGAAGAGGAAGAAGAAGCAGCTGCGTAAAAACTTGTGCTTCGCTCCTGACCCAAAATAAACCCACTAATGATTAACCTGCACGAATTATAAAAGTGTCACACGAACAAAGATTTTAAGGCGACATCTTTTGGGGCTCTGTGTAGCAGAGACAAAGTGACAGAGAAAACATTTTCAAACTTACCTCCTCTGACTCTGTCCTGCAGCGAGGTGCGCGCTTGCCAAATTTGTTGGTGATAAAATCCCCCAAAAATGAGTGGCTTTGGCTTACAGGTATATAGGCAAGGCTGAAGTTGGTAAAAATCCCCCCTTACCAAAGATTGTATAGGCCTATATTACTTACAGACTGTGAAAAGTCACGTGAGGTCCATAAAGTTGGTTTTATGGTTTTGGGGAGTAGACAATGTACTATATAATTCACAACCTTGAATGAAAGTGACGGCTTAACTGCATGGATGGGACTGGAAAGGCTGGACTGGGGAAGGAAGTGGACTCCAGTTATATTTAGTTAGTTTAAGCTGCTGGGAAAACTTGGGAAAACAGTTTCCATAAAAATATTGTTGGTGCTTTAATTTTATTTTTAAATGCCAGGTTAAATATGTGGATTTATTTTAAAAATGCTGTCTTTCAATTTGAGATAAAATCCAAATTTATTTCACATTTCTGCAAGTGGAGGAACTCCAATTATTTCACACTTTTAATGTTTGTTAAAATGAAAATATCAGCTTAAACTGTTGGGAACAAAAGGCGTTTAAGGCCTGTTTTTCTGCGCAGCTGTGCATGAGTTTCTTGTGTTTAAAAAATAAATAAATAAACACACTAAATGGTTTATTTTGCAAAATGTTTTAGGAGGAAAAAAATCTAATTATTCGGCTTTAACTCGAGGCTTTATGCAAGTGACATGAAACGAACTTGAGCGAGCTCCTGGAGTGATTTATGCCGATGTGTCAAGTCACAGAGCGGCCAAAGGTGAAGTCTCGGACAACCCTGAGCTGGACACACAGGCTTCACTGCTTTAACATAAAGAAATCTGCAGGCTATAGCCTACACATGCGTGGGCTTATATGCATTTGTCTAATAAAACATAATGATATTATCTCCAGGAAACTAAAGGTTATATGAGACTTGTGCAATATTTCCCAAAGTCTTTTCATTGCAGGTAAAAAGGGAGGAGAAAAAAAAAGTTAAAACCAGTGGTGGGCTATATGGGTCCCAGACATTTTCCACATATTCATAACTATTAAGTGGCAATTTAACCAGCATAATGAGTATTGCATATTGATAGGGGTAATCTGTACCCGGATCTCATGCATAATTCATGGCGGCGGGGATCATCGCTGGGTCAGGAGACGATATAGACTGCTGCAGCCGCAGATGCGTCAGGAGGAGGAAGCGCACTGCTGCCAGACTTTGCACTGTCACGATCGAGAGGGAGAAAAGTGTATTTTGCACATGAGATTATAGACATATATGCTTTTATTCCTAGTATATTTAAGAATCTAGATCACTGTAAACATGTTGCGTAAATTTGCCAAATGCTCTCCTCTGTGCGCTCTGCTTTGCAACAAGACTCGTTTGAGAGTTTTGACACGTGTATAGAAAGAAGTGTAACATATACAGTAAATAATAATAATCCACCAAACATCATTTTTAACCACATATGTGTCATAATTTTGATATAAAATCCATTTAAACGCTGCTTCCTGACGCAGCGTCTGTTTCAACGCAGTTAACGTAAATAATAAATTCCCAAATAAGCTCTAAAATAAATGTCAGCACAGAAAATGCCTTTATTTTACAATTAAATAAAATAACTTCATATCAGGAACCATTTAAACCCCAGCACATGTCACGTGGGATTTAACGCCTTCATTAAATCATACTGATGAAATATATGAAACAAATGTCACCCTGAGTGGGTTTTTGGGGAGGCCAGTTTATCGTGTCATGGATGTTCAACATCTGGCTGGGCAGCATGTGTGTGTGAGTGTGTGATGTGATGCAGATGTTGTGCCAGCAGAGGGCGCCTCAGACCGGCCCCGGCTGATGATGGATGGTCTTTTCTGTGTGTCCCTACTCAGAGTCTGATCATGTTGAGCGTGTAGTGTCACAGAGCAGGACACAGAAACACCAGAGTCACTCCGCGCGTGTTTATTAGTGATCTCTTTAGGTGTGTCCAGGCTGAGTGGGCGGAATGAACCTTTAATCCTGCACTCTGAGCTGAGAGTGAAACTGTGTGTGAGGGTTCAGGTTGTCTTTTGGTTCAGGATGTTGAGGCTGATTATCAGACTGAATGTCTTCTCACTTTAGCTGAGTGTATTCACTCAAGTTTTGTACTTGAGTACAATCTGAGCCACTTACATCACTACATTTAGGGACTGTTCTTTACATGTCAGAGGACGGGGTGGCTGGAGTGTGACCTCATTACAGCTACACCTACAAATATTTTTCTTTGTGCCTCTCTGAGTGACTGGAGGTAAATGCATGACCCTCCTTCCATTACAAATGACTTATTAGATTTTTAAAACTTACCCTTTGATGTTTGAAGTTTAAAAGTTGAAGACAGAGTTGAAAAAAGCCTCTGTTTTTTACTCTTGTCGTGCATGTTGGTTTGTTCCTAACAGTTTATTTTAAGCCAAATTTTAAATGAGATGTAGAATAAAGTGATTTTGATTAATTAGATCTATTTTAAGCTCAGATTATGTTATGTTTTTTCCGAGGGAAGTATTTGTTGCACATGATGTGTCCAAGGACTGTCAGAAATTTTAAAAAAAATCCAACTATAATTTCTGTTTTTACAGTTTCTAGTTGTGATAAATTGTTTAATTTTGGCACTTTTTAAAGAAAACATGCCTTTGGAAGGCATAAAAAAATACAAAATACAGACATTTAAAGTTGTATGCCCCTCCCCTAAACTGAAATAAAAAAAATACAAGTCCCTCCCTAGTGCTTAAAAAAAATATTTGGTATGCGTCCCTTTTTTTTTTTTTTTTTTTTTTTTTACCACCCCCTCCTCTCTCATAAGTAACGAACAGTCCCCTATCTGATCCGTGGGGCTGCAACAACTTCACGTCCATTAATCTGTTAATTATTTTCTCGATTAATCGATCAGTTGTTTGGTCAATAAAATGTCAAGCTCAAGATGACGTCCTCAAATGGAATAGATTCAGTTTACTGTCACAGAGGAGCAAAGATACCAGAAAATGTTTACATTTAAGAAGCCGGAATTAGAGAATTTTTACTTTTGTTTCTTAAAAAATGACTTAAACTGATTAATTAATTATCAAATTAGTTGGTGATTCATTTAACAGCTGGCAATTGGGCGATTAATCGTTGCAGTTCTATCTGACAGCAGTTTTAATATTTAGATTTTACACAAGAAAGAGGAGAAACTTATAATAAATCAAAGTTCAAAGGTCAAACTATAGTGGTTTTTCAATATTTCTGGCTTGTGACCAGTTACAAAAAGTCAGTTTTTTGATTGTCATGATTCTGATTTCTATGTGCTGTCAGAAGTCCCACCAAAAAAACATTTTCCCTCCAAACTTCTCATGTGGTTTCATTTAAATAATAATTTGAGGCCCAAAGACGTGAAATTATTCAATATTTCACAGAAAACCAAAAATTTGCACACAAAAAATACATTTGTGTATATTAACTTCCTCTTCCATTAATCATCTCACAACCCCTCAGACTTCTCCTTTGACCCTTTAAAAGTTTTTTTAAGACCCCTTGATTGGGAAGCACTGGACTCATAGTTAAAGCAGCTACAGTGAAACACGCTGTTCTAGTATGTCTACAATAATATGTAAGTCAATGGGTGTTTTTCTGCAGAATACTTTTTATATTAAAGTGTTGTGTTGCTCATACTTTTACTGAAGTTTGGACCTGGAATGCAGAAGCTTTAGTGTTTTTACATTGTTGGTGCTTCTACGTAAATAAAGGATGTGAGTCTTCCTCCACTGTGAGCCTGAAGGGAAATGAAACTCAGGATTATGACCAACAAGTATTTAAGGTCAAAGGCTGTAGCTGTAAAAATATTCTTCCAAATCTGTGTAGGTGTACTGGACGAAAGTGTTTTTGGTTCTACTTTCACGACTGAATTTATGTGTGTTACCACCCTAAATCATTCACTAAGGAAGTTTTTAAGGTTACAGCTGCAGATTTGGTGGATTAAATCTAAGTATTAATGATTTATTAACGTTTATTACTGCTAACTTGATTTAATAAACCCCTTTATTAATGATTTATTAACACTTACTACTGCTGATTTGACTTAATACATGTCTTTATTAATGATTTATTAACATTTATAACTGCAGACATGATTCAATAAACCCTTTAACTGATGACTTAACATTTATAAGTGCAGACTTTATTTAACCCTTTTATTAGGGCTAATACTTATTAGCATTGATAACATGCAACCCATTTAATTAATATCGACTTACGAGCATTTATAACTGCAGACTTAATGATTAAACCCCTTTAATGAAGACTTATTAACGGTTATAACAGCCCACTTGGTGTGTCAAAGACTTATGAGCATTCATAGCTGCAGAGTTGACATCTTATTATTATCACTAAGCCCATGAGCATTTATAAATGCATTGCCAACATTTACAGCCGCATTATTATCATCACAATGCAAAGAATAACCATCAGCCACCCAGAATTCGCTGTTATTCATGCTTATAACGGATTGATTTATTAAGCATTAATAAAGCAGTTAATAGCAGGTTATTACCCCTTTATAAAGACTACATCACTACAAACATGAAGGCCTATCATTTGCAGACAGCTTTATAAAGTAATAAGTGTATTGTTCGTTAATATTTACACATTATGTTAAGGAGGGCTGCAGCTTCCTGTCCTCGTGCACGCAGGCGCTGGCCAGCTGTCATCTATATATACCCTGTAGATCCGAATTTGTGTAAATATAGCAGCAGCCACAAATTCGCGTCTTGGGGAGTATGTAGGTGATGACACTTCACCTCGAGGGGAGGAAAAGCACTCATTCAAAAGACGAGAAAAGACGCTCTGCTGTCTGCATGTCCTTCAGTGTAATTTAATGTTATATACTGCTGCATGTGTGACGTTTACGGGCCTGGTAATGTGTGTTCACAGTGTTGTTGCGAGCCGCAGGGCCCCTCGCCAGACTCCATTCGCTGTTTTGAGTGTTTTCCTTTTCTCTCTCTTGTAGCTGCAGATCGTTGGAGAATATGACATCTGTGAAAGTTGCAGGACAGGCCCTTGAATGTGGGGCATTGTTCGGCACATCATTTATCTTCTTTTCACTGCACTCCGCTTGTGCCTGTATGGTCGAGGAGGAGTTTTAGCTTTCAAGGGAAATGTGAGGAGCATCGCAACAAACAGACTTCAGGCGGACTGGACGGAGAATCTGTGGCTGGAGAAGATGAAACCTAGAGAGAGAAGTAAGTTGATTTAATATTTGTTTCACTGTGTTAATAAGAAAAGTGCAGATGTGTTTGGGTTTTATTTGGGAGAATAATCATGTTACAGGCGGATATGGGTCACACTTTACTGTAAGCATTTATAAGCAGTAATAAATGGGTTATAACGCATATTAATGTGGTTTTAACTGGATATAAAGTCAGTTTTATTCAAGTTAAGTGTTTATTAATGCACAGTATTTGTCTGTAATTCTAATTTCTCTTATATACAGGTATTTTCTATCATTATTGTTGAGTTTATAATTAATTATGTGTACATACACCAGCTTAAACACTTATATTTGTTGACAAAAACATTAATAAACACTTGCATCTGTCAGTAACTACATTATAGTGTGTTAGAAACAGTTTACAAAGTGTTTATATATATTATTCTAAATTAATATGTTGCCACAAGAGAGTCAAAGGCCTGACATGGGATTTAGAGACATTTAAAAGTTTGATTTGGTGTAGAAAATTCAGATTTCTTTATGATTTTGATCTTGATTTTAAAAAGTTGAATTATTTTAATAATCCAGATGGGGACATTTAACGCAGCTGCCATTTTTGGTGCTTAAAATCTTTGTTTTTTGTTTATTTTAGCTGCATTTTCATCCTATATTTGTGTATTTTAATGTATTTATTATCTTAGTTGCTTGTGTCAGCTGTGGGAAGTTGCTTCTACTGTTGATTCAACTGCCTTGAATTAATTCAGAGACATAAATCCTCCTCCTTGTGGACACGTGGTTCCTGCAGCTAATTGTCAAGAGAGGCTTGTCAGCAGGCCTGCAGACTGAATGGAGGGGTGGAGGTGGGGTGAGGAAGAGGTGGGTGGGTGGGTGTGGGGTGTGCATGTCCATCACAGTCCAGACAGGCAGCCTGAAGAGTGCAAAGCTCACCGTGGTGATGAAGATGGGATGTAAAGTGCAGCTCAGGGATGTTGTCACATCTGAATAATAACTGTCACCTCACTGCAGGCCGCAGGGATCAAACATGAATTTATATTTATACTGTACACTGACTTATCATGTCAGTCCATCTGCATCCTCTTCCTCCTCTTCTTCTTCTTCATCTTCTCCTGTGGCTGCCTCATATATCACAGGACAGTTTAGACTTTTGAAGACGGCACTTATTGCTGATTTTCTTTGTATTTATACGGCTCTTTTTATGGCCACATATAGGCCATCGCAGAGATTTATGGCACACATATGCAGTTGTGGGAGAAATATTCAGATGCTTCGGGCTACTTGGAAGTAGAAATACCACAATCTGAAACTACTCCATTACAAGTAAAAGTCTGAATTCAAAATGTAACACAAGTATTATCAGCAAAATGTACTCATGCAGAATGATATTATTGTGTTTCTATCACTAACTAATCCTATTTAATGTTGCAGCTCATCAACATTGAGCCAATTTGAGATTCTTTACACACTGGGTAGATTCATCATATCATGACCAGCTGCTGATTTTGAGGTGGATGCAGACGACATGCCCCTCTTAATATTTAAAACATGCATTTGTCCCCCCAATACCAACATAAAAGTAGCTGAGGACTTTTATTTGACAATATAAAAGGCATTTACACCATGAACTGAGGCAGAAATTGGTGCATAAAAACTCAGAATGCAGGAAATAAAGTGTTTGACGCTCACATTTTTCTGGCATTTCATATGTCACCTTCAATATTAAGTTTAAACCTACGCCCTCATGTAGGCATATCATATTTTTTATGTAAAATTAACTACGAGTGTCAGATAAATGTTGTGCAGTAGTTGCAGAAAAAAGTAAAGTACAAGTTTGTCAAAGCATCTGTAAATACAGTTACAATCCAGCACTGCATATAGTGCAAAACTTAATTTAAACGCCCGGCCCCTTTTACTAGCTTAGTGTGGCTGCACATTTTGCCAAATAAAGGCCTGTCTCAATTAGAGGCCTGGTCTGGATTCCCAACACATTCTCACTCAGACTGTCCAGAAACAATGTGAAAGGTACCCTGTGTTCTGCCTGTTACAGGTATTGTCTTCTTTCAAAATACACTTCAGTTGTCACGGGAAATTTACCATTTACACACAGTCTCTTTCAAAATAAAAGCACTATGTCAGTACAACATCGCACATTGACACTTTTTTTTTCTCTCCAACAACTAACACACGTAGTTGGGTTTAGGCAACAAAAGCGCGTGGTTCTTTGGATGTATAAAACCGGATTGTTGGCTACCTAATTAGTTAGCTGTTTAGATCGCACAGACAAATGTAAATGTTTAAACTTTTGTCAGTATGGAGATGCTATACAGTGTTTGCTCAGTCATACAGTCAGAATATGCATCCTTTCCTTGATTACCCTGTGAGTTATTCATATTTCTTTGGTTCATAAGGGTCCACCGATCAAAAGAATCAAAAGTGCTTCTCATAAGAATTAATCCAAGTTATGAATATTGTTTTAACAGGATAAAGTGGTGTTGTGGCGATATGCCGGGTGTCATAATCCTTGCGTCCCATGAAATGAGAGTCATAACATAACACAGAGAGTCATAACATAACACATGATTTGTTACTTAAAGCCTAATTTTTATACAAGTAATATTCACACTGGTTCAAATAAACAATTTGATCATATTTCCTTTGCTGAGCAACAGTTTTGTGTCAAAGGAATTAAAGGCCTGTCTCTATTATAGGCCTGTTGAGTTCAGGGATTTAAACAAATAATAGCCTGCGCTATTAATTGAAGTTTTACGATATATGCTAAGTTGCCAGTTTATTAGGTACACCTGCATGTGCCTTCATTCATATACAGTAAACACCTCTCAGTATGGCTCTATACAGTCCAACACTACAGGCTTCATGAAGCTGTTTGACAAAAAGAAAAATTCCAGAGCTTTATGCCACTTCTCATGGTCTTCATCAGCGTGTAGAGCTGCCTCAGTTGTCATTGCTAACAGTGGAAACTGCATACATACTGTAAAACCCATGGGATGTGGCTGAAAGCTCCTCGAACTGTCCAGTAAATGGACCTTCCACTAAGAATACAAGGGTAAGGACTGTTGCATTGAACTATTAGGTTTAGCTAAGTGTACCTAATAAAGTGGCAGCTGAGTGCATGTGCGTACAAGTTTTCATCTTTTATGTGAAGCTATAGAGACATTTAACTCAACCCTGTCTTTAAATGAAACTAAACAAAATCACCTTTCTCACACTGCAGCCATATCAGAATCAGAATCAGAATCAGAAATACTTTATTGATCCTCGAGGTGAAATTATTTGCGTTACAGGTGCTCCTTGCAAGAGTGGAAAGATAAGTGAAAATATAAGAATATAGCACGCTTTTAACGAGCAAATCAGATTTCTGTTCAAGTAAAAACAAGTGAGAAATTCTAAGTCGCAGGAAATGTCACATTAGTCAGCCCAACTTAAATAAATGAGTTGTTTGAAATACAAACACAAGATATCTTACTTGAAATCATTAAGTTGTTTTGAAATATTAATACTTAGTTTTCATCCCAATTTGTAAAATATCGCTGCTTTATCTGTAGACTTTCACGTGTACGTATGACACTCTTGGTATCCTCCTACATCTGTTGTTAACATTTTTGGACACTATGTTGTTACATGCATTGTGTTTTTTCAAAATAAACTTCCATTTTCACAGGAAACTTACAGTTTTGGCTGGTTAGAGGCATACAGTCTTTTTCAAAATAAACTTGCAATGTCTGTAAAACATCTCATATTTACTTTATGTCCTTGTGCAACAAAAGCACATGGTTAGGTTTAGGCTCTACAAACTGCCCCCAGGCGATGCATTTCATAACATCACCAAAGGTGCCTTTATGCGTCGGTATCCTATATGCAGGCTTCCACTGACATAGCACTGGTATTTGACGACTTTGGTTGGTGGCCACTGCATCAACAGCTGCTGCTACCCAGTGTGTATTTGCGAAAGATGATTCTGGGCTTTGGTTTCTAACGTCCAGATCAGTGAGAAGCAGTGGTGTTTGGGGCGCCCCCTAGCTCACCAGATAGAGCAGGCACCCCATGTACAAAGGCTGTGTCCTTGCCACAGCAGTTGCGGATGTCAAACCTTGGCCCCCTGCTGTGCGTCCTTCCCCCTCCCACGCTAGAGCTGTCCTATCAAATGGCGAGGCAAAAAGCCCCCAAAAATATCTTCAATTAAAAAAAGCAGCGGTTTGACAAGTTCGGAATGAGAGCTAACTGGTAGTCTATACTACTTCAAGAGTACATCTAAAGTCAAATTATCATGTACTTCATAGACCTACTGTTTTTTTAGTTTACTTAAACTCGAGTGTAAGTGCACTACGCTAGTTTGATAGTACAACATACAATCCCACTTTACTTATATCCAGCAAGTACCTTTACGTTTTCTTAGGCAATCGATTGCTATTCTATTAGATACAACTGAGAAATTCTAAATTGTGGGAAATGTCACATTAGTCAGCCCAACTTAAATAAATGAGTTGTTTAAAATACAACATATTTTAGTCGAAATTATTCAGTTGTTTGAAATAGTGACTCTAAGTAGTCTACTAAGTCAAGAGTACATCTCAAGTCAGTATCAAGTAGGCTACTCCACTGGCTTATTGTTTGTTTTTAGTTACCTATCAGATTGCTGTTCAAGGAAATACAATTGAGAAATTCCAAGTGGCAGTAAATGTCACACTAGTTAACCCAACTTAAATAAATGAGTTGTTTGGAATACAGACACAATATATTTGACTTGAAATTATTAAGTTGTTTGAAATTGTAATTCTAAGTAGTCAACTAATTCAACCGTACATCCGAAGGAGAATTATCAGGTAGGCCTACTGTTTTTTTTAGTTACTTAAACTCGCATGTTAGCGTAATAGCTACACTAAAAAGTATTTGTTGTATAACAATATCCCACTTTGCTTAAATCCAAAATGTACCTTTGCTCTTTTTTTAAGGCAATCGGTTTGCACGGTTTTAACAATCAGATCACTGTTCAAGTAGCTAAATACAATTGAGACATTCTAAGTTACAGGAAATGTCACATTAGTCGGCCCTACTTAAATAAATGAGTTGTTTGAAAAACAAATGCAAGATATTCTACGTATTCATTTTAATTATTAGTTAATATAACGTACAGTACCTATTCCACTTTACGTAAGCCAAAGAAGCACCTTTGCTGTTTGTTGAGGCAATCGGTTCACATGGTTTTAACAATTTAGTCAGATTGCTGTTCAAGTAAATACAATTAATAAGTTGCAGGACATGTGACACTAGTCAGCCCAACTTAAATAAATGAGTTGTTTGAAATAGTGACTCTAAGTAGTCTGCTAACATCTCAAGTGAATTATCAAGTAGGCTACTCCATGTTTGTTTTTAGTTACTTGCCTGTAAGTGCACTAAACTGAATAAGTATTTGTTAGTATAACATGCAATGCCTTTTTCACTTTACATAAGTCAAACAAGTACCTTTAATGAGATTTTTTTAAGGTACTTGGTTTGCCTTAAAAATCAAGTTAGTGGTACTTGTGTGACTTAAGTGCTTCAAACATCCATTACATATCAATGAAAACTGGGTTAATTCTCTTAAAATAATCGGATTTAAATCAAGATAGTGACACAGATCAAATTACAATTATATGTTTATTTATTTGTTTATTTGCATTTTTGATTTTCTAACAAACAAACTTTGGTTAAGAGGCTAGTCTGCACAAATTTAGTTTATATGAAATAAGAAGCTTCAAACTTTTATTTCTGGACACCACACACAGAGATGTGGTCTGTCTGCGTCCAGATTCTCTCGGCTGACGGTGCACGGCTCAGAGATCAAAGGTGCTCATTTGCATTAATTAACGCTGCTCAGTTAAATATTACCTTTCAGAGCCAATCAAAGCGATCGAGCAAAACACGAAGATGAGACATCAAAGCAGCGCCAATCGATGCTGTGCAGCAGTCTGATGGTCACTGTGTAAACCAAACCGAGGCCTCATTACAGGATCAACTTTTTAATGGACGCTGCTGCTGCTGCTGCTGCTGACCACCACTGTCTGCCTCCCCTTTAGTGCTTTAAAATGACTCACTCATTTAAATTAGAAACAAAAAAAAAATCTCATTACATAAACAAGACGTAATGCACTTGGTATGTGAGTGTGTAAAAAAAACTCTCCAGACTAAATAGTTTCTTTGCCGAGGTAATTTATGGCATCTCCGCTGGCATCGCTCCTAAAGGGGATGTTTGAATTTATTATAACAGAGCTGGACAAGTTCCCAGGATGAAAACAGACATGTCTGTGTGTTCAAATGCAACTCAAAACTAGAAGCTTTTTGGGGCTTGTTTTAATGCATGTTACAGTGTTGGGAGGCGACTTCTTAACAGATCATTTTCCTTATCTAAATCCACTTAAAATGGGCTCCAGTGCCAAAACATTCCAGCTCTTCCTGGCCCTCTGCTGAGCCACCTTTTAGGATTTCCATGCTGCTCTAATCGCCATAAAGACGTAGAGGTAAACCCATGTAGAAAATCTTTATTGCAGGGGGCTATTTCCATATATGAAACCGAGCTTGCATGATCAGCAGAAAGGCTTTTCTTTTTTCCACAGACACACACACCACACACCGCACACCGCACACACACACAGGCTGACATTGTGTGCTATGCAGGGCGGTGTGAGCTGCAGAAACACTGTCCACTCCGCTTCACCCCACTGGCATGCAAAGCCACATCATCATCTAATGCGAGAGGCGCTTCTTTTCCTCTGCGGGGATTTTATTCTAATCCGGAGAGGTGTTTTTTTTGTCTTCACCAAACAGAAAAAAAAGGTGAGAGGAAGGTGGTGTGTGTTTGTTTGCGTGCGGATTGTTTCAGTGCGGGATGAATGTAGGTTGTGAAGGTAAGGCAGCCCGGGTGTTGTGCCGCGGACTGGGTTATGTGTCTTTATGATTTACGAGCCTGACTCCAGCCGCGGTTCAACCAGAGTTCATAAAGCTGCATGCCTCCAGACTTTATTCTCTCTCGCTGCTTTCTCTCTTCGCCCTTAAAAAAAACTGCTGCTTAATAATTCTGTTTCTGTTGAATTCAATTTAATTAAGATGTTGATTTTTTTCTCCCTTTAAATCGCGTTTTGTTTCAGTTGAGGGCAGAAACAGCTGCAGCAGCAGCGCACAATGGACTTGTGTATTATTTTGCATTTGATAGAGATGGATGAGCTTTTTAGTAGATTGTGATATAATATTTAATTATTTTCTCCTTGAAAATATTACAGACAGCACCATCCATTAACTGAGCAAAGCCTGTTATTTATCAACACTTGCAGGCCTGATGTAATTCCAGGAAAACAGATTTAAAAAGAATGTATTTATTCCTATATTTATTTAAAATGCCTTTTTATTTTATGTGCCTTTTTTATGTTTGCATGTTTAGACTGATTACTATGAGTGTTTGCCTTTTGTTCTTGCTGCCATAATTGATTATATCTTATTATTTTTAAAAGCAAGCTAAATTCTTTGGAAATAATCTCGTTTTAAAACCTGAAATCTTTATATTTCGTTTATTTTATCTGCATTACAACACAATTAATAAATGATAATAAGCCTTGTTGTAAGCCAGTGAGGTGTACAGTGATTGTAAAGGGTATAAAAATGAGAATTAATTTGATTTCTGCGCAGATTATCCTCTACTATCCATTTGCTGTTTTCCACAGGCTCTATTTCCCCCAAACTCTTATTTTGCCGTTGCCTCTCAGGCCAGGAGAGGCTTGCTATTCATGTCAGCATACTATTGAGTTGATAAGATGGATCATGTGGTCTCCTCCCTGATTTCTGTCTCCGTCTTTTTTTCTACCCTCTCAGGCCAGAAGCTGCAGGGCTCTCTGGAAACCTGCCATGTGACATTTGGCTGCCAGCGCTCCGTCAGAAGGTCAAAGGGGGCCCCGGTGCACATTTAATGGAAATGCAGAGAACCAGTGCGACACAAAACATCCAGCATCACGACTTCTTCTTCGGCGAGTCTCTGGAGGATGTCAGCGGGTTCGGGTGCGCAGCCGCACACCAGCAGTTGGCGCAAGTGGAGACGTTTGAGCGCCGGAGGTCAAAGCAGCAACAGATCCCCAAGTTCCCTTTGAGCAAAAAGATTTTCCCCTGGATGAAAGAGTCCAGACCCTCGAATCAGAAACACGGCAGGAGGATCGCAGGTTTGTATGACGTAAAGAAAAGGGCCTTTTCATTTATGTCCCCTGTAAGGAGCTCTTTTAATGCAGGAAATTAGTTTATATATTTTTTCTTTCCAGGTTCAAAAGGTCAGGTGGCTATGAACCGACAGTCAGGCCTGCAGCAGGAGGATAAACACACACACGAGTTTATAGGCTTATATTGTTTTATTTAAAATCACAATGACATGAGAATAACATTTATTTAAATGGTCTTCAAAACAAAAACCATAAACAGACAATTAAAGACAGGAATGACTGACAATATGTAGAAGAAGATACAAATAAAACTGCACCAAAATACCACTGAAAAATTGGGTTTTAGAGGAAACATTGATATGAATGCCTTCCTTCATTTCATCTTTCATAAGGCCTGATAATAACCTGTCCCTTTAAGTGTAATTTTTTAAACACAAGTTGTCTCAGAGGCCTTTTTTAAATTTGTGCCTTGAGTAAAAACTCCAAATATCTCTGATGTAAAAACAAATATGTGAGACCTTAAAACTCTTGGTCACCATTTCTCAAATTTAGATTCTTCCGTTCCCTAAACATGCCATCATGGGCTTAGATTTTGGGAGGGACACAGGGGACTCATCCCCCTTAATATTTAGAACATGTGCATTTGTTGCAGGGGACTTTTGTTTGGATGAAATTAAAGACATTTCCACCATGAATTAATGCAGAAAAGGCAAAGAAAATGGTGCATGGAAATCCACCAGAATGCAGGAAATTAAGTGAAGCTCAAAATGTTATGGTGAAGGACCCCAAGTCTCTCATTTCATATGCTGACATGAAACATGTGTCTTTGTTCCACTTCTAAAAAAAAATAACATGCCAGATAAACTTTTGGTCACCATTTTTGAAATATCTCAGATTCCTCCTCTTTATACATTCCTCATGCAACACCATGACCTCTAAGTTATTTGTAAACAACCTGGTTTTTGTGATTTCTTTTTGTGCCTTTTTTTGGTGATTTCTCTGCCTCTTGTCTAATTATTTATTTATTTAGCCTTTATTTATACAGCTTAGGTTGACTGACAAGGGTGTAGGTCTTGTTTCAACATGGGGGGAGGCACTGAAATGGGAGGTTAGAGGGTCGTCCATCAGAAAATTTTGAGCTTCAGGCGTGAATTTCTGTGCGCCAATCTGTGAATTTTCTGCATTAATTTAGGGTGTAAATGTCTTTAATTTTGTCATGTTCTTACAGGTGGAGACAGATGCACATGTCCTAAATATTGAGGAGGATGTGTCCCCTGCATCCGTCCTGATATCTACACCCATGTTAACCGTGCATGCATGATGTTATAACAAGAGAGTGAGCTAATAAAGCAGAGGAGTGACAGTAAACAAGGTACCTGCACAGTGAAAGCAGGCAGAGAAAAATATTTAGGATCCTCTCGAGGTCATAAATAAAAAGCAGAGAAAACAAACCTCCCATTAACCTCTTTCACCCCGTGATTACAACCTGATCAACCTTCCTGTTTGTCTCCACAGACTGCACCGTCAACGAGAAGTGTCCGAGCGCGACCCCGGCCTCCAAGAGGACGCGCACCGCGTACACGAGCGCGCAACTGGTGGAGCTGGAGAAGGAGTTCCACTTCAGCCGCTACCTGTGCAGGCCGCGGCGGGTGGAGATGGCCAGCCTGCTCAACCTCCACGAGAGGCAGATCAAGATCTGGTTCCAGAACCGGCGGATGAAGCAGAAGAAGGACGAGAGAGTGCAGGGCCTCACTGCTACCAACACCACCACCACCACCACCTCCTCCTCCTCACCCCCGTCCTCCCCCTCCGCCTCGGGCAGCCCCACTCTATCGAGCCTGGGTTATGTCCATCTGGGCGGGGATTACCAACCGGCCTCTCCTCCGCTCAAGTCTCAACAACACCAGTCCCAGCCGGCGTACCCGGCAGAATACTCCAAATATCCAGCTCCAAGCTTTACGCACGGCCCTCAGTTCAATGCGCAGTACGACACGCACACCACCTCGCGCACAACAGACTCAAATGTGGATGTTAACGGGTCATATTTCCCGCAGAGCTGCACTCAGGACAGAATCATGCAAGCTCCGAAACTGACTCATCTGTAGCAGAAACATTTGAAACCCTCGACTCCACCGATCCGTCTTGTGCATGTATTTATTATTATTTATTTATTAGACTAATTAATCTAAACATTAGTCTCAAGTCTTATTTATTTAAGTTTAATCACTTTCTATCAGTTGTTGTGTTAACTTTTACGCATGGGCCTCCTCTAAATATTTTCCCAGAGACACTCAGCCCTGTGTATCTTCCATTTAAATGTTCGCTGCTGTTAATTCAGCTACATAAATAAAAGCAGTTTGTTGAGATTTCACCACATCTCCACAGTAAATACTCCTCTATGAGCCAGTTTACAGGAAGACGACTGTAATGCAGCCAAAGCGTGGGAATAAATGGCAACTTTCCGGGTTTTTCTTTAAAGCTTAATTAGCTCTTGAGGTCTATAACATTACATTAACTCTTACTTAATTACAGGGTCCTTGTACGGATGAGTGTAGGGTTCTTTTTGGGAGATATTACATTATAGTCTTGGTGTCGTTAGAAAGAAAGAAGAAGCTATATGGTTCTTAAATGTGTCTTTTGTTCTTTTATGGGCAGAGTGGGCCACACAAGCTGTCAATCTGTAAAAAGAGCGCATGATGGATCACTGAATTCACTGCGCTGCTTTGGAGTCAGAGTCTGTCTGCGGGATTGGAGTCGGCGACAAGCCGAGGAAATGTTTTGGGAATAAGCCAATGCACCTTTTGAGCAAACTCGTATTTATTTATCCATTTAAAGCGAGTTTTAAGTGTCGTTTTCGTTTCAAGCTTTCAAATTAGTGCGCAATAGAAAAAGAATTTCACAGCTAAAACTGCATAAATTAAAAGAAAAAAATACCTGTACTTTCTTATATATTGCAGCATAACTTGTGTATTTATTTAGTTGCATTCCGATTTGGTCAGACGAATAATTTAGCAGTCCTTGCAGCAACTTTTGACACCTTCAAAACAATAATAATAAATGAAGTGTGCCCTATTTTTTTATTATTATTATTTTGGGGGCCATTTTTATTATCGCATTTCTAATACTAAATCTGTGTTGTTATTATTATTACCCTCGTTATTCTTATTATGTTAGATATATGGTGGTTATTTTAATTTTTGTGATTAATTTTTCATTCTGAGCTGCTGTAACACCGCAGTCTGAAATAGTGTCCTGATGTTTGTGTTCTTATCAGATGGATGAGCGAGTTTGATTGAAGCATTTGTCATGTAAATGCGAGCCGTTTGATGGACGAGCCTGCAGACTTGACAGAGTGCTGTAGGTCCTTTGCCATTGGCGTTTAGCGGGTCACATGGTGTGTCAGGAAGGTGATATGAGGGTGGAAGGCAGTTTTACAGCTTTGACATACTACCTAGAAGGTTAGGGCAAAGGGAGCACCGATTAATGACTGCTCGGTCTTGATCAGCTGCGAACAAACAACAGGCCCAGGTCCAGGATGAACTCATACTTAGACTACCCCGTGTGCAACCGGGGAGCAAATATTTTCAGTGCCAAGGCCGGATACCACAATTTGAACCATGGATACATGTCGTCCAACTCGTGCGCAACAAGTGATAGTTACGCACCAGACGGTCGCTTAGCTGCTGCGACTTCTGCGCCTCACCAGAGCCCGAGCCTCCCTCTGCATCACCAGACACACGTCAACTTGGATCTGCAGTTTGCAACACCGGGGAACTCCATGTATGGGTCACCTCTGGAGTACGGACATCACCAGTACGGCCTCGCACCCGAGCAGGACCGGAGCTTCATTCATGCGCAGGTTTCACCAATCGGAACAAACATGGCTCCCTACACCGGGGACAGCTGTGGGCCTGGTGTTGCAACAGGCAGCCAGTATCTACATTTTGGAAACGGGGATCAGAGGCAGCAAGAATATCCAGAGAGTGTTTACACAAGGTTACCGCCCCAGAGTAAGGAGAGGGATTTGGAGCATGTGGAGGAAACTTCTAAAACATTCGACTGGATGAAAGTGAAGAGGAATCCACCTAAAACAGGTTTGTTCATCCGCAGACAGATTTGAGAATTAGAGCTAGATGTGCCGTTTAGAAAACCCATGAGACCTCTGCAGGTAATATTGACTCACGGTGCGTAAACTGTGCGTAAATACGCAAATTAGTTGATATAATGAAGCCTAAATGGATCTGAAAAATTATATTTGGCAACTAATGTTTTGTGCATTTTTCTATTTCATTCTCACATGTATCATCACATCTCCAGCTCTATGACTTTCATGTTTTCCCTCCATCATCCATTCATTCATCCATTTCTCTTCACAGCTGTCCTGTCGGAGTTCGGCGTACCCGGCCAGCACAACGTGATCCGCACCAACTTCACCACCAAGCAGCTGACCGAGCTGGAGAAAGAGTTCCACTTTAACAAGTACCTGACGCGGGCGCGGAGGGTGGAGGTGGCCGCCAGTCTGGAGCTGAACGAGACGCAGGTGAAAATCTGGTTCCAGAACCGCAGGATGAAGCAGAAGAAACGCGAGAAACTGGGCTGCGCTTTGGTCAGCGCTGCGGCACCTGTGGAGAAACTCTGCGGCCCTGACACCTCTCCAAAGGCGAAGGGGAAAGACTGTTAACCGTGATGGGACTTCTGAAATAAACAAACAAAAAACAATCTGTGGAGACAGTTTTTAACTTCTTCCCTCAATCGCACCATTCCAGAAAAACTGTGAAAAAAGCATGTGGACTTTGAAGTATACAGGGTATGTCTGTGTCTGCTTATGTGCATATCGTGCAATGATTAATGCTGCATTGGAGAAACTTTTTCAAATGTCTTTTCATGCCTTCTTGTATCTGTAATTTTCTTATCATAAGCCCATGCTATGTTTTTTTGTGTGTGTTGGAGCACTGAAGCATTCAGTGTCATTGTTTGCACTATTTATTTACAGGGTATTTTCCAACAACTGTGATGATTTAGCTTAATAAAGTTTATACAATGAAAAAAGTGTTGTATTGGCTGTTTATGTAAAAAGAAGGCTGTGACAGATGCTGATGATCCTACTGAGTCCAATCAAACTTTAAATTTTGTGACAGAATTTGAAGTCTTTTCTTCATATTTAAAAAAATATATATGTACATAATAATAAATTGTTCTAAATATGAATGCAATTGCAAACTTCTTCTCTATGTTCACCTCTAGTAATAGTCTCACCAAAGTCCCCTTGCATAATGTGACAAGAGGCATCTTTCACAACACATGGGGTGGTTCCCAGCGACCTTTTCACCTCCAAATACCTCCAGGGGCTCTAAACATGACAACAAACTCCAGGGAGCCAGGTCTCACCCTTGATTTGTTACCCAAATTCTGCTTGGAGACAGCTGACACAGGTTGCAATGACATGCACTTTGTATTTTAAATAATTTCAGTCAAATACTTTTCATTAAACAATCGCGTTTTCCTTTTAAAAATCAGAAAATGTTAATTTAGTGCTCATTGTGGCTTCACCTAAAGATAAACGTTTGCCGGACCTGACCACCTAGTTTCATGTGATGGTGAAGAGGGGCAGCAGTTTCAATATTTGCACTGGGTGTTGGGTTTGCACACACAGTTTCTGCCCCAGCAGCACTGGCCTGTTGGTGCCCTTTTTCCTAAAGCTGAGGTTCACGCAGAGTTCAGGCACAAATGAATGCAGAGTCAATCTGTCAAGACACCAGAGTGGCTCGCAGAAGTCAACTCTAGGGCCTCTCATACTTTGGATTTTTGCAGGTATTGCTTTTAATATTTAGACTAAAGAGATTACAGGCCATTTAGCCAATGTTCTGGTTCATGCAAACTAAAAAGTGTAATAAGTTCAGGACCTATGGAGAAAAAAAGATGTTTCCAGGAAATGGAAATCAGCGATCATTTGAAATACATCCGCATGAGTATGCAGTTCTCTCACAACTATATTAAAAATTAATACGGCTCCACTAATAGAAGTTACAGTTGAAATACCATACGGCCCATTACTGTAAATTAGAAAAGGGTTGAGAGGTTTGTTGTCATGCGTTACTTTAAAAGCTGAAAAGCTTCCCGAAGAGTCACAAGGCCAAGGACTGGCGAGGTGACAATCGATATGGTGAATAGTGACAGATTTAACAACAAAAAAGGGGACGGTGCAGAAAACAAGTGTGGGACTTCATTCCAGAGGTGTGATCCCTGCCATCTCTGTAGGTAATACCTCAGCGCTCCCAGCGGGCTCTCCATCTGGAGGTGTCAGAGTTGGTGCTGCAGCCAACACCACGGAGACAGATGTTCAGCTGGGGGAAGAGGAGGAGGATGTTTTTCACCTTCGGATCAGCGCAGCTCTCTTTGCCTTCTGCCGGAGAATGTAGGGCAAGGAGAGCAGAAGAGAGGAAAATGGTTAATGAACACCGGAGGAGAAGAAAGAAGATCATTTATGGTCACAAAAATAATCAAAAACCCCGCAGCGCCAACACCTGACTGCACAAACATGAGGACTATTAATACATACAGCAGCAAACCTCTCTCTCCTCAGATATCTTACACATCTTTAGCCGGCCCGCCTCCCTCTGCACTTTGTCTGAAGTCAGCCCAGTGCTGTTTGTACCCCATGCTGCTTGCAGTTGTTGCAGGCTCTTTTACAAGTCTATTGCCATGCTCACTTCCTTGGTTTTTGACCAGTTCCTCTGTCGCATGTCACTCTGCAGGGTCCCAGGGCTTCAAAGGGAAACCAGATACAGTATTCATGGGATAACGGGGGGTTGGTTCATCTGAAAGATACCAGAGAGGAGTCATTTTTTATTGCTAAATATCAAACGCAGCCATTTAGGTTAGTGCCATTTATCTATCACATAAACAATACGTATTTTAATGTGCTGACAAGATGCAGAGATAAATGGAGCATCTGTTAAAGCTTAAAAAACAGACAATACTATGATGTATTTATAAAATAAAACATATGAAGTCCAAACCCAGTATCCCAAATTTGCCTTAAGGGGCTTTTCAATCAGCACCCTCTGTCCTTTCTGACCCTCGCTTTGGATAAGGAAACCTCAGAAGGAGCAGCTGAGGAAAGATCCCTCCTCCTGGTCGGGCAGGCGTGCATTAGATGCCGTGTGCACAGAACAGACCAACATGATAAAATTGCAATATACAGGTGTCACCAAACAGCTTGAGCCAAACGCCCTGCTCTCCATCCTGAATCCTGTGTTCTGTGTACTCCTGTAGACTACAATCACACAGAGAGGAGCATGAGACACAGAGAGAGACAAGAGGAAAGGCTGAATCTCCAGGAGGACTGAGATCCAGATCCAACATGTGGAATGAGGCACTGACAGCCAGGAGGGAGAAAAGGTCCCGCAGCGGCCGGTGGTCCAGCACAGAGACGCCTGAGTTAAAAAGAACAGAGGGGGAGAGAAGGAGTCACACATATCAGACCTTTACAGGGACAGAATGATAAGCCATATTTCCATCATTGTCCCTGGTGTTTCATTATGAAGCTGGAGAAAGGCCTTCAATGGCTGATAAAAGAAATACCGGAATGTAAGAGGCCGGGCTGCAACTAACGACTATCTTCATTATCGATTTGGATGCAGATTCCTTTCTTGATGGGTCACTTTTTGGTGTGGAAAACACCAGGAAAGGGTGAAAAATGCTCATCACAATTTCCAAACATCTTGTTTTGTCCGACCAACAGTCCAAAATCAAAATATATTCAATTTACTATAATGTAAGACAATTAAAAGCAACAATTTTGAGGAGTGGGAATCACCAGAGGCCCCGCAATATTGTCACGATACTTACACCACGACGCAATATTACTGCAATTTTAAACGTTGTGTGATATTCTAAGTATTGCACTAACAAATACTGCAATATATATCAAGATTTATTACCCTTCTTCAACTGCAAGTTATGTCCCCAAAGGAAAACTTCGTCAGCATCTGTTCATCTAGTTAGTTTTCAGTCTGCTCATCTCGCTTCAGTCATTTTTATTGCAGCGAAATTGTATCTAGTGGACTGAAAAAGCACTAAATTTTATTATTCTAGTGTGCTACCAAAAGTGGAATAATAATAATTTATTTAATAAAAGAATCAATATGTGGTGTTGCTGCATTGATATAATATTGCCACGCAAAATATCGGAGTACTATGTTGTACTGATTTTTCACCCAACATTTGAGAATCAGGAAACATAAAAAGTTTGGTATTTTGCTTGAAAACATTTTAAAGATGAGAGAAAATAGTTGCAGTTTAATTTTTTGTTGATCAGTTGAGGGATTGTAAAAGCTCTGGCAAGAAGTTAACACTGGAAAATGTCATTATAAAAGCAGACAGTTTATATGTCTTTAGTACTAACAAAACAAAAGAAATCACAGTCACATGGGTGATTTTAATTCTGTCAAATGTTCCCAGTATTTATTTGACTTCCACATTTCTCCACTGTTGAAGCCTTGTGGAGAGACGCTGCCTAGTTATGAATGGCACACTCTCGTCTTCCTTTGTTATGGCACTGAGGCTCTTTTTAGCCCAGGCTGGGAGATTCTTGACAACCCTCCCCCATCCAAGTCAGGCTCTATTGGATCTGGAAGCGCCAGCCGACCTGAAGCCCCAGCCTCCTGGGTCCCCCCTGTGACTGCATCCTTTCCCCACTCCATCAGCATAGTAACTGAGAGAGACAAGTGACTTGGCCAGGGTTAACGTCTTAATACTCCCTGGGATTGCCTCCAGGATCCAAATGGCTACCCCTAATAGTTTTCCTCCTCTGTGTGCCTGTCAGACCGCCATGACTATATGCCGTAAGAAAAACAAGACTAGCTGAGAGGCAGCGTAACGAAGCAGCACAATGAAATAATGAGGGGTGGTGAGGAATAATAGGAAGGTCTGGTGTAAAGATGCAGCTTCGGGGCGCTGCTCGCTGCCCACACAGTGATGTCCCCCTTGCCTGGATACTTTGCATGGAGAGGCTGTACACTTGAAATTAAACCGGCTTCTTCCTTTAGAGCCCAGGAGGGGGAAAACCAGAACTCAATCAGTGTCACGTCACATGGTTCAAAGCGGCCAATTCGATGCTGCCAGGAGGCTGAGAAATGCAAGGTGACAGTTCATTTTACCAGTGACAGTGTGTCGGTCTCGCTTGCTGGTTCCCCAGTCAATTCCCAGCGAGCAGTGAAGGTTGAGCGTTGCTGGAGACAGACAGCAGCTCCCCCCCTCCTCGTCCTCACCACTCTCTCATCGACCCCGCTCTGCTTTGTATTCCAATTAACTGGACAGAGGGAGAGGCGGCAGTGTGCAGGATCACAAGCGCAGGCAGACACACTCTTCTGGCGTCCTTCCAGTCTCTCAATCCCACTGCTATCAATAGTGCTGTGCTTCCCCTTTTTCCCTTCCTTTCCTTTCCCTTTCCTCTCTCCTCGGCTCATGACAAGGGCCAGTTGTTCCACGGGGATAATTCACAGATTCTTCTTTAACAACTGCCTCTAGGGACAATGTCTTGGTAATGAAAAATAGGTCCCTCTCACACATTCATATATCACATGTAATAGAGGTATGTAATCACTCAGTCGAGTCAACGCACTGCGAGCTGTAACTGCTATCCTTAACAGACACCTCAAATAATGCTGAATTAATATTTTGAAATGGCTCATATATCCTAACATAATACAATTTGAATGATTTTCTATTCAATGCTCTCAGGGGCTAACATTGATTCGAGTACAAGCTGAGGTAACCCTCCCGAGTCAGTCAATATGTGGCTGACTGAAGGTTGTAGATTTAGCGCAACACATTTGCTCCTCTGTCTTTTGTGTCCTCGATCTATCATCGCTTTTTTTACTCCGCCGCCACCAGAGCCCCCCTACGCTGACACGTTTGAGCAATGGGTGGGTTGGGAATACAATGATTCTGAGGAAATCCTAAAAGTAAACTACCTCTTTTTATCTCCTCGAGCAACACAAACATTTACAACAGACCCTTAAGAATCAGGCCAAACGCCTTCTTAT